CCACTCCGCCCCATGCCTAGATGCTATGCCCTTCTTCCTGCAGACAACTGAAACAGCCCTTCGCAGTACAGTGGTACCTCAGGTTAAGTACTTAATTCGTTCCGGAGGTCCGTACTTAACCTGAAACTGTTCTTAACCTGAAGCACCACTTTAGCTAATGGGGCCTCCCACTGCCGCCGCGCCACCGCTGCACGATTTCTCTTCTCATCCTGAAGCAAAGTTCTTAACCCGAGGTACTATTTCTGGGTTAGCGGAGTCTGTAACCTTAAGCGTATGTAACTCAAGGTACCACTGTACTATGGAATGATTCAGTAGAAGCACAGAAAAATATTGGGCTGCACAGCAAACCTGGTTGTATCCTGCAGCGTTCTTCCTGCACGTTTTTATTCAATCCTAAATAGGCAAGTCCTCTTGAAATCACTGGGGTATACTGTCAAATATGACCCCGCCAAAAAACAACACCACCACTCTCTGAGGGTATCCTTTCAGAAAGCAAAAACACGTTTCAGTTACATTGCATGACACAATATAATCATTTTCTGCATTATACGAAGGCTGTGATTATTCTGGCCTGCCCGGTGTATTTTTATTGAAGCTCTGTAGGGAAGTAGGTGTGGAAAAAGAACTTCATGGGGGATCCTTGTCTTACAGCCTAGCAACACATTTCATCTTCAGCAACGAGCTTTGCCGCCCTGTACTAGCATAAAGGGAATTCTAAGTGGCAGGATCAGACAAATACTTTGGGTCTGGAATCCCTGGGTTCATAGCCCTCCTTTGCACTGGATGGCAAGGGGCAAAGCCCACATCTTCAGCCTCATCTGTATAATGGGAATAAATACTTACGTCGCAGAGTTATTGTGAAATGAAACAAGGGCACAGAACCCTTTGCACGTGAAAGTTGAAATGTATGTGATTAGCTAACAATGATAAGGGTTGCCATGTTTCCTCTTTTTCCAGGACACGCCCATCTTTTGGGGGAGTAAAATTTCTGACTGGGAGGATTTTTTTCTTAATTTGCCAAAATGTCTCTGACTATACTTTCTGGATGAGACAGAGACATAACTGGTGGTTGACCTGAACTTCCTTTCCTTTTCTCTTCCCCTGCCCCACCTCAGCAATATACAGTCATACCTCGGGTTACAGATGCATCAGGTTGTGTTTTTTTGGGTTACGGACACACCGAAACCTGGAAGTACCAGAATGGGTTACTTCCGGGTTTCAGTGGTCACGCATGTGCAGAAGCGCTAAATCGCGCTATGTGCAGAAGTGCTGAATCGCAACCCGTGCATGCGCAGACATGGCGCTGCGGGTAGCGAACACTCTGGGTTGCGAACGTGCCTCCCCCACGGATCACGTTCACAACCCAAGCGTCCACTGTAATCACAGCTTCTATAGCCTACATATAGTAGGAGTATATAAAACGAGAGTTGCCATAGTGTTCTCCCTTTTGCTCTTCAAAATATGGCAACCATCATCATCATCGTCGGCATAATAATAATAATAATAATAATAATATCTGCTGCTGTTCTTTGTCTCAGCTTGGGAATCCCTATGCAGATTTGACAGCAACCTCCTGCTTGCTTGGCGATCAGGTGGTGCAATTTCTTATCCAATCCACCAGGTGGGTCCATGGGCTGACACAGCTCAAAATCTGCCCCCACGGCAGGGTGGCAGCCTGACATGACCTTCTTACCACAAGGCTAAGAGGGGAGAATAAATGCAGGTTTGCTTTCCGCCTCTGCAAAGGAAACCTCTATGACTGTGGACTGGAAGGGAGAAGGGGAAGAAAACGGGACAAAAAGGCAAAGACGTGGAGCAGAGCGAAAAAAAGACAACGCTGTGCAACCACTTTTTTGTTGTTGTTGCAAAGACCGTTCTTGAGCTTTGCTGTGAACAAGCTGGGGAAGGAACAATGGATTTTCAGCTCAGTCCTGCACATGTTGACTGAGAAGTAAGCCCCATGGAAGTCAGTGGGACTTATTCCTGAATAGGCATGTATAGGATTGCACTGTAAAATGTATGGAGAAGCTAAACTGACATCTGAGCCCTCTCGTGTTCTCTCTCTCTCTCTCTCTCTCTCTCTCTCTCTCTCTCTCTCTCTCTCTCTCTGAAACTGCTCCATATGCTCCAGAAACAGGATGAGAACCCACCAGCCTGCCAGTAACATGGCGAAGGACCGATATCTTTGCTATAGCACAGGGAGCTGGCAAAAGATGTGAGGCCCTAACCTCACCCCTGCCAGAAACTCATTAGGCAAGCTATTGTTTTCTCCAGGCTTCCCATCAGCAACATGGGCAGGTCAGTAAAGAAAAGGCAAGGTATAAACCAGAGAGACAGAGATGGAAGTGTAGGATAGTAATCAGAGGCAGTAATGCTTCTGCGTGCCAGTTACTGGAAACCACAAGAGAGGAGATTGCTCTTGGGTTCAGAACCTGTGTGAGGGTTTCCCACTGGGGCATCTGGTGAGAACAGGGTTGGGCCATTGGTCCAAACCAGCAGCCTCTTCTTAGTTTTTATAGGACAGTACCAGCCTGCCTTGCAGTGCTATTGTAGATATAGAATCATAGATTTGTAGAATTGGAAGAGACCCTAAGGACCATCTAGTCCTGGGGTCAGCAACCTTTTTCAGCCGTGGGCCGGTCCACCGTCCCTCAGACTTTGTGGGGGGCCGGACTATACAGATATACCTCATGTTACGGACTCTTCAGGTTACATGTTTTCGGGTTGCAGACCACGGGAAACCCAGAAGTGCCGGAATGGGTTACTTCCGGGTTTCGCCGCTCGCGCATGCGCAGAAGTGCCAAATTGTGCTTTGCACATGCGCAGAAGCGCCAAATCATGCCAACACCTGCGCAGACGCGGCACTTCAGGATGCGAACGCTGCGGGTTGCGGACGTGCCTCCGTCACAGATTACGTCCGCATCCCGAAGTTCCACTGTATTTTGAAAAAAAAATAATGAACGAATTCCTGTGCCCCACAAATAACCCAGAGATGCATTTTAAATAAAAACACACATTCCACTCATGTAAAAACACCAGGCAGGCCTCGCAAATAACCCAGAGATGCATTTTAAATAAAAGGACACATTCCACTCGTGTAAAAATACTAGGCAGACCCTACAAATAACCCAGAGTTGCATTTTAAATAAAAGGACACATTCTACTCATGTAAAAACAGCTGATTCCCGGACCATCCGCAAGCTGGATTGAGAAAGCGATTGGGCCGCATCCAGCCCCTAGGCCTTAGGTTGCCTACCCCTGATCTAGTCTAACCGCCTGCAAAGTGGGAATGAAAATGCAGCTGTCTCATATGGGGATTGAACCTGCAATCTTGGCCTTATCAACACCATGCTCTAACCAGATCTGTTAGGCTACTAACAGATCATATATATATATGTACAGGCAGTTCTTTGAACATTTGAAATATGTTATATAAGTGCTAAGCATTCATATTATTTTAAAAAGTGTTTTTTTTTTTAAAGAATAGCCCTGTCCATTAATGGATTTGCATGCAAGAGTGTACTGTCACATTTTCTTCCAATGATGCATACATGCAGAGGTATTTTAATTCAATCATGGACCTAGGGGATAGCAAAAAAGAAAAGGGAAAAAAAGAGCCAATTGAAATATTTCTCCTAATGCCAGGGCAAATCGTGTGTGTGTGTGTGTGTGTGTGTGTGTGTGTCTCAGAGCTGAACTGCCTCCATGTACCCATTACTAAATGAACAGGGCCTTTTATGGTGGGTTGTGCTCTGAAGTTACAGATTTTAAAATTAAATGGGGGCTTTGAGGAGAAAGGAAAGAGAAAAGGTGACTGTGTACTGGACCTTTCTTCTTCTGCTTTTATTCATTCTCGTGATTTGCGAACACTTTAACATGCTGCAGTTTGGAGGAAGAGAGAGAGAGAGAGCGCGTCATGCCCAAGGGTAAAGCAGCAGTTCAGTGGCACACAGACACAGGAGCCCAGTTCCTTTATTTCCCCAGCTCTTTAATCTCCAGGACCACACGGCCGCTGCAAAATGGGGATTCAAAAGTGACACCAAACCCAGTCCTTCCTTTCTGCGTCCCTGGAAAAACAATCCTCCAGCTGTGTATCTGTTACAGTGCTCACTTAGCTGCATTAAGTGTTACAAGAGGCTGTTACACAAAACCATCGCTGTGGTGCCCAGGTAACCTACACCTGCCTAGAGGGAGGAGATCAGCCAGTCTCAGGCGACTGTAAGTGGAGCCTGTGGAGAAAGAGAACGCTCTCAAGCATGAAAAAATTATTAGGCAACCAATCCTCTGGCCCTATTTTCAGCAACAATGCCTGCCACTTGGTGCCAATGAAACCTGAGCCACCCCATCAGGCAGAAATCAGAGCCTCGGCCTCTCCAAATGCCCACCTCAGGAGACGGGCCTCCACAGGAAGCAGCGGGCCGTAAGCCCCACCATGTCGTCGTTTATTAGACTCTGGGGAGTGAAAGGCTTCGCATTCAGGGCCTGCTCTTTGTTTTTTTTGGCATAGGCAAAATTGGCTCACAAATTGGTGCAAAACCAAAAGTACGCGCAAGCTACATCACCAGGAGCAGCCTCAATGTCTTGGCTGCGTTTTCCACAGGACACAAACAAACAGAACACATTTTGCTAGTTTAGCATGTTGTAGGGGGACATCGCATGGCTCTTATTTGAAAACCTCCCATAGAAATAGAACTGCAGAAAATCAGAACACACCACGCTCGATTTCCCCACTTTCTCTCACAGGAAGCTGCTTTGTACCAGATCAGACCATTTGCCCATTTGGCACAATATTGTCGGCACTGACCGGCAACAGCTATCTAGGGTTTTAGACAGGAGTTTTCTGCAGCCCTGCCTGGAAATGCTGCAGTATGAATCTAGGAACTTTTGGGTTGTTTTTTTAAAAGTTATTATTTGATACTTATTCAAAGATGCACAAAAATACATACACATTACAAAGTACCTTTTTATAATACACTGAGATAAAACAGCTACAGTGGAACCTCGGTTTATGAGCGTCTGGGAAGCCATACATTTCAGTTTTCGTATGCCGAAAACCTGGAAGAAATTGCTTGTTTTCGAATGCGCCTCGGAAGTTGAACGGCTTCCAAAGAGCGTTTCTCCATTTTCTCAATGGAATTTGCCAGCCATCCATTGAGCCTCGGTTGTCGAACATTTCAGAAGTCAAACGGTCTTCCGGAATGAATTACGTTTGACAACCGAGGTTCCACTGTACTTAAGTCTAAAAAAAAACAAAGTAAGAACATGGGAACTTTTGCACGTGCTCTACCCCTGCGTTACAACCTCTTACATATTGCGTTTACATATACAACACAACTTTAAATTTACAATATGAAACTGAATACACAACACGTAAATCATCCTTCATCTCCAGATACTGTCAGGAACTGAATGGATGAAGAGGAGTGGTTGGAGGTACCAGCCAGGGAACCCCCAAGGCAGTGCCGTAGCTACAGGGGGAGCGCTAGGCGGTTTTTTTAATACCCCAGATGAAGCCTCCAGAGGGGCGTCATTGAGGCTCCCAGCCTGTTCGTTTGTGTACGCAAATGTGCATGGGGGTGTCTTTGACCCAGGTGAAACAAAGGCTAGTTTTGCCCCAGCCCAAGGGTAACCCCAGAGGAGGAAGTCTCAAAGCCAGGGGATTGGTGGTGGAGCACTAAGGAGAGGTCAGAGGGAGAAGAGTGGGGGGAGGAGGTGCTGGATGCTGGAGGGGCAGCAGGGTTTAGTGAGCAGGAAGAGCATGTGACAGGGAGCAGTTCAGACTCCGAGGCTAAAGCAGAGGAGGGGTTCAAGGGACTGCTGTCTCCCTCTCCTGCTGTGACAAGCTCCACAGCCCCGTCTCCAGGAACAGAATAACGAGGAGAGTAGAACAGAGGCTAGAGGTGTGCAGACATTGTTTGAAACTGCTTGGGAAACATCCGGGAAAAGAGGAGCCTTAGAGAGGGCAGAAGGGAGGGACCTTCAGTTCCGGCAACTGCTCCATAGGGGCAAGACCTACTGGGAAGTGTTGCTGAGACCACTAAGCCGAGCTGTTTGTTTGTTTCCTTGAATGAACTCTAGTGAAGAGTTAACTTCACTAACTACTGAGATCTGCTTCCTTTATTGCTGACCTGCATCTGACTCCAGCCCCGACAAATGCCAGGAATAAAAAGTATGATATAAACTAACCATGCGCCCAAATACAATAAAACAATATCATCCTAAACAAACAAATGGAGGAAATGAAAACAACCAGAGCAGAATACACAATAAAGGCATGTGCACACTGCATGATACATACCCTCCAAGTGTCCCTATTTTCCAGGGACAGTCCCGGAATTACAGAAGCTGTCTCGGTTTCTGATTTGATCCCAGAATGTCTCGGTTTTCCTTCTTCCTCCCTTTCACATCTTGGAGAACAATTTAAAGTGGTGTGTGTGTGTGTGTGTGTGTGTGTGTGTGTGTGTGTGTCTAGGTACTGGTGCAAAAATGGAGTCCTATTTATCCTGAAAATGCTTGCACCAAATGAAGGAAATGGTGAAGCTGGCATACAAAGCCCTTATAATTTTGAAGGTGCGCCTCCTTTGGGAAAGTGTTCCACAAATGTTGAGTCCCCACAGAAAAGATCTGTTCTCATGTCCCCCCCCCCCCCTCCACACCTCCCTCAGAGGTAGAAGGGTCGGAGATGACTAATGCAGGGTCTGGGTTGGTTCACATGGAGAGAATTTTTGTGTTTGTGGGAGGGGGTTTATTGGCTTGTTTCTGTTGTGCGTTTTGTGTTCTAATTTTGTATTTTCTATGTTGCAAACTGCCCTTCAATCTTTGGATGCAGGGCAGTATACAAATTTAATAAATAATAAAGAGAGGCAGTTGTCAATCTGGACTGAAGCAGAGGGAAGTTCTGAGGCTCAGAATGCCTTACTAAGCATGAAACTTTACAAATACAACAGTTCAGAGGAGGAAAGATGCTCTTTCTTGAATCAAAGGCTGTTCAGATTCCCTTGACCTTGTTGTACTCATTAGCTTAAAGGAAAGGGCTGTTATCACATAGGCTTGGGGTGTGTGTGTTGAAATCCTTCTCATTTTTCATTGTTTTTTTTGACCCACTATTAAAACAAAACAAAACAGAGAGACATAACAGAACATGTGGCAGCTTTTTACATATTTTGACTTCGCTGGACGGGAGAGAAAGATATCCTATTAAGAGACGGAAACAGGCTGTGCTAGCGGAAATATCTGTGGTTTCCTTCAAGCAGAAGTGAAGGAACTCTCCACTCATTGAAAACAAAGGGCTTCCCAGCTACAGCTGGGAGGTTGATTCTGTGGACACCAGGTTCACACGTGCAGGGCAAGCTTCCTGTTTGTTCCAGCACAAAAGGGAGAAATCAATACCCTCGCAGGCTACTGAAGACAATAACTGACTTCCTCTATCCAGCAGCCAGGAGGTGGAATGAAGACTCGGATTGTAAGACACTTCTAAGCTAGGATGGGTAGAGAGGAATAAGGCAAACTTGATGGAGGAGATGAGCAAATTAACAGGAAGGTACTGGGCCTTATGGGAATGAAGAAGGTCTCTCCATGCCATCTCTAGCACTGATGTATCAGGTAGGGTTGAGACAAAATTTGGAGTCCCCTTTTAACAAATGTTTGACCAGTTTCCCATTCTGGTGAATTTTGGGGGGCAATTGACCAATGACAAAAATGTTTACCTCATGAGTTGCATTATATCTGCAGTCCCCAATAGTATGGTGAGTGCAGTCTGTTCTCCTAGGTTTCATGTGGGCAGGGCCGTCTTACCCATAGGGGCTAGGGGTGCGGGGCACCCAGGCGCTGGGCTCTCAGGGGCGCCGGGCTGAGAGTCCGGGGCCCGAGAATTGAGTCTGGGGAAGAGCCCGCCCGTTGGTTGGAGCACCGCAGTGGGCTCTTCTGCTCTGCACTGCGACTTGGGAGTGACCGACCAGTGAGACGCTGAGGCGGCTGGCCGGTTACACCCTCCTGCGTGCCTGGGACTGGGCAACTGGGAGGGGGGGCACCCCGGCAGATCTTTGCCCCCTGGTGCCGCATATGCTTAAGACAGCCCAGCATGTGGGTGTTTTTTTTCTGACCTGCTTCCTCCCACCTTCACAAAGCCTCTGTAGCGAATTTCCCCCTTTCACCTTCTCTCTTCCCCGTGGCTAAGGAAAGTTGTCTTGGGCCTTACCCTACGTCACATGTGTACCTGATCAAACATTTCTTCAGCACATAATTTTTAACTAGGGATAGGGAACCTGTATTGGACGTTAACCACTGACTATGCTGGCTGGTGCTGATGGCAGCTGGAAGAGCCCCCATGCCAGGATGCAGTTCTTAGACTTCTCATTCAAACAAGGAACCTGTTAGGCTTCCCTTGGGCAAATCTCTCTTGCCTCCATGCAATGATGGAGGTGATGTCTGCAGCCTCCTTCATCTGCAGTGCCCCCGCACCATATCCACAACATTCTCAATAAGGGTAGCCAAATGCAAAAGCAGGCAGGACTTCTGCACCTTTAATAGCTAAGTAATGCAATCTGCCCCTGCTAAAATTCCCTCTTCTACACAACTATTAAAGTTGCAGGTGCCCTGGCCACTTTTGCATCCAGACACCATGCCCCTCAATGTCACTTAAAGTCCCAGAAGCAGATTTTCAAGAGACTGCAGAGCGACGATGGAGTCGGGAAAGCCATCAACAGAAGGAAAGTCAGCGGATCCAAACAAGTTATTCCCTTGCACAGCGTGACTTGCATGTTTACTCAGACATATGTCCCACTGTGTTAAATGGGGCTCAGTGAACATAGGACAGCAGCCTTAGTTGGGGACACAGAGAGCAGTGGTGCATTTTGTGGGTCAGATTTATTCTGATCATTTGGGATCTCGCTGCTGCCTGTTTCATAAGAACCACTGGGCCGTCGCCATCTGCCGGCATGTTTTCCCCAACCCTATTTTTGCTAACTGTCAACTGTGGTATTGTCAACCCAACCCTCCCATATGTTAGCAACTCTCTCTCTCTGGCTAAATGGAAGGATCTTAAAAAGTATCTGTTCTGAAGTCATGGCAGCGGCGGGTGGTGGAGGAGAGCAGAGCAGGCCTTGCTGTTGTCTACAGAGGCAGCTAAGACAGCCAAGCTATTCTGGGTGGCTTTCACCTCTGTCATTCAACAACTTCTGCTTCAGCAGATTCCAACTTGCTGGGTCTAAATCCATCCCCATTCTTTCAAGTTGCATTTATCTGAGCTGCAGTGCAGCCCCGGATGGCCCAGCCTGCCTTCTTCCCACCCTGGTTCGATTCTCAGCTAGGCCTCTCAGCTAGGCCGCCCCATCGGTTTCCTAGGGGAGCCAGGCCACTATTATCCTTTTGACAGAGCTGTGGATTTGGGGTTACGGAACAGATGGAGGCAAAGGGGCCAAAGGAGGATGAAAGGTTTACACTAATAGAAATGCCCAGCTAATTGTTAAGGAGATTAGAGGCTGGGCCAGGCAGGCACTCTCGGCTTGGAGGTGACCTGCCGCATGGAATCAGAGAGCCCACGGTAACATTAACCAAAGCGGCGCTAAGAAAAATAAATCCTCCACCAGAGAGAGGCGGCAGATTGAGTTGCCGCTCGAGCGTTTTGGCCTTAGCGGTGGGATAGAAAGGCGTTTGGGGTGGATCAAGCCTTAGAAGAAGGGAGACAATGCAAACAAGAGACACAGATACAGTGCAGAGCACTACAAGTGCAGAGAGCAGGCCGGGGCGGAAGAATAGGCCTCATCAAAAGGCCATTGTGTAAGCCTGTCAAAGCCCCCCTCCCTTCTTTGTGGCTTCTGTAGAAGCCCCACTATTGGTTACAGGAGGCCGGCAGCTCATTGAAATCTTTGTAATCCTAGCTGCGCTAATTAAGCAAGGCTGCGGGTGCTTAAGCATGTACATTTTTTTCTGAGCATTCTCTCCTCTCCATCCGCACCCCACCCCCTCGCCACGCTGGAGAAGATGAGGAGGAGGAAGAGGTCAGTGTGAGCCACGCAGGAGGCAGCAGCACTGCCAGCAGGGGGGACGAGGCAGCCAAACGAGATTGGCTTTACAGGCAGAAGATTAAATGTAGGAAGAGCTGGTGCACACACACACACACACAGAGAGAGAAAGAGACTGGGAACTGGGGCAGGTGCACGTCATTGGGTCTTTGACTGAGGTGTAAGGTTCATTTGCACTAATCCAGATCGCTCGGCTCGCTCGGCTGCGCCTATGTGAGCGTGCACGTTTCCGTACCCCCGACGAAGGACTGGGAAGACCTTAGGCGCCCACCCCAGTCCTTGGGACTATATCCGCTGTCCGGACAGAAGATGCCAACGAATGGGATCCACCAGCTTCTGAAGATCCAGTTTGGCTTGATTAACTCTGACAACAGGTACCTGACGGCAGAGAGCTTTGGCTACAAGGTCAACGCCTCGGCACCCAGCCTGAAAAGGAAGCAGATATGGACCCTGGAGCAGGACGGAGACAGCTCCGTGGTCTTCCTGAAGAGCCACCTAGGTAGGTACTTATCTGCCGACAAGGACGGCAAGGTCTCGTGTGAAGCCGAGAAGCCGGGAGGTGATGGGCGTTTTGTCATTGTCACCCAGTCGGACGGGCGCTGGGCGCTCCAGTCGGAACCCTACAAGCGTTTCTTTGGCGGTTCCGAAGACAGGTTGTCCTGCTTTGCCCAGACCATCACAGAAATGGAACTCTGGGCTGTGCACTTGGCTATCCACCCCCAGGCCAACCTCTTGAGCGTGAGCAGGAGAAGGTATGCGCACCTCAGCGCTCAGGAGGATGAGATCTCCACCGACAGCAACATCCCTTGGGGTGTGGACTCGCTCATCACCCTCACCTTCCAGAACAAGAAGTACTGCCTGAGAACCTGTGACAACCGCTACCTGCGCAACGATGGCACTCTGGTCAAGGAGCCTGACCCCCGCGCGGGCTACACCCTGGAATTCAAGGCGGGCAAGCTGGCCTTCAAGGATTGCGATGGGAAATACCTGGCGCCCATGGGACCTACCGGCACTCTAAAATCTGGCAGGAGCTCCAAGCCGGGCAAAGATGAACTCTTTGATCTGGAAGAGAGCCACCCGCAAGTAGTTTTCGTGGCCTCCAATGGCAGATATGTCTCCATCCGGCAAGGTAAATCCATTACCTTTCTGCTCTGTGGGACTACACATAGCCAGGGAATAGTCCTCTCCTTTCTTAGCCCCATAGCCATAATATGGGTGACTTGTTTTTTCGTCCGCTTTGTACAATGGTAATATGCTTGTTCCTAGCCACAGGTGACTCACTGAATGCATATGGTGGGGAGTGTTGATGATGGTAGTTGCCACCATCAGTTTCCTGATGCTTCTTTGCTTCAGGAGCTGCCTTCCTAATCCTCATGCTTGGATAGGGAAGGAAAGATGTGTCTCATGGCGTCTATTATGGTTCCTTGCTGGTCTCCATCAAGTCGATTATCTGTTTCTAGTACAGGGCAGGTGTGTTGTGCTCATTTGCACAGATAAGGATCTAGGAAGATGTTGTGGGGAAGAGATGAGTGCAGGGTCTGAAAGCCAAGGACAAGTGCAGTGGCGCCGGTGGAGAAGAGGAAAGTCTGCTTTGCTCTCTATGTTTTGCTACTGCTTCTATGGCAGCGTGTCAGATTGGAAGTTCTTCTAGTCCACATGATAATCAGTATGTCAGCAGGCATCCCTGCTGCTTAAGGAACAAGAACAGTTGCAGGCTCTGTCTTATATTCAAAGGATGGGGCACAGGGACAGATGCAGAACCCACTCTCCTGTGATTTTGCTAATACTGGCATGGTGGCTCCATAGATAAGCCAGTGGGTCTGGCGGCTGTTTAGCAAGAATGACACTCATGTGAATTTACAGGCCTCTGATTCTGTGCATGCACACCAGAGAGTGGCCCTGCTGGAATGGATTGAGATTTTTACAAGCTCTCTCCAGCAACAACTATTAATCTGAGTGGCGTGTGGACAGATGATGTGCTCGTTACATTTAACTTCCTTCAACACAATTAGGCAATGGCACTTGGATTCCATCATCTACTGCCGTCCTTGGTATTAAAAAATTATAATCAATTTTATAACCTTCTTCCTATCAGTCGGTGCAGCCAGCTCTCCTTCATTCTTCCTACGTTGCTTTTAGTGCTGCCAACGGTGTCCATCAAACATCTGCCCAGTGTCCCTGAAAGGGCTGTTCACATTCACAGCTGTAGTTGCCCATTCCTACGATTCCCATGTCCTACCCCAGCATTTCTAGGAAATGCTCTTCAGTGAACCATTTTAGGTGACTTCCCCCTGCCCAGAGATCAATGGCACTCCGAAAGGCCTTCTGGGTAAAGAATGAAAGGCAACTCCAACCTTACATCTTTCCCATATGGCTCCAGAACTGGCCTTTAAACTGCTTACACAACCGGACCATATTTCAATCAGCCCCCAAACAAAAGAGCAGCAGCAATCCCCAGCAAAGCTGTGTCCCAAATGTCTGAAAGTGCTACAGAGTGATGGTTTCATGTTGAGAAAATATTCCTTTCCCAAGGTTCTGAAATTCTTTCCAGAGGGAGAATGCTATTCCCTCATAACTACTTTTTCCCATGCATCTAAGAGAAAACTAACTGTAATCTCCTGTTTATTTTCATTTATTTATTGCATTTATATACCACCTTGATCTTCCAAGGATCTTGAGGAGGTGTACATGGTTCTCTTCCTCCCTCATTTCATCCTCTGTGAGGTAGGTTAGGTTAAGAGATGGCGACTGGCCCAAGGTCACCCTGTGAGCGTCATGGCTGAGTGGGGATTTCAACCCTGGTCTTCCAGGTCCTAGTCCAACACTCTAACCATTACACATGCTGTTTTTCTGACCTGTGGCACCTTTGGGTGATTATAGTGGCCACGGACTATAGCTTTTAAGACAGAGGGGCAACCTTTCCGGGGTTGAGGGCCTTGTTCAATTGGGGCTGGAGGATGCCTATTGCAGGTGGCAGGTGAGGCCAATGCAAAAATTGAGTGGGACAGCCCTTCTCTCTCTCTCTCTCTCTCTCTCTCTCTCCCTCCCTCTCCCTCTCCCTCTCCTTTATTCATCCACCATCCGTTTCATTTTCTTTCTTCCCCCTCTACCACAGGTGTACACAAGCACCCACGTCTCTTCCCTTTATCCATCCATTATCCATTCATTCTCTTGGCAGGGAGTTGGACTCAATGGCCCTTGTGGTCTCTTCCGACTCTATGATTCTATGATTCTTCCTTCGTTTTCTCTCTCCCTCTTCAAGCGCCACCACAGGATTTGGAAGGCCACACGCAAGCCTTGACACTACACCTAACGATAACCAAAGAATCGCCCTCCCTACCCATTTGCTTAACTGCAACACCAACAGTCTGTTGAAAACAGAAAAGGCTGTGCCCTGTTTCTGCTATGGTTGCCGCATTGTATGCTAACCCAGCTCCCGTGTCTCAGACAGGGTTCTCACACAAACTTAAGCAAGTCAAGCTTTCCTCATCACTATCTTCATGACAGGGAAAGCTTCACTGTCTTCATGAGCCAGTAAGAAGAGGGATAAAAAGCCGGTGGACAAATGAATCAGGTGAAGCAAATCGATCTGGAGTAATCACACTCTGCTTCTGTACTCTGAAACTAGGGTTGCGTTCTTTTGAAGAAAAGCTGGCCCTGATCCTGTGCCTTCAAAGCAGCCTGGCAGGAAGGAATTAAATAGCTGAAACTTTTTTGTGACATGAAGACAAACTGATGGGCAGGTCTCCATCGGCTTCATTTCCAAAGTGCCAACGTTGTTTAGAATTCCCAGCCTACATGTTCATTTATTTCTATTTTTAAATCTATTTTCATTTAAAGGGTTTTAGGCTGCCTTGCAGGGCAATGTCCTCTCCAGGTGGCATGCAAATATATACCAGATAAAAAGGCAATTACAATAAAATAATGTACATAACACAAATTTTGACCAGCACAATACCAAACAACTAGCATTCAGTTACTATAAATTAACTAATCTTTAAAATAATACACGGCCCAACATAGAAAGAGTTAAAACAACAATCTCCAATAACTAGTAGCCTAAAACCAACACTCTGAGAGAGCAGCTACCTTAATAAAATAATCTTAATTAAAAGCCAATCAGAACAGATGGTTCTTCAAAGGCTTTTTCAAGGTTGGCCCTGACAGGGCCAGCTACAAATCCCTTGGAAGCCACCACTGAAAAGGCCCTATATCTGGTGCACACCTGCTTATATACCATTCATTTAAAGCACCCCCCCCCAAGTATCCTGGGAACTGTAGTTTGTTAAGGGTGCTGGGAATTGTAGCTCAGCATAGGGTAAACTGTATTTCCCATTATTCTTTTTGTGTGCGTGCGTATGCTTTAAATGCATGGTGTGTACACAGCCTAACTGACCTTTATTTGTGTAAAATACTGCCTTATGGGGCCATCTCCAGGCAGTGTTGGCGGTCTGATCTTAAGGCCCAGACTGTTACACGGTCCTTCACATAACCGGGTCCTGGGCTATTTAAGACATAGGTCGCCAGCCTTTGGGGGCCCTATGGGCACATAACATAGGCAAACGAGAGAAACTTGTTGTGGGCCTCACATACACACTGCAACTAAGCACATACTACAGCCTAACTTATGGGCTACAATATACTGCTTCTTTCAAGTCTAATTTCAGCAGAGGGAGGGGAAACACCAGGGAAGGTATTTGTGAGTTTCATGTTCACTTGTGGGCACCACGTTAGTGACCCCACCTGGTTTACGGCTCTAGAACTCAAAGCTAACGTTTGGAATCTGGCTTGGAAATGCTCTGGCAAGCTGGCACAGTATTGGTATATAATATGGTCTAAAGGTCTACCCCCAAAAGACACCCTGAATACCAGCAGAGGTTTCTGGGTTGTCTTCCAGGGCAGCACCCCATAGAACACACTGCAGTAGTCTAGTCTGGATGTAACTAGTGCATGTTTGATGGAGGCAAGGTCTGCTTTCTCTAAATAAGAGTGCATTAGGTAAAAAGCAACCATAGTCATTTGTGCTTCCATAGACAGCACCAAGACCAGGCTGCACACTTGGTCTTTACAGGGGACTGCACAACACCCACCCCACCCCAACCACTTGTAGCCTCATGTCCGGATCGGCTTTCCTATCTACACAACAGCTTGTCTGGATTAACTATGCATTAACAGAGTGGGGAAACTGCACTTTTGGCCATTGTTTAATATACCCCTTTTGTCCTGTTTTACAAAAGTGTGTCTGAACTGTATTAGGTGGGCAGCTAATCCACTGTATTCCTGCCCTTAGTTGCTTATCTGGCCTTCATTACTGTAATGCAGTATGGGCCTCTTCTCTCACAGTGATTAGTGTAATTATTTTCTTAGCCTCCCCGCGGAGTTACCAGATGTTTGCATGTTAATTCATTTAAATAAATGCAAATTTAAAATTCACATTGCCTGGCTTTGATAATTAGCCTTTTTAAAAATAATAATAATAATCAAAAATCCCCAACCAGAGGAAAAAAGACTGATTTAAGCATGCTCATCCAGAAACCACTCCTCTTGCCCCAGAGAAAAGTGATCGGATATGGACCCTTCTTGTTTTCAATGCTGTTTTTAAGAGTCCAAGCTCTGGGAGATGATTCTAGTCCATCAGTCTGTTCTGGCGGCTATTAAATGCCCCAATTCAGAAGCAGGTTAAGGCTGTCAACTTTTGAATTGGTTCCTATAGGGGCCCCTTTAACAACAGTGATTGTCAGCTGTGACAATGGAGTGCAATTTGATTTTATATCTATATCTATATAAAGTACCTTTGCATTTTCTTCCGGTTACCTTTTTTTGAATTTGGAATGTGAGTGGGAAAATGTGGAGGGGATTAAGCACAGTGTAAATTTATTCATATCTACTCAGAGATATGCATTCTGTGGGACTTACTCACATGTAAGTGCTTATGGGATTTCAAATATTGACCTAAATATGGAAAAACAAGGAATAGGGGGCCTCTAGGGTGTCCAGATGCAAAAGAGAACAGTGTTTCTGTACTCTTTATTAACAGCTTAGTAGAAGAAGGAATTTTGCCTGGTCATCCTGGGGCCATGAAACGTATGTCCTGAAATTTTTCATTTTCACTCTGCCCTGATATGATCTCCAAAACTATGACAAATACCATCCTCATTTTACATTTTTCTCTGTGTGGAATCATGAGGGTCATGAGGACGGAACCTTAATTTAAAATAAAATAGAAACCCATATTCTGAAAAGGGAACTATACTATACTATACTATACTATACTATACTATACTATACTATACTATACTAGAAATTTAAATCTTGCATTGTGTGGTAAGACTCTCGATACCTTGTTCAAGGGTAGCTGTTTCTGGAAAAACAACATGTTGATCTCTCCCTTTTCTTTCTTTGGGCATTGTGGAGGCAAATATGCAGGAGGTTGCTTTGTTTCTGAGGTGAAGGAGGGGATTTGGTGTGTGTTGCATGTTTTTCCTCAACTTTAAAATTCGGGTAAATACGTTTTGCCAGCAAAAAGGTTGCAAATCATGTGTGTTTAAATCCTTAATGAATTAAATGATCCGAAGAAGACACCAGCGGTCAGTGGTCATCAGCTGTACAAAAATTGCTTTATTTAAAGCTTAAGAAGGAAGATCTTCAGCTTCTACAACAGCCAACAAGCGCTTTTGAAATGAACTGTACATGTATTTGCATGTTGTATGAAAATCAGATGATGCAGTCTGATTTCCTCAAGGTGACCCACTTCATTGTATTCTTCCTCAGCTAGCTTAGGAGTCATGCGATGGGCAAACAAACCCTAGCGGTACATAAACCAACCAGATGGGAGCTGAATGAGTAACAGGTGGCAACAGGAAATGCCACGCTGCCAAAGGGCTTGTGTCCGTTACTATAGCAACCTGGCCTATGCCAATTTCTGGGGGAAAGAGGAGCTACCCAGTCTCCCATGAATGAAAAGTCCCGAAGATCACTGTATAACTTGATCTTCCGGACAAGCTTGAAAGGCCATTCCATCCATAACCCAACGAAAGAAGGGGGATGGGGGAAATCCAAGTCTTGTGAGGGAAGGGAACTTTTTTTACTTTGTGGCCCAAAGTGTCATACATCAAACTGCAAAAATAGTGCTTATCCCTCCACAGAAATTAATGAGGTTCTTTCCCACTTGTTATTTTGAGGGAGGAGAAAATTTCACTGTAAGCTGTTAGACAGGAAGTTGTCGTTTCCAACCTCTCCTCAGCCATGAATTTACCACTAGGCTCAATGTTCCTAGGCAAGCCGCTCTTTCTAAGCCTCAGCTACTGATCTGTAGTATGGACATAACACCCCTGCGGACATGCCTTAGCTTTGAAGGGTGGTTGCAAAGTGTTGAGAAGAATCTGAGATAACGTGTGTCGAGAAGCTGAAACAAGTGAATGCCCCCAATCAATCAATCAATCAATGCCATCATGATCATCAAAAGAAACTTTCTTATTATTTCCCCTCCTCCCTAGGTCATTTAACAGGCTGTTTACAGTAAGTATAGCCATGCTTTCTTGAACCAACCGTCCTTTCCACTTTAGCTTAAAAATGTCTTCTAGGTCATGGGTGTGTGTGAACACAGGTGTAGCTGACCCTACGTAGAAGTTGCTGTGGTGTGTATTCCTCTTAAAACTGAATGTGCACACACTTGTATCCTTATAAATCAGTGGGCCTCACCAGACCATCTGCTTATGGCGAAACAAAAGTAGCGCATACTTGTTATTCATTCATAGCATGGAACCCAAGTGGCTTTTGCTTTTCTTCAGCTCCTAAAATGCAGCCTTTTGTCTCTGAGAAAGCAGTCTTCCTCTGGCCAACGTGCCCACTTCTAATCTTGCATGTTCTCTGCGGTGTGCCTTCATGCGTGTCCTAGGCCACATTCGCTGCCACACTATGTGTCAACGAGCACTAGTTTAGACAGCTTTACAAAGAGGATTAGGCAAATGCATGGAAGGCAGTTCTAAAAATAGCAGAGAGTATTGTGCCACCTTAAAAAAACGAACGCATTTACTGTGGCATAAGCCTTCAGGAGCCACAGACCATTTCATCAGATGCATGAAGTATCACCCTGCATTGGTAAACATGGTGGGGGTGATGGGGAATGTAGAGTTGTGAGGTCAGAGGGAGATGAGAGGCAAAAGGAACAGAAAGTGACCTGAAAGCAAAATTGATATAGTAAGCTGCAGCAATGCCTGTGTTGGTTCTGCCCCACCAAAGTGGCTGCCACTGATACTAGTTGGTGTGGACTGTCTGGGGAGTGAGAAACAAGTGGCAGAGGTTGTTTTCTTCATAGTCTGCTTGCGGACTTACTAGAAGCATCTGACTGGCCACTGTGGGCAACGAAAGGTCAGACCAGGTAGTCTTTTGCATTGATCAAGCAGGTATCCTCTTGCACATACCTTCTGAATAGGGACCGTGACGTTGCTGGTGATGAGTGAGGCCAATTCTTCTCTGCTGTTTTGTGCTTTTTTTTAATTCATTGGCAACCCCCCTAGTAGGCTGCAGCAGCATTCAACTCTTCTTCAACATATTGGTGTTTCGTTTTTAATCCATTGTCACCGTCAGTGACCACTTATTTCAGAAACTCTAATATGTTCAATTAAAAACAAAACAAAAATCCTGTACTTGCAAAACCAACATACGGGTCCTTGTCGAAGTGGCTAACCTCCATAGATTATACGGAGGGGGTTGGGTTTATTGTTGTGTTGTGTCCCCATTTCAGAAGCTTTGCCGCTCATATGAGTAGGCCAATTACAAGAGCAGCTACTTATGGGGATTAATCAACTGCACTTTGGTCTGCACTGGCTCTTCAACTTGAATGATTTGAAGCTACCCACAGGATGTGCTTGCGAATTCCTAAATGGTTCCCTCTGTATCTCCTTAATCCCAGCCTCCGATCCCCTTTGCCCCAGTCTCCCCCCGCCAGCTGTTCCAACCAGCCACTTCATCTCTTTGAATAGGATTATCCCACATTTAAGTTCAGTCATAACCTGTCTTATGCTGATGAAACCCCAGCAATGTTTATCACTGCCCTCCGGAGGGAAGAGCTTGGACGCGGCTGACAGGCCCAGAAGCTAGTCTCTTCTGCTAGGGTTAATATTATATTGTCAAACTATTACAATCTCATCCCGCTTGGCCCTATAGATACTAGCCACAGCCTTCCCTCTGCATTTTTGGCAGGTCTGGTCATACCCATTGGGATGGTGGGATGCCAGAGATATCAGTATGTTGGCAAGAGACTTGCTTTGTTGGCAACGAGCAACAGCCAACACAGAGGCTCACAGACCTCCTTTGCCTGTTCCAAGCCACTTAGGAGCTGGTGACATTGGCTGGCAAGTTATTAATAGGGGGCTTGTGTGTCAGCCAGATGGAAACAACAGCAATCAGATTAATGAGGATAATTAAAGTGATTGTTGGAGGATTTGCTAGCAACGCAGGAGTGTGAGAAGGGGGTGCCTATGGCTCAGTGAGGTGGGCTTAATTTTAGCAGGGATCGTTAATGCCCCTTCAGCTTGGAGGGTTAACCAACTTCCTTGTCAATTGTTACCTGTTTGACAAGAGTTTGTGTGGAGATTCTGATGAATACCTTCCCTCCAGGTATATGGTTCTTTGCACTGAGGAATCTAATCAAAAGCAGTTTGCCTGGAGGGGTCCGCCACACCAGCCTTCCCCAATCCAGAACCCTCCCAGATGTTGTTGGACTACAACTCCCATCATCCCTGACCATTGGCCGCGCTGGCTGGTGATTATGGAAGATGTACTCCCAAGCATTTGGAGAGCATCAGGATGGTGAAGGCTATACAGTGGACTTGACCATGGCTGGTGCTTATGGGATGCATCGAGAAAATGTAGCTTACCCACTAAGGTTGGCTGTGGAGTCTGTTGGTAAATGAAACCCTGCATCGAGCAACAATGCGAAGCAGCAAAACTGACTCAGGCAGAGGATTCCAAGGAAGATGTTATGACCAGCCCAATATGTTTTTCTGCCTGTGGCGAAGGATGAGACAGTGCTACCCCCTTCTGTGTACGAAAGCTGATTGTGTGTCAAAGCTGAATAGACGGGCATTTGAATCCTGCTTCAGCTCTTGGGCAGAGGCCTGTACTGCACTTGAAAGCAGCAAGCCAGGCTAGGGGATACTCACTGGGTATGCCACATGGCACACAGTTTTGCTCCCTCAGCATTTGATGTCTGAGGTGGCCACCTCAGAGTGCCTTATGGTGAGGCTGGCCCTGGGAAGTCCCATCTTCCTGTCTCTATGTGAGTGACAGTCGTTTTAAAAAGTGATAAGATTGTGGATCCCACAATCACCACATGTGTACAAGTTACCCTTGACTCTCTGTGTGTCATATCGGTAGACACACACACACAATGAGTAATCATGACTTTTCCCTTCCTCAAGGCAACACTCCCAAGACAATCAGAAGAAAGTATAATTGTCAAACTGCAAGGTTTTCAAACTGTGATCCATGGACCACTGGTGGTCTGTGAGCTCCATTTAGGTGGTCCACAGAAAAGGGTTAGCAGACTCTCCAAGTGTCCCTATTTTCCAAGGACATTCCCTATTTAGAAAAGCCGTCCCAGTTTCTGATTTGATCCCAGAATGTCCCACTTTCCTTTAGGATGTCCCTACTTTCATTGGAGAAATGTTGGAGAGCGTGGAGTTATCCAACCCTCATGGCATCTGAAGGCAATCCTGTATAGGGAAGTTTTTTATGTTCAATGTTTTATTATGTTTTTATATATGTTGGTAGCTGCCCAGAGTGGCTGGGGCAACCGAGTCGGATGTGTGGGGTATAAATAGTAAAATTATCATTATGGAATGAGACATCCCTATTTTCATTGGAGAAATGTGGGAGGGTTTGGGTTTATGCATGGTCCTGCACATGATTTTTACTAATGACAGAGTTTTTTCACCAGGGTCAGATTGTCAAGCAGGTAAACAAGGCTTTTGCTGAGGGCCCATGATTTTCATAATAGGGACTAACACAGTCTATTTCTTTTTTTCTAAAAATGAACAAATTAAAAGGGTTATTCCTCAGTGGCCTAACTTGCAGCCTGATATTTTCATAATAAGGTGCTGGTTTTGATTATGATACTGGTGCTGAATGAAAACACGCTATTAAAATACGAGTTATGTGCTTTGATCTGTAGAGGGGGGGAATATTTAGTAGCCCACCAAAATTCCTAGGAATTTTGAAGGAGAGAGAGAGGAGAGTGAACCACTGGCCAGGCGTGTGTGCTCCTGAGGAGCCGGTTATGGTGGATCATACAATCCACTTGAAAAGAGCTGTGTTGCAGAGGTAAGAGCTGATTAAATGCCAGGCAATGGAGTAGCCATGTTACCCATGTGGATTCTCATTTAAACCAGGTTGGCCTTACCTGTATTGTATACTTTTACCATGCCAGGAGGATCCCTAACCCTGGTGAGTGCTGAGCCGCCATGCTAACATTGCAAGTGTGGTGGCTGAAGGGGCTGGTGGAAAGAAAACCAGGGTTGGGTGAACCATTAGGTTCATAACACTTTTGGCCCTCATATATATATTTTTTTTAGGCTGCTATTTCCCCGGCTCTGCATGGAACTCACTGGGTGACCTTGGGCCAGTATCTGTATCTTAGAGGCATAGTGTCTGGTGGGGTGAAGCCGCAACAATAACTAGCCAGCAGTAGCATCAGCTCTGCATACTGAGAAGGTGAGGTCAGGAACCAGGCAAGGCTTGGACTGTGCGGTTGCATCGGCAGACCCAATCCAGCACTGTCGCTGGTGCATATGCATAGCCCTGGCCTTAGTTCTCCCGCTGTTAACATTATCTTCCTTACAGTGTCATTGTGGTGAGGAAATCCATGTACGGTATGTATGCCATCTTTGGAGGAATGACATCATCTATCCTTTTGCTACAGACAAAGCCAGGGTGTGTGGAAATGTTTGATTTATCGTTGAAGATTCCCCCACCCCTTTGATTTGAATAAATTTGTTAATGTTAGCTCATTGGTTTGTCAGCTTTATGGCAATTTATTTACTTCGGAGATTGTGGTATGTGCTACTTAGTTCTTTCCCTCTGATTTCCTTAGGCTCCTCATATGTTTAAAACAATAGGCACATGGGATACTAAAGAGATAAGTTCCTCTAACTTGCTTCTTGTTGGAATCATAAATTACGTCACAAATCTGGTAGGAGGACAAAACCAGTCCTGGGTGAATCAGCTGACAGCAAAGCATAGCACTCGCATTAGGCCATTAATTTTTTTGACAAAGATCACAGATCTGCTAAATCTCTGGTCCCAGGCTGAAATTGCCTCCTGGAAATAATCAGGGCAGGTTGAGGAATGGCATTAACACCTCAGCCAGCCTGACTGTGGCACTATAGCCAGATGAACAAGGACTTAAAAAAAAAGAAAGAACGAACAGGTCAAGAATAGGCTTGCAGAGTATGTGAATGTACATTGCATGCATAGGAAAGCTGAAACCGATTCAGGAGTCTCTTGATGTTTCGGCTTTTACTTTGAAGCAGCTATGGAAGCTATGGTTTTGATCAGAGCTTTGGGGAATTTTCCCACTACAATACTGCTGTTCTGGGGGAAAAAATATAATTGGAGCTTCCCAACTGGAGCTTTAAAACAATTGCAGATCACATTTCGTTTCAGAGAGGGGGAGGGGGAAGAGTAATCCATGAGGTCGGGGCGGGGAGGGAGGTTGCAAGAGAGAGATTGAGAGATTTTAATCAATCGCCTGCAGTCACTCTTTGGTGATCTGACTGCCAGCAGTGAGCTTCATGGGGAATTGACTAAGCAAGTTCTGTGAATCACACACCTATGGCTAATAAATAAAAAAAATTAGGCAGTTCGTAGGAAGGCTGCATTTGAGGTGGTGTAGACAGGGCTCAGGCCCGAGCTGGCTAGAGCTGACCAGAGAATAGTGGAGTGTTTTCTTGGGTGGTTTCCTGCCCATGCTTGCCAACAGAATGTTAAGAACTAGATAATGACATGTCCAATTGGTTTCTAGCCAATCAGGAAACAAATCCAAGTGCCAACTATGACAATCAAACCAGTGAGAGGCACTTGAAAACTACACACCTGTCTTCTATTTGGCGTTGTCCAGTAGACAGAACCAGGGACCTGCAACAAAGTACGGCAGCGTGGAGTGCTCCTGTTCAGTGTTCCAGCCAGCCATACCCTTTCCCAGGATATTCCGTTCCATCCTCTCCTAGTTTTCAGTTTCCCCACCCCTAAACAAATACCGGTACTCAGCATTCTATGGCAACTGAGCATGCTCAGCCCTGATTAGATTGTTTGAGGTTCTTTCCCTCCCCTCCTTAATTTGTATTTCTGCAAACTTCGGGATTCCTCAAGCCTATTACCGATTCCTTCCTCTTATGAATTTTGGCTGCATAAGCACCGTCACTTGGAGAATGAGTTTGCTATTAGCATATAGGATGTTGGACCTGGATTAAAGTTTAGCTTTTGTCGTGGACTTAACCTGGTGGCTTAGAGAAAATAATTATATCTCTACTGCAGATCCCCATCACAATGGAATGAAAGTGAGTCACACACATCTCAGGGCTTTTGTGAGGGTGAATGAGATAAAGCCCTGCTATCTGGGTAGTGCCCTAAGCCTTATGGAATGCTAGCAAGGATGTGATGACCAACAGCAGCCCTGGGATAGGGATTTAACCTATTGCCCATTGCTGTGGTCTTGATCTGGATCAACCACCCACACCTATATACTTGGGTTTTTGTTTTTAATTCATGTAATTGCTATTTTTGTGAACAGAGTCACATTTAGCGTGACCCTTAAGGCAAAAATAAAGGAAGAGTGTTGTTGTTTTTCTGTTGTTCATATTCTCAGAATTTACTGTTGGTTGTTACTCACATTTTATGGGGCTGTCCGTAATTAATGAACCATATCTTTACTTTTTATTCCCCTCCCCGATAATTAGTTACACCTTCTCCATCTCTCTTTTGTGCGTCTGAAGGAACGCCTTCAACTAGATAGTTCAGTTTGGTTAGAGTGTGGTGTTGATAACACCAAGATTGCAGGTTCGATCCCCACATAGGACAGCTGCATATTGCAGGGGGTTGGACTGTATGATCCTCAGGGTCCCTTCCAACTTTACAGTTCTATGATTCTAAGATGGACCTCTGCTTGAACCCTTCTCACAGGTTTTCGTATCTGGTTTCATGCCTGACAGTGGAGCACGATGGATCTAAACAATATGAAAATATGTCCTTTCTTCCTGCTAGGTGTCAACGTCTCAGCCAATCAGGATGAAGAGACACACCACGAAACCTTCCAGATACAGATTGATAAAGAAACCAAGAAGTGCATCTTCCATTCCAACACGGGCAACTACTGGACCTTGGTGTCGCATGGGGGAATTCAGGCCACGGCCACAGAAGTGTGAGTTAGGTTATGTCTTCATGTCACTAATGGGGCCCTAGAGCATTTGGGGCCTTGGAAGTCTGATGGCAGTTTTGGCTAGACATAGCAGAAGGAGAGCCAGGGCATGGAGAGAACAGGTGCAAGACTTAGAACAGGGCTTCCGGGAAGGAGTGATGGGTGCATAAGCACATAGAAGACCTCTACTGAGTCAGATCAGGGGCTATCTGTTCCTGCAGCCCATTTTTCACAGCAGCAAGCCAGTGACTCTGGTTTGCCCCCAAGCAGGACTTGAGGCAAATACAGTTGCCTAAACGAATGTCCATCAACGCTTCCTTTTCTGTGTCTGGAAAGGAAAAGCATGGTTTGGGCACAGCATTGCAGACATACAAGAATTTGCACATATGTTTGAGAATCAGGGACCTGGAAGTGAACAGCAAAGCCGTTCAGAGAAGGCAGGATAATTCAGGATAATGTTCAGTACGGCACCAACGTTGATACCAACTGGGAAGGCAGCAGAGCAGCATCTCCCAAGGGTAGCTAGCGAGTCTCAGGCAAAAGTGTGCATACATAACCGGGCTAAATTAGGATGTTTGGAAGCTTTTTCCAGACCTGGGACCCACTGTCAGCTCGAACACGGAGTTTGGGATTCACTGCTGAATTTTTTGAAACACACTTATAAGAAACAAATAATACTGCAAAATAGGACATATAGCTCACTACTGAATTTTTGATAGTACATCTGTACAGCGGTTGTGACCCATCTTAGGTTGGCTGCGCAAGCCACTAGTCAGTGGGACCCAACTCACCAGTTGAAGAACTAGATGGTCACAGACAAGGCAGGCGTCCTCAGCCCTGGTGCACTTGCCCAGGGTAATTTGCTGTGTGTCCTCTATTCCTATAGCAGCACCTTTAGCGACAGAAGTGGAATGTAAGAGAGAGAGGGAGAGAGGACTGCCATTGTCAGTAACTTCAAGCAATTAGGGGAACCTAGGAAGCTGCTTTGCACTGAGCCAAACTATTGGTCCATCTAGCTCAGAATTATCTGCAGATTCTAAACTTCGGGTGGACAGACTTGTGGGATCTGTTTTGGTCTTTATTAGAACCCTGAGATTCACCAGGCAGTCACACACTGCGAATGATGGAGCAGGGTGCCTCTCAGCGTATTCTTAGCTTAGGAATTACCAGAACCAGGCTTACAAGTTCTTCCAGTCAAGGAACCACTCCCCATTTCCCCCCAGGTATTCCTTCCCGCCCCCCGCCCCCGCCAGCAACCTAATGGGGGAGAGTGGCAATTTGTTGCACCTGCTACACAATGTGGTGTCCTGTGCACAAAACCCTGTTGATTTCAGCAAGACCTACGCCCATGCAAGTGTGTGTAGGGCTGCACTCTCTGTACGTTAAATACACAATAGGGAAGAAAGAGCAAAATGATCATTCACAATCTGACCAGTGCTCTCCTCGCCTTGCTTTGTTCCCCCAGATCTGCTAGCACCATGTTTGATATGGAGTGGCGTGGACGCCGGGTAGCCCTCAAAGCTCGCAATGGCAAATATATCTGCACCAAGAAGAATGGACAACTGGCAGCTGTCAGTGATGCAGTGGGTGAGTCTTACAGTGGGGTGCTGGGGGTGGGTTTTGCCATTGCCTCAATTACGGGGGCCTAAACCTGATAGGGACGCGGGTGGTGCTGTGGGTTAAACCACAGAGCCTAGGACAGAAGCTTGGCGGTTCGAATCCCCGTGACGGGGTGAGCTCCCATTGTTCCGTCCCTGCTCCTGCCAACCTAGCAGTTCAAAAGCACGTCAAAGTGCAAGTAGATAAATAGGTACCGCTCTGGTGGGAAGGTAAACGGCGTTTCTGTGTGCTGCTCTGGTTCGCCAGAAGCGGCTTAGTCATGCTGGCCACATGACCCAGAAAAACTGTCTGCAGACCAACGTCGGCTCCCTCGGCCAGTAAAGCGAGATGAGCGCCACAACCCCAGATTTGTCCACGACTAGACTTAACTGTCAGAGGTCCTTTACCTTTAAACCTGATAAACCAAGGACCACAGTCTGTGTGTTGTCAATAAAGCTGCTCGTCTTCCGCCACTTGCTGCAGCTTCCTTATTGAGAATGGTGGCTGGAAGAGGTAGGCGAGCCAAAACCATGCTCAATGGGCATCAGGAGAGTACCTAAATCTGTGTTATATGGAAACTGGAACATTGTGGGGCAAGATCACAACGAATGAGCCAATGGAATATATTACACGTATAGCTGAGGCTTTGTGGCTGGGACAGTCAGAAGCTGAGAGCAGAGAAAAGGCTGCATAGATATTGAGCAGTTCCAGAGGAGGCTATATTGAGAACAAATGAAACGAAGAGTTTGCAGGGCAGTTGGGAGGAAGTCACTTTTGCTAGAGCACAGGCCAACCAAGATTGAAACTGGAAGTTACTTGACTGGAAGTGGGGAGGGAGCAGCAGTAGGCCAACAAGTATGGTCTTATCCTAAGCAGCTGTAAGGTCCTCAGGCACACCTTGCAAGTCAGGAGAGCAGGTGGCTATTACCAGGTGTCAGAAAAGACCACCAAAGTCCTACTGAAAGTGACACAGCTGTTTAGTGCGGCTTAAAGCTGGATGGCTTCCAGGTGCACCTGAGATGAGCCCAATAGCAGGAACGCCACTCCGGTCGGACTCTGGCTTTAGCTGCAGATGCCAATTCAGTATGCCAAAGCAGGAGGAGAGCACTAAGGTGATGCCAGAGCAGTTTCAAAATAACGAGTAATCAATGACATAGTTTGTCCAGGATTCTTCCGCATTTGCAACTCTTAGGATCAATAATGGCAAGGAGCTCGCAGAAGTAGGATGAAGCCCAGTTGTAACCTCAGAAACTTAACTAGAAGGGGGAATTGAAAGCGGACTGATCCTGCTTACAGAACTCCTACTGAAAAGCAAAAACGTTAGCTGGAAATCTGCAAATTCAGGCTACTGAAAGCACGTATGTGGCTGGGAGAGCAATCCTGGACTCACTCGGGCTGAAGTCTGATGCAAATGTATTCACAAATGCACATTTTGGATCCCTAGCTCATCACAGTCACATTAGCTTCCGAACTCACTGACCTACAGTTATCTGACTACAGGGGAGGATGAGGAATTTGTTCTCAAGCTGATCAACCGGCCCATCCTGGTCCTTCGCGGGGCTCATGGCTTCGTGTGCTACCACCGCAACTCCAACTTGCTAGACGCCAACCGTTCCGTCTATGATGTCTTCCAGATCATCTTCAACGACGGCGCTTACCAGATCAAAGGTAACTCACTAACTGGCTGCAAACTGGGAGCTGGGGAGGGAGCTCATCACATAGTGAAATAATTTTGGACCATATGTCGGAGGGATGCTACGAGAACATTTGTTTCCCAGCTGTGAACACAGCCCCTCCAACTTCCACCTAAAATCCTGGAGAGCCTCTGCCAGCCAGTGTAGACAATAATGAGGTAGGTGGACCCAACACTCTATCTCTGTATAAGGCAGGTTCCTATGTTCCAACTGACTGCAAAGTCAGATCCCCCCATGCACTACCACAGTAAGCTATTTGTGCAAAGCAGTTCCTACCATTTGGAGAACTTTAACCTCACCATTAGAACCCATTGCCAATTCCATCCTATAACAAACTCTGGGTGTGAGGCCAGAAAAGTATCATCAGGCATGGGGGGGGGGGGAAACCCCAAGGTTTGCAGGAGTACCCAATGAATATATATTTATGCAGGTGCAGGAGGTGAAAAACAGCCAATGAGGATTGGGCAGTGGCACTGTCAAGCAATAGACTGCTAGGCAAAAGTCTGGGGATTTTGCAGCCCTCTCATCCCTCAGTGGTAGCTGGCCATTGATGACAAGCAGCCACACTCTAGAAAGTGTTATGGCTAGTACCTGAAGCTGCAGCTGTGGTGTTTCCTTAACAGTAAAATTCCACTGAGTGGAAGAAGAGTGGCAGCAAGCCCAGCCACTCAGATGCCTTCTCTGGGGAGGACAGCAGAACAGCAAAGGGGTGGGCCCTCGGAATTTACTTTTTTCCCTAAAGTGCCTAGAACCTTCTCAAAATTAATAAAAGCGCTTACGACCTTTTATCGTGCTGCGATTCGGGATTGTCGACACATGGGGAGCCTCACAAGTAGTCAGCAATGTGGGACTGCCTCCATGTGGACCTGGGAGGTGGCCACGTTTGCAACTGGAAGAGCGCCCCTGTTACAAATCTAAGTGCCAACGACCCTGCTTTTTCACTGTATTTGCTTGGACTTCCCCTGTAGCCCAGCTTGGTAGCTTTATAAGGTTCCACCAGTTCTTTGCTGTGGTCTCAGTCATGTGTGTGTGTGTGGATGACTGGACCAGTTATGACTCAGCAGCTCTTTTAAGGAACCTGTGGCCAAGGGATGATGGGCATTGGGAGCCCAGGTACATCAGCAAGGCCACATGTTCCACATCCCTGTTCTATCCTTTCTTTCCTAGAACTTCAGATTTCTCCCCCAAACGGATCACTACCTGCCACAAACGTCAATCCCATGCACCTTTAAGAGAGGGAGGGAGGTGGTGGTGCCTCTATGTGCTCGATTACATGCAAGGTTTTAACCTTTAAAGCCCTATACGGCCTAGGACCCTTGTACCTACGCGACCGCCTCTCCTGGTATGTCCCACGGAGGACCTTACGGTCTTCAAACAAAAACATCTTGGAGGTCCTGGGCCACAGAGAGGTTAAGCTGGCCTCAACCAGAGCCAGGGCTTTTTCGGCTGTGGCCCCGATCTGGTGAAACGCTCTGTCACAAGAGACTAGGGCCCTGCGGGGCTTGACATCTTTCCACAGGGCCTGCAAGACAGAGCTGTTCCGCCAGGCCTTTGGCCAGGGCACAACCTGACTCCCTCCTTTGGCAATCTTCACAGAACTCTAGCCTAATAATAATAATAATAATAATAATAATAATAATTTTATAATGAAATGATTTTAGAATGTTGTATCATTTTACTGGGACGCAGGTGGCGCTGTGGGTTAAACAACAGAGCCTAGGACTTGCCGATCAGAAGGTCGGTGGTTCGAATCCCCGCAACGTGGTAAGCTCCCGTTGCTCAGTCCCTGCTCCTGCCAACCTAGCAGTTCGAAAGCACGTCAAAGTGCAAGTAGATAAATAGGTACTGCTCTGGCGGGAAGGTAAACGGCGTTTCCGTGCGCTGCTCTGGTTCGCCAGAAGTGGCTTAGTCATGCTGGCCACATGACCTGGAAGCTGTACGCCGGCTCCCTCAGCCAATAAAGAGAGATGAGCACCGCAACCCCAGAGTTGGCCATGACTGGACCTAATGGTCAGGGGTCCCTTTACCTTTACCTTTATCATTTTACTGTTGTTAGCTGCTCTGAGCCCGGCTTCGGTTGGGAAGGGTAGGCGATAACTAAATTATTATTATTATTATTATTATTATTATTATTATTATTTCCCACTGACACCTGCTCCTTCAATGCTCCTAGGCCTCAGTGGCAAGTTCTGGTATGTGGCCACCAACGGCACTGTCTGCAGCGACGGCGAGATGTCGGAGGATTTCTACTTTGAGTTCCGCGAGTGCAGCCGGGTGGCCATCAAAGGGAAGAACGGCAAATACCTCCGTGGCGACCAAGCTGGGACCCTGCGCGCCGATGCCGACACCCTGCACCGGGCCACCCTCTGGGAGTACTGACGCCGTGCCACTTGCTGAGTAGCACCGTAGATGCTCTAGCTTCCGCCACGGTAGCCGAGCCAGCTCAGAGCGGACACAGAGGTGGGGTATTTGGCGGGGAGGGGAAAGTTGGGTGTTCCCACCTGGACTCCAGAGGCACAGTAATATACTCACACCTTCCTCCATGGAAAAGGACCTTGCTGGGAAGGAGGGGTGGGGACCTCTTGCCCTATTTCCCATAGTCTTATCTGTCTAACCTTAGAAGCAGCACCCTAATGCACAGCTCCCAGAAGGGTGCGACACTGATGTACCCAGGATTAAAGCAATAGAGGCTCCGTTTCAGAACCAGCGCAACATTGCCTGTGGCTGTCTTCCCTTTCCCCTGCTCCGCACCTGAAACAGAAGACGACAAGTTGCAGGTTTCAGGGGGCCTTGTGAAATGCCAGAAGCTCCAGCTTTGCTTGCTCTGCTCGCTGTAGCTTAGCGTGAAGGATTCACGGGGAAAAGGGGCAAAAGGAAAGGGTTAGTTGGAGATGCTCACAGGGCACAATCCCCACCTTTGCTGACGTAACGGAAGTTGGAAGCCCTTTCCCCCCCTCTCCCTCTAAATTAGGAGAGCAGTAGAAGATAGAAAGCAGCGGCCTTTGTACTGAGCCAGAATCATTGGTACATCTAGTTCAATATTGTCCACGCTGACTGGTAGAATGCTGCAGGGTTTCAGGCAGTGGAAATTCCCAGCACTTCATGCAGATGGCCGAGGACTGAACCTGGGCCCTTCTGCATACCAAGCAGGTGACCTTCAAGAAGGAGGAAACCGTCTCCCCCAATCCTTTCTCTGTCTAATGGATGACCTGCAGCGCCTCAGATCCCACTCTCCCCAATTTTTTATTCCCTTTTTAGCAAGAGCTCTAGTTCTAATACTCGCTTCACCTACAACTCTGGAACAAAAACAGTATCTTGAGGGGGGGTTTTTGGGGAGGGGGGAGCAGTGGCTGTGGGCCCCAGCAGCTGCATGTGCAGAGATGGAAGCTGAGTGCCGTTTAGAAGTCAAGGCAGTCAGGAGGGTCTTGGCAGGGCTGGAACATCTTCCATGGGGTGGTCTAGCCACAGACAATGGGCCGTTTTGGGTAACATTCCAAGAGGAGGGGGAAAACAGAGCTGGTCTCCAAAGGATGCAAAGATCTGGAGGAAGAGGAACCGTAGTTAGACTAGCGGAGGTCTTCATATGACAGCTGAGAATCCCAAGCCCCGGAACACGAGACCCTTAATCTCAGGGTCGTGGGTTCGAACCCCACGTTGGGCAAAAGATTCCCGAATTGCATTGTGTTGGACTAGATGACAATTGTGGTCCCTTCCAATTCTGTGATACGATAAAGTCTACAGTATGACCATCCCTCTAAGTCATTTGCGCAAGTCCTCAGCTACGCGTGGTCTCCAAAAACGCCTCCGTTGTCCTGCTGCTCTGTTCAAGGGCCTCCCCCTCTTGCACATGCTGCACCACTTCCACAAATAACCTAAAGAGGAAGGAAGCTGCCTCTATATAGAGCTTCCTGTTCCGACAGCTGCATATGGCGGCTGGCTAGGAGCTCCTTTCCATAGGCACAACTTCCCTCGTCACCACCTGACGCACAGCGCAATGCCAGGAAAGGAGGCCCTGCTTGAGGAGGACAATGGGGTCGAACAAGTACAGTGGTACCTCGGGTTACATACACTTCAGGTTACAGACACTTCAGGTTACAGACTCCGCTAACCCAGAAATAGTACCTCGGGTTAAGAACTTTGCTTCAGGATGAGAATAGAAATTGTGCGGTGGCGACGCAGCGGCAGCAGGAGGCCCCATTAGCTAAAGTGGTACTTCAGGTTAAGAACAGTTTCAGGTTAAGAACAGACCTCCAGAACGAATTAAGTTCTTAACCTGAGGTACCACCGTAAAGACCTGTGAAAATCTTGCTGGAAAGGGTTTTGTTAAAAAGTTTCACCCAACCCCACACTTCGGCCCATTTTCAAAATCTATATCCCTTGTGGATTTCCCTCCTCTTAGTGTTAAGATGGTGCTAACCCTATCATGGGCGTGGCCAGGATTTATTTTAGGGGGCAGGCTTTATGTGTGTAGGGGACAGGACCGAGTTATGTATGACACAATTGGTCAGTTAGTTTTATTTATTTCTTTACTTGATTTGGGGGGCAGCTGCCCCCCCCGGCCACACCTATGAGCCCCATCTAGTTCCAATGGGAGGCAGAAAGTTTTCATAGGAGGGATGGCATCCCCACCATATTATATTTAAAAATAAAATTTAGAGCAGATATATAGACGTTTCCATGCTGGAGGAAGAGTAGAAGTCATAGCTTCCGAAGCCACAGTTGATTTACCGGGGGTGCCAACTTAAAATATTGCAGGGTAAGCCCAGGTAAGCCCCGCCCCACATCATCCATCACATGACACAGTGCACACACACTATTTGAATGGGAATGCTCATCAACTTTGTGGGGGCCAGCCCCCTCAAATATTTTATTGGGCCCCTAAGAGTTGGCTCCTGTGTGACTTATGGACAGTCGTACCTTGGATCCCGAATGCCCTGGAACTCAGACGTTTTGGCTTCCAAGCACCGCAAACCTAGAAGTGATTGTTCCGGTTTGCGAAGGCTCTTTTGGAACCCGAATGTCTGGTGGGGCTTCCACGGCTTCTGATTGGCTGCAGGAGCTTCCTGCAGCCAATCAGAAGCTGCGATTTGGTTTTCGAACGTTTTGGAAGTCGAACGGACTTTCAGAACGGTTTCTGTTTGACTTCCAAGGTACGACTGTATTTAGCATCCTGCTCTAACCCTGCTCTCTTCAGAAGCATTGCTGCGTCTAGGTGGTGCTGGAGTGGTATTAACTTTGTTGACCCATACAGATTTTTCCTCTTTTTTTGCAAAAGCGCATGGCAGTATCCTGCGGAAAGGCCCTCACACCTGGGTCACAGCTGCACCGGTAACCAAGTACGGCAGCTGAATGTCTAAAAGGCATAGCAGCATCTATTCCTAGCAGCAGCAGCTAGTGTGCACCCTAGGCAGAGGGGTGGCTTTGCTGCTTTGTTTTCTAGCATCCATCCGTCCCATGATGGGATGAGGAACCACGGGTACTTAACTTTTCACCAGTTAGAAGAAACAGCACATGCAGCCTGAGCCTCCCCCTCAGGAACAAAAAGCCTCAGGCTAGTGCAGCCAGGGGACACGGAGCAATGGATCCAAGAAAGAAGATTCCACCTAAACATTAGGAAGAACTTCCTGACAGTAAGAGCTGTTCGACAGTGGAATTTGCTGCCAAGGAGTGTGGTGGAGTCTCCTTCTTTGGAGGTCTTTAAGCAGAGGCTTGACAACCATATGTCAGGAGTGCTCTGATGGTGTTTCCTGCTTGGCAGGGGGTTGGACTCGATGGCCCTTGTGGTCTCTTCCAACTCTATGATTCTATGACTTCTGGCTCCCTCTCTGCTCCCAAACACTAAATCATGAGTAGGCAAACTAAGGCCTGTGGGCCAGATCAGGCCCAATTGCCTTCTGGATCCGGCCCATGGACTGTCTGGGAATTGCCGCGTGGATTCTTTCCCTCTCCCTCACATGGCTTCACCACCTCTTCCCTCCCTCCTCCTGGCTTCTCCCTGCCCTGCGTAGAGGAGGAAGGGGGCTGGGCTTTGTTGGTGCCAGCAGCAGCAGCAGCAGCGCTCAAGCAGCCACCATTTTAAGCAGCCCCTCTGGAGCCCTTTCATGTGTCACTCATCGTCCCGCCGCTGCCAGCCCCGGCTGCTCGCAAGACATAGGTAAGCAGCTACTGGGACTCGTGGTGCTCTTGCATCATTCCACCTCCCCAAATATAGTCCGGCCCCCCACAAGGTCTGAGGGACAGTGGACCGGCCCCCTGCTGAAAATGTTTGCTGATCCCTGCACTAAATGATGGGGCCTGTCACTCCACAGCCATTCCATGTGAATCCCACTGCCGCCACTTCTCTCCCAGGTGCCCGCCCCCCACGTTTGCAGGCCTTTGGGGGTGGGGAAAGGGGCACGCTCAGAAGCCTGATAAGCTACCTGAGGCGTGCATCAACATTATGGAGTAATATGACTGGGCAGTCAGAATAAAATGCAGATAACCTGTGCCTAACTAAATGCACTGTTTTCACACACTTGGGGGAGCGGGGCTCTGCTACTGCTCTTCCCTGTTGTGTATTTAGTGAACCTCCCTGGGAGGTGATTTCATCTAAACAGGGAAAGCGGCATTCTGTGGCCCTCCAGATGGGGCTACTGGCTAGGGCAGGCACCCCCAAACTCGGCCCTCCAGCTGTTTTGGGACTACAACTCCCATCATCCCTGACCACTGCTCGTTAGCTAGGGATGATGGGAGTTGTAGTCCCAAAACAGCTGGCGGGCCGAGTTTGGGGGTGCCTGGGCTAGGGCATGGGCGTAGCCAGGATTTATGTTGGGGGGGGGGTCAGGGCACCCACCTGTCATCATCCTCTGTCTGGCTCTGCCTATGGCTCAGTTGGTTTGCCAGTTGTGTCGCTAGAACACACCACAGCAGCACTGGAGTGACTTCCATTTCAAATATTCTGATTATCTCTGCTTTTAGTTAAGTATATTTATTTATTTACTTGATGGGGAGGGGCAGCTGTCCCCCTGGCTATGCCCATGGGCTAGGACTCCAACTCTCTTCAACTAGACAGTATGATAAATGGTTAGGGACAAGGAGAGTTGCAATATCTGGAGCCCCGCGGCCCCCACCGCCTCCCTCCCGATTTCCAGGATCCTATGCAGTACTGAGAAGGGGAAATCCTTGCACAGCACACAGAAGGGCTCTCCTCATTGGCCCAGCTGGCCACAGCCCATATAAAGGCAACTCCAGGGCGATCTCTGTAGGAAAGGGAAATGGAACCAGCTCGGACAGCGCCATATAAGGAGAAAATAGTGACAATACCAACGAGGGCGTTTAGTCACCGTGAGCGGCGAATCAAACCACCCCTTGCGCTTCCTATTCAGAAAAATCATAGCATGTGCAAATCTGAAACAGACCCGGCGAAGCCTGACGAGGCACAAGGCCTGTACTTATATGGAAGTGAATCCCCGTTGCACTCAGCGGCAATTACTGCCGACGCATGGGTAGGATCGGGCTGCACGCTTTAAAAAACGAACAACAATAATAATAACAATTGCATTTTTTTAATTGGGCTGCCCCCGCCTCTTTTAAGCGCACTTGCAGGGGCTGCAACTGCTGGATTTCGTGGCGGCATGAAACCAGAAAGTGGGGCGCAGCTGGTGCAACGTGTGGGAGAGGGCGCAGGGTGAAGGATCGCGGGCAAACTTGCAGCTGCGTCCCCTTGCCGGCTTCGGGTCTCTTTTTAGCACTGCCTGGGTGCGCGGCGCGTGGGAGGAGGAGCGACTTGGCTCCTGGTCCGCGGAGAGAGGATCGCCGGCACATTACCCTCCCCCCCCCCGCGTCTGCTAAAATGTTGAATGTGGATCCCGGAAGCAAACTGGAGTTACGGCGATTGACGGGTTAACTGGTTCAGCTTCAGCGGAGCTGCAAAAAGAAGCGGCGACTCCCCCTAGGGGCAGCAGGTGCGCGTTGCAGGCCACTCGGAAAAGCCTGTCGCTTAGTCGGTGGGGTCGAAGAACCGCCCCCCCCCCCCCGCCAGCAATGCCCTTTATCCACAATGGCAGTTTCCACCGTGGCTGCTGCATCTCCAGTAATCCGGAGAGGGTCTCCGTGCCCTTTTCACTTGATGGCATTTCCATGATTTGAAAGATGAGTTTTATTCCTTGGTCTCCTGCTGGGCAAGATAGCAAGGGAGTCTAACATAAGTACTGTACTTCGATTTTTAAATTTTGTTGCGAGGGAGACATCAGATCCGGCTCGTAGAAGTCCTAAAGCATATATATATGTTGACAGGAAAAAAATGGACACCCCGGACACAATGCAGGTTTTGCAACCACATGGAGGCTCGCATGGAGCTAAGCTGGACCATGGCTCGCGTATTGTTACGCACCCCGTTCCCCCCTTTCACATGTTTTGAAAACCCCAACATATAATTTAAAGCGGTGGCTGCGTGGACACCTTAGGCTTAGAAGCGGATGACTTCTTGCATAAGAATCATGGGAACTGTAGTTCGTCCAGGGTGCTGGGAATCGCAGCTCTGTTTTGGGGAAACTATAGTTCTCAGGATCTTGCGCATAAAAGTATGCTGGAATAGCTCAGTCGGTAGAGCGTGGTCGTGGGTTCGAGCCCCACGTCGGGCAATAAATGGTTACTGCACTGCAGAGGGTTGGACTAGAGTGGGGTCTGTAATTCTATGCCTAAAACCCTCCAGCTACGTTGGCAAGCGGCAAGGGAGCATTATCCCATTCAGCAGTGACACCAAAACGGGCACGCGGGTAGTCGCTTGCTTCGGTTCACCTAAGGGACAATCGGAAGAGCTATAAAGACAAGTGAGCGAGAGATCCAAAGCGTGACGCAGGATTGTGACGGCTTTCTGCAAAGTATGACTGCCATCCTAAGCACTAAAACTCTCATAAGTGAGAGCAAACGCGGTTAGCATTGTGCTGCGAAGACTGGGAGAAGGAAGCTGTGCGCAGATAATAGCGCCCCCCGCTGCCCAAATGCAGTATGGTAAAGCTATCCTTGCTCACTGTGGCCTTTGCCCATATATTTTTTTCGAAGTGCCACAGCAATAAGTAACCCCAGCTTGTTGGAGACCATGGCAGGCCAGGGAGGTCAAGAGGACCGTTTGCACTGTGGGTAGCAACAGCTCTGCCATGCCGCAGGTTCCCCATACCTGTCCTGGGACTTGGAAAGGAGGCCTGTTAAAAAATAGCTGCAGGAGCTGGGGGGGGGGGGGAGCAATTCAACTTCTGACGCTCAACAGGTTCCTTCCAGCATTTTTTTGCTGCTTGCTTTCGTGGTGCTGATGCGAGCGGAGCGCCTCTCCCGATACGGTAGCAAGGAAGAGAGAGCCGTGCGCAATGAACGCGCTGCCACCTGCAGCATGAGGCGGAGCACTGGAGCCGTGAACGGCTCGGCGGCAGTGGCTTCAGCTGGAAGCCCCACCGATCACCTTCCAGGTTATCAGATCCACGGACGGCGAACTTGAGACGTGCGGCATGTACGCTAGAATATATGATGGGCTGTGCTGCGACTTCCCGTGCTCAGCTAAGCAGCCGAGAGCCTCCCTCCCGGTTCCAAGTGGGTTCTTTATTTTGCAGGCTCAGTACCGGCGCTGCCTGCAGGGAAACCGCTCCGCCTGCGGGAGAAGGGCAGCATCGCGGTGGCATAATTAACCCTGCCCTGCTGGAAGCACCCATGCAGGGCAGCCACCCAAACCGGCTGCACCCAGTGCCGCTGTTGGCGCACAGCTCCCAGCGCAGCGCTTTGAACCAGAGAGTTGGAAGGGACCTAGAGGATCACCTAGTCCTAGCCCAACCCCCTGCAATGCAGGGATATGCAGACGTCCCTTACAACGGATCGAACCTGCAACCTCGGCGTCTTCAGCGCAGCACTCTAAGCAACAGAGCTGCTATCCGGCCGAATGAGGGCCGCCTTTGCGCGCGGCTCTTGGGAAATCCGAACGAGAGGCAGACAAGGCAGAGGCGCACGCGCTCCCGGAAGCCCCTTGGCTGTGTTTTGCGACGGGGCGGTGAAGCAGCAGCCGGGCAGGAGAGCTTCCAAGTCAATTAGTTTATAGGGAGAAATGCTATGGAAGCAGAGACCCAGTCATTTTCTCTGGGACACTGGGGAGCCTCTTCACAGGGCAGGGTCCGGTGGGAGGTTTGGGTACACAGAAGAGCAGGTTCTTCTGGGTCCCGGGTTCTTTTGCTAGTATTAACCCAGCCTGTGCTGCGTCTGAACGCCCCAGTTAGCAACTCTCTCCAGTTTGGACACAGGCTGGCAGCGACCAGGACTCACAGGCTTATGGTCTGACGACCGCTTGCTTCATTAAAGCTCCTGCTCTGCTTGTCGCCTTTGCAATTGGAGTGCGGGGAGACAGGACTTCGCAGGATCACAGCCCTAGCTCCCCGCACCCCCGCGCTGCGAGCACCTCTGCAAAAGGGCTCCTTGGCTGCGAGCCGGGCTCCCTCCTCCAATCGCAGGAGCAAGCGGGCTGGGCGGCTTTGGCTGCAATCCAATTAGGTTAGCCCTGCAGGGGCGACGGAGGAGACCCAAAGACCCAGATCTGTCAGTTCCTCCCTTCAAGACTCGCTGAGCAGGAGCGGGAGGCAGGCGGCAGGCGCGCTCGAGTGCGTAATCGCAACCGACACAGGCACCAGCCGCCGCCTGAGACTTAACCTTTCCAAAGGCGCGCAGGAGGAGGGATGCCGCGCGGCCCCCCTCCCCACACCCGCAAAGCGTGGGGCACTCAGCGGCCCCTCCCCACTTGACCCAGGCCGCCGCGCTGCAAACCCCTGGCCTGGCTGCATTGGTTCCCAAAAGGAAGGGATGGCTCTGTGTGACCCCATCAACAGGCACCCTTGACCCCTGCGCTCCCTATTCATTGTGGAAAGGGGCTGCAGAGGCAGAAGCGCCCCTAGCTCGGCTCAGCTCTCACAAGCAGGGAATAGCACACAGAGAGGCTCGCTTTCGAAGGTCCGGTTTCCCCCTGTGAGCCAGCAGCATGGTGAAGTGGTTAGAGTGCCGGAGGAGCACTTGGGAGACCAGGGTTCAAATCCTCCACTCAAGCTTCCCAAGTTGCCTTGAGGCTGTCGGCTGCTTGGCCTACCTTGCAGAGTAGTTGTGAAGACAAAATGGGGAGGGGAGAACCATGCACTCCACCCTTGAGGTCCATGGAGGAAAGGTGGGAGGAATAATAATAATAATAATAATAATAGCAGTGTAATAGGAGAGGGAGATGTAGTGGAGCTCTGCAAAAAGAAAACAGCTTGGGCCACCTCGGGGATTCAAAATGCAGGCCTGGGCAAGGAAAAGAAAACCCAGCAATCTTTTATTTTTGTGACAACAGTCCCCCCCCCCCCCAGTAGCTTGGGGGGGGGGGGGGAGAGGAAGCAGCCCCATCTGCCTGAAGTGAAGCTCTCAGAGGCTCAAGGTGAAGAGACTCTACTGGGAGGTCAGAGGGTAGACATGACATCAATTATTCCCGATCAGGCAATGGGAGAGTGCTCGCATCTTTCACCCCCAAGTGTTGGAGCAGTTCCTAATGGCCTTTAGTGCCGGCCAGCGAGCGCGCCGAATGGCTTCTCAATTATTCATCGGGAAAAGAGGCAGCTTTTAAAGCGGAAGCTGCATTAGCTCCACGGGGGGCGAAAGTGGGTGGGTGGGAGGCCCCCAAGCTGCCAGCAGAGCAGGAGAAAGGAAAAGGGAGACGCGGACAGGCTGCACAGCGAAGGGAGGCTGTCGTGCAGCTTTATGAAAACGGGATGTTTTTTTCTCTCAGAGATGTGGCTTTTTGCAAAGGAAGGCTTAAACACACACGTGCACAACCCCCTCCCCCACAAAAGACCCCCCAGAAAACCGCCCACACACCCCACAAACAACTGTGCACGAGTCTCCACCATGGAAATAAGACAAGCAAGTTGTTTATATAGAAAGGACAAATACTGGAAAAAGGAGCAAAGCGCTCCATTAGAAAAAGGGGCACCATCCGAACAGCACCCCTGAGTTACTTATGCATGTGGCATCCTGTTTTTTCGAGTCTTGTTTTTCCACAGTGTTTCCGAAATACACAACACAGCTAGAGGCATAGCCCTTTTCCCCCACTGTCGGCTTGTTCGTTTTGCTCAGAAGGGAACAAAAACTCGGTTAAAATCTGCCCCCTTCCCCTCCCCCCACAACTCAACAGGCCTCCCCCTCCCACTTCACCCCCAAAACCCGCCTCCCTCCCTCCCCCCCAAGGCCTGGCACAGCAAAGCCACTTGTCACCGAAAGCGAAAGAAGCTAAACTAGCAACGGTCCAGTGTGATTCCACAACACGGCACCCACACCCACCAACGGCACCTTGTCGGCCATCCAAGTTACACACACGCACGTACACACACACATACCACAGACACGCATCCACAGAGGGCGTCTGCTTGGACGGCTCTGCCTGCGTGCGAGGTTGCCAAGACAAACCGATCAGATCTGCCAGGAATGGGCAGGGATTCAGAACCCGGGGGGTGGCAGCGGTGGTGGGAAAAATCACATTGAAATGGGGTGGGTGAGTGCAGAAAGGGACAGGGGAAAAGGAGAATAAATTAAAAAAGGCCGGGTCTCCACAGAGCAGACCCAGCCAGACACCCCCTCTCCCCAGGGCATGTCCAGCTGGAATCCCCTTCCTCATCCTCCTCCCTGCCATGCCTCTGTTCCAGCCCTCGGTCCGCGTGCAAGGTGTACAGCCAGCTGCTCCCTTCATTCCACCAGCACAGGGCAAAGGTAGCACGTGCAGCCGTCTGACGTGCACTAAAGACGGAGAGCCACGGCACACACCCTGCTCACAGGACCACCAGGCTGGGGTTGCGCAGCTGCTGGTAGACGTGCAAGAGCTTCTCCACTGTCGCCTCCGGATCGTTCCCCAGGCACAAGCGGTCACGCAGGGACTGTGCCTCTTTTAGCAGCACCTTCCAAAAGAAAGAAAGAAAGAGGCGAGGAGCGCAGTTGGTGTGAGAGGCAGCAGCAAAGGAGTACGGTGGTATCTCGGATTAAGAACTTAATTCGTTCTGGAGGTCCGTTCTTAACCTGAAACTGTTCTTAACCTGAAGCACCATTTTAGCTAATGGGGCCTCCTGCTGCTGCTGTGGCGGCGCTGCCGCCCAATTTCTGTTCTTATCCTGAAGCAAAGTTCTTAACCTGAGGTAATATTTCTGGGTTAACGCAGTCTGTAACCTGAAGTGTCTGTAACCTGAAGCGTATGTAACCCAAGGTACCACTGTATTTCAAATTATAATGCATCTGAGCTAACCCCATGATTTCTGTTCTCATCCTGAAGCAAAGTTCTTAACCCAAGGTACTATTTCTGGGTTGGTGGAGTCTGTAACCTGAAGCATCTGTAACCCGAGGTACCACTGTAATAGAATCATAGAGTGGGAAGGATCATCAATGCAGGAAATTGCAGTTGTCCCATATGGGGCTCAAACCTGCAACCTGCAACCTTGGTATTCTTTCCCTAACCAACTGAGCTGGAAGGCTGGCTTAAACAGGCGGGCTGATGTCCAACCGGTCTACCACATCCTGTGGCATGCTCCCTCATTCCTCCCCTAGACGTAAAAGTCCTCCTCTCTCCACGACTCCCCATTTAGCCCACTATGAACCAGATGCCTCCCCAACTCCCCCCTCCCAGGTATCCCCTTTCTTGCCACCACCCCAAATTATGCAAGCACGGAAGTATTTGCATAAAATTCATTCGGATTGTAGAATCTAATTTGCTTTGCTGCTGAATTTGGGTGTGTGTGTGAGAGAGAGAGAAGAGACGAGAGAGAGGAGAGAGGAGACAAGCCCTGAGTGAAAACCTTAGTGCCAAAGATATTTAACATTTCCAGTTCCTGAAATCATATGGAATGCATTATAAATGTCTGCCTGAAGCCCTGGGATGAGGGGAGGGTTGAGGGACAGGGAGGAAGAGAGACAGAGAGAAAGAAAGAGAGGGGGGGTCGCTAATCAAGTCAGGGAAAGCGTAAATAGAACGGAACGCAGTCACTGCCAGATTGGCTCAGCCCAACTGCCTGTCTCAGCCCAGCAATTACAGACCAAGCCATAAATCCATTTGCTGTCATTTAGTCTGTCAACCCGGATTCCTCCGTTTAGGTGTCTCTGTGTGGCCTGATGCGGGCGAGAGTCGAAAGAGAAGCCCTGGTTAACTGCTCTGGGCAGAGGAAATTCCAGAGCTCAACCCAAGCAGCAAAAGGCCTGGGATTGCATGTGATTCGTCTCACCCACCCACCTCCCGTGCTGCCACCGCCACCACCACTCCGCTCTCCAGCCTTCCTGCAACAACCCAAGCACAAATATGTGGAGCAAGATCTGCTTCTGTGGCCCCTGGAACCTAAGGACACCTGGCAGAGAGAGAAATGTGTCTTACCTCGTGGTTGGCTTGGATCTGGTGGAGGTATTGCACACGGATATCTGGGGGAGAAGAGTCCTCGGCTGCTTGCTCCAGAATCAGAGTCTGCATTAAAAAAAAAGGGGGGGGCTCATTAAAGCAAGATTAACCAATGGAGAAATCCAGGTTCCTTGCCTTTGAATAAGAGAATCAGAGGACCCACAAAGATGCCTGGAATGAGGCAGAACAGGGTTCCTGTTTCTCAAACCCTTTAGAGTGGGGAATAACAATAATAATAATATTATTTATATGCTACCCATCTGACAACATTGCCCCATCCACTCTGGGTGGCTCCCAACAGAATACAGTCATACCTCCGGTTGAATGTGCTTCAGGTTGAGAGCTTTCAGGTTGCGCTCCGCAGCAACCTGGAAGTAACAGAGCGCGTTACTTCCCGGTTTTGCTGCTCGTGCATGCGCAGACGCTCAAAATAACGTCACGCACATGTGCGGAAGCGGCAAAATGCGACCCGCGCAGTCGCGTCTTACATTCCATTCAGGATGCAAACGGGGCTCTGGAACGGATCCCATTCGCATCCCGAGGTACCACTGTATTTAGAATCATAGAATCATAGAGTTGGAAGAGACCACAAGGGCCATCGAGTCCAACCCCCTGCCAAGCAGGAAACACCATCAGAGCACTCCTGACATATGGTTGTCAAGCCTCTGCTTAAAGACCTCCAAAGAAGGAGACTCCACCACACTCCTTGGCAGCAAATTCCACTGTCGAACAGCTCTTACTGTCAGGAAGTTCTTCCTAATGTTTAGGTGGAATCTTCTTTCTTGTAGTTTGGATCCATTGCTCCGTGTCCGCTTCTCTGGAGCAGCAGAAAACAACCTTTCTCCCTCCTCTATGTGACATCCTTTTATATATTTGAACATGGCTATCATATCACCCCTTAACCTCCTCTTCTCCAGGCTAAACATGCCCAGCTCCCTTAGCCGTTCCTCATAAGGCATCGTTTCCAGGCCTTTGACCATTTTGGTTGCCCTCCTCTGGACCCGTTCCAGTTTGTCAGTGTCCTTCTTGAACTGTGGTGCCCAGAACTGGACACAGTACTGCAGGTGAGGTCTGACCAGAGCAGAATACAGTGGCACTATTACTTCCCTTGATCTAGATGCTATACTCCTATTGATGCAGCCCAGAATTGCATTGGCTTTTTTAGCTGCCGCGTCACACTGTTGACTCATGTCAAGTTTGTGGTCAACCAAGACTCCTAGACCCTTTTCACATGTACTGCTCTCAAGTCAGGTGTCACCCATCTTGTATTTGTGCCTCTCATTTTTTTTGCCCAAAAACACAGTCAAACATCAAACAAAAAAACTTCCCTACAGAGGGCCGCCTTCAGATGTTTTCTAAAAGTCAGATAGTTCTTCATTTCCTTGACATCTGACAGGAGGGCATGCCACAGGGCGGGCACCACCACCGAGAAGGCCCTCTGTGAGAAGACCGAGAAGACCACCAGAAAACTCTTGGAAGACTCCTGGAGCTGGACCTCAGTGTCTGGGCTGAACAATGGGGATGGAGACGCTCCTTTGGGTATACTGGGTTGAGGCTGTTAAGGGCTTTAAAGGTCAGCACCAACACTTTGAATTGTGCTTGGAAACATACTAGGAGCCAATGAGGATCCTTTAAGACCGGTGTTATATGGTCCCAGCAGCCACTCCTGGTCACCAGTTTAGCTGTCGCATTTTGGATTAGTTGTAGTTTCTGAGTCACCTTCAAAGATAGCCCCACAAAGACTGCCTTGCAGTAGTCCAAGCGGGAGATAACCAGAGCATGTTATCAAGATGTAATTAAAAACATCAAACATTAATAGTAAACATGTAATCTGTGGCCCTCCATCCCTGACCATTCTTAGCCCATGCTGGCCGAAGCCGATGGATGCCAGAACCCCAAAACAGCATCTCTCTCCCTCCCACGTATCTGAAATCTCAGGTACCTGAATGCGCCTGACCACAGCATGGTGCAGCTGGGACATGTTTTCCATTGGTGAGCTCTGGATTATGATCTCCACGGCTTGGATGGGGCCTGCTGGGTTCAGGTCACTGACAGCCACCTGGCGGATAACGAGGACACACCATTGCAGCAAATTCATCCAAACAGTGCAAATTAAAAAGCCCAGCGGCAAAGCACCTCATTGGTCTGTTTTCAGAAAAAGCCCACCATCCATTTCCAATTTACAGGGGATATAAGCAGGTGGCTGGCACAGCTTGCCATATTGGTGGCGAAGACGGCGTTTGGTCCCCTTGGGTCTAATATTTTGTTGCACGCTTCTGCAGATTCCGGGGGAAATTACGTAATCAGTTCCCGTCCTACCCTCTTCCACTATTATCTCTCCTCCAACCGTGGCAAGACAGTGCCCAGTAACTTCCCAAGGAGATGCCAAGGGAGTAGCTTTAATTAACAGATCCACAGATCGCCCACTTCTCCCCTCTCCTGAATTTACCCAGATGATGCTGAGACCCACCAAACATGGGCATGAACTGGCACCCCGGCAGTGGCCAGCTGAAACGCTGGGACAGAAGCCCCTGCACGCTGCCAAAACGAGAGGGCTTGTTGTCCGTGCCCCACTGAAAGGCACCCCGATGAGCTAAATGCGCAAGGGCCAGCCGGAGCAGAATTAGCACAGCCACTAATCACTGCTGGCGTTATTAACGCTCCCTTGCGCAAAGCCAGAGGGGCCGGGTGGTTGCCAGCGCTCTGCCACCCCTCTCGGGGGGTTTACCGGCCACGGTGGCAGAGCCAGCTAGCAATTAACATCGGCTATGTGCCGCGGCAAGAGGATTAAAGGGGGGGGCAGCCAAAGCTCCTGTCTGATCACCCTCCCCCTTGAAATGTGGCAGAGCTGATGAGCAAGAGAAACCCGTTTATTTAGTGCCCTGCACCGGGCTCCTGCAGTCAAGTGGTAGCAATGTTCATATCTCAGTAACCGAGGGCAAAGGAGACCCAACGCAGCTGAGCCCTTGGGTTGGGGAAACTCAGGCCTTTTCCATCTGGACCCCTGGGACTCTGTCCAAACCGGCCCACCCTCTTTCAGACTACCCCTCCCTGGCCCCATTTCCATGCCCTTATTAATAAGCACTCCAGCCTGGTTAGAATTAGTCCTTGAACTGTGATGTGTCTTGCTAGCCTGAATGGAAAAGAGAAAGGGAGAGAGTGTGTGTAATGTAGCCTACTCTACAAAGGTGGGACTCACATTTTCTGCCCTGTCCATGTTTGCCTCTAGCCCCTGGCATGCAGGCCCTGGAAGGTCTGCCCAAAAGGGCTGCAAAAGGTACCCCATCCCTGGACTAGATAGAAGGCTGTTGCACACAGCATGACTTTGTGGAATCTGCCTTTGGGTAAGCTAGAGGAGAGGTGGGGAGTCTGTGGCCTTCCACGTGGTGTTGAGCTGCAACTCCTATCATCCCTGACTGTGGGATATGGGGGCTGGCACTGGTGGGACTTGGGACTTCAGCGACATTTGGAGAGCCACCGATTCTCGTATGCCAGAAACCCACCCGTCTTTCCAAGGTTAAACTTGCAAGACTTTACTTTGTGAGTGAAGCAACTGAGAAAAAAATGACAGGGGTCAGAAACCAGGGCATTTGCCCCAGCAGTTTCCACTGCTCTTGTTTAACAGGTTGCCTGCCTGCCTGACACATACAGACACAACTTGCTATAGGGAATTCTCCCTTACACCTAGTGCTATAGTACTCAGAAAAGGATGCTTTCAGCCCAACCTAGCCACTGTGATTCAGTTACTGCAGTGAGCATGCAGAAATTCCAGCCATGGGCTGGGTTGCTCCACCTCTCTTCTGCATATACAGCAGCAATTTCCCAACTTGGAGACAAGAGAGGGGGGTGGGGTGGGCAGGACAAGCAGAGGTCTACAGATGTACTGAGGCCTGTGCAGAGCTATGGGTCTCCTCAACCCACACGTCATGCAAGGCGTGCAGAAAAGCCTGGCAAAAAGCTGTAATTCAATTGCTTCAAGCTTCCTATCCAGGTATTCCCAAGATCTCTTTTCCCTCTGCCATATTCAGGCTTCTTATAATCTAAGGTCAGGCTCCGGGATCTTATGAGGCCAGCAGAGACACTACTCCAGGTACCTGAAAGGGGGAATGCAAGATGAGAGCTTTGACCCAAGGGCAGAGGCTGCTGCTGTCAGGAACTTTTCAACATTCTAACCCAAACCACGCCAGGTTCTGGCTTGGCCAAGGTGCCCGCAGGAGGATAACCCTACGCCCGTCTCCCTTAGGCCCAGCCCACGACTCATGCCTTGCCTCTCGGATGTTCAACTGCACTTCGCCTCCATCTGGGGCCAGCCCCCGCACGGCTGCTGCATCCTGGCTCTGCAGGGCGTCCGCCTCGGCGTTCTCCGCCAGCAGCCATCGTAGCACAGCGCAGCAGAGCGAGACATCTGAGCAGCGACAACGGAGAAGAAGAGCAGACACCATCATTAAGCACGTGTGAATTGTGGGCGGCTCGCAGGCGCCATCGACTGCCCCTCTCCCCGATTTCCACCCTGCACCAACCACCTGAAGCGCCTGGGAAGCTGCTGGCCGGGATTATTTGCCGCAGCGGCACAAGGCAGGGCTGTTCCCGATGCAAATTAACAGGGAGCGCGAAAGACCCCATAGCCCCGCCGGTTCTTCTGATTATCCCGCAGTGCAATATGGCAGGGGGCAGAATATTTGCAAGCCAAGCAAAGGGGTGATTTGATACTGGTTGCCAACTTGGTGGGGTGAAAGGAGCGGCCAGTTGCAGCAGACGGTCCAAGGCTAGGGCACACACCTGGTTTGTAGACAAAAGACCCAATCCCAAATTTAATGCTTCACAAAAGCACATGTGCCTGTCCCAGGCTGCTCTCCTAGCTGCAGGTGAAGCAGCTCAAAAGGCACCCCACCTTAGCTTGCGGGAGCTGGATCCACAGTTCCAGCAGATGGATCAAGGGAACCCCCAGATCCTAATCTCACCACCACGGCCATCATTCTTGGCAAAGGCATTCGAATCTTACTACTACAACAACCGAACCCAATGAGGACAATTATGCAAATTTATACCCAGCGTAATTAACTGTAAATACAGGATTTGATGCTCCTTGGGGGAAAATATTTTTGCTTGTTTTGGCAAACCTTGCACGCCAGCCTTGGCTGGAAGTAGGATCTGCAGACTGGGAAGTACAGATGAGGAGGGCCACCCTGGGTTTTTTTTGCTAGCGTGTGCCAATGGCGTTATCATTTCTTTACTTCAAAGCCCCCTTTTCTTTCAAATGGGGAGTTGTGTCCAGGTGCAACTTCTCGCTTGGCAGCAGTGTTTACCCCACCCTGCTGAAGAATTTGGGAATCATTTTCAAGCTTTAGGGTGCTAGTAAAGGTAAAGGGACCCCTGACCATTAGGTCCAGTCGCGGACGACTCTGGGCTTGCGGCGCTCATCTCCCTTTATTGGCCGAGGAAGCCGGCGTACAGCTTCTGGGTCATATGGCCAGCATGACTAAGCCGCTTCTGGCGAACCAGAGCAGTGTACGGAAACGCCATTTACCTTCCCGCCGGAGTGGTACCTATTTATCTACTTGCACTTTGATGTGCTTTTGAACTGCTAGGTTGGCAGGAGCAGGGACCGAGCAACAGGAGCTCACTCCGTTGCGGGGATTCGAACCGCCAACCTTCTGATCGGCAAGTCCTAGGCTCTGTGGTTTAACCCACAGCGCCACCCAGTATGCAGCACTAAATCAGAGAAGAGAGGATGACCCAAGTTTGCTTCTCTGGTTCGATTTAACTATGGTTCCATAAAGGATTCTGCAGGGATCATCTGCCAACAATTGAAAATCTTCACTGCAGAGTTGCCTGGCCTTGAAATTAGCTGCCTTCATACTTAATAATAATAATAAATAATAATTTTGTTATTTATACCCCGCCCTTCCTGGTTCAGAAAACCGAGCTCAGGGCAACTAACAACAAATTTAAAACACTTAATTGTGATACAACCAAAAAAAGCATAAAATAGAGTATAAAAGCATGAATAACAATAAATTCAAAGTTCAAAAATCAATTTGGGGGGAAATCCATCCAATAAACATTAGGTGGTCACCAGGGCTAGCTGGCTAAATTAGTCCTATTTGGGCCAGCGAGGAGGCCAGGGGAGAATTAGCTGTGAGGTCCCAGAGCGGGTAATCTTCATAAAAGGGGAGGGGGAGGGAAGAGAGAGGAATAAAAGATCATGCTAAATTCAAATTGAAAGCCAGGCGGCATAGCTCTGTCTTACAGGCCCGATGGAAAGAGGTTAAATCCTGCAGGGCCCTAGTCTCATGAGACACAGCATTCCACCAGAAGGCCCTGGCCCTGGTGGAGGATAGTCTGACTTCCTTAGGGCCCGGGACCTCTAAACTATGGTTTTTCATGGACCTTAAGATCCTCTGCGGGGCATACTTAGGCAGGAAAAGGTGCTTAGAAAAGTTGTTTGGGGTCCTGCAAGGCCAACAGCTGACAAGCAGAATAATAATCTTCTTCCAGTATCAGTCCTAGGCTTAGCACAGAATACTCAACCTAGGAAAGTCTTTCTCAAGGGACATATGCCCCCGGGATACCTTCACAAGAACATCACTGCTGTGGCACTGATTTCTCTGGAATTCAAAGTAACGAAAAACATCCAAACTAAGGAATAAACATGGCCACATGCTACTCATTAACAGCCAGAGGATGGGTGTTTTCTGAGGTTGTTTTTAACCAGCCAGGGTCAAGCGGGCTCCTGCAACAACATCCTTGGAAACGAAGGGATGAGCACAAACCCAGCATTTTCTCTGCAAGGTTTGTTGGAGGTAGGCTGCCACTGTGAGTTTAAGTAAAACTGTTTCTACACAGCTTGCCTTTGGCCTGGAGACAGAGCCGGAGAAGAAGCCCAAGTCGGGCAGCTTGCATTATTCTCATCTGCGCCAGGAGGGGTGAGTTGGCAAACAGAACAGCCCAAAGGCAGATTGAATGCCTTTTCCAAAAGAGAGGCTAAAGCAGGGGCTGGCCAAGCAAGCTGCCAGACCTGGGTGAGGACACCCTGAGGAAGCATATGGGAGTTGCTCTGAACTCTTTTTGGAGGACGAGCGGGGCTGTAAACGGGATGCGACGAAATAAAACGCCAGCTGGCCGCACGTTGCTGCCCAGGGACGGGATAAAACCAGCCCATTGACAAGGAAGCTCCTCATCCTGCAAACAGCCTCCTCTGCACACAAAACAAGCCACCTCTTCCAGCGTGTGTGTGGGGGGGGGGGGATAAGCATTTAAGAACCGCCAATGCAGGTGGGCTCAGCAGGCGCTCAAAACCCTCACCAGGGAGAGGCAGAGAGAAAGGAAAGAGGTCACCGGTAACCCCCAAGCATCACACACCTGCACAGAAGTCCTTCAAGGTGGTTCTCAGTAGCTCAGAGGACACCTTGATCGAGGCCACGGAGGGAGCCAAGTACGCCTCTCCCAGAGGGCCAAGAGCTCTTGGGACCAGCTCACCGCCGCCTTCGACGCTCTCGAGGTCAGACTGCATCTGGGACAGCTTCAGGAAGGTGTCAAGGGGGTCCGGAGGGAGGGCAGCTGCAGGAGGGGAGGCTTCAGAGATGCTGCCGTTGGTGGCGCCCAAGCGGAGGCACTGCAGGAGGTCAATGGTGACTTCCTTCAGGGGCAGGCAGATGCCCTCTCTATCCGGGGAGAGGCCCGTGGAGTCGTCGGAGAGCAGGTCGTCCAGCAGGTCGGTGGACTCCGAGACGGTGCCCAGGATCTCCCGCAGGCTGTAGTAGAGGGAGCAGGAGACCATGAAGGGCAGCTCCAGCTTGGAGCCCTCGGCGGGGCCCAGCGGGAGAGTCACCTCCGTCTTGTTCCCGGGGAGGAGCTGGTCTATGGGGAAGGTGTAGGTGGTGGCAGAATCGGACGAGTCCTCTTCGAAGTCGCAGGAGCTGGCGAAGAGCTGGACGCAGAAGGTCCAGCCGCGCTCCAGGGTGCACTCGCTGGCGTTCTCCAAAACGCAGGAGACCGCCAAGCTGTCCTGGACCAGGATGTGGCTCCAGTGAGTGGTGATGGTGCAAGTGATGGGCTTCTGGTTGCTCTGGCCGGACAGCAAAGCCGCGCTCACGTTCATCACCTGGTTCAGGCAAGTCAGAGCGCGGTTCTTCTGGTCCACGACCTTCTTCAGCGATGACACTCTGCAGAGACCGGGGTGGGGGAGAAACACAGTCATGCCGGCGCTGCTACTGGAGCCTGAAGGTCCTAACGGATTACAGGGAAGGCCAAGAGCCGGCGTGGATACACACACAAAAGGAAAGGGGAATTAACAGGGGGCCAAAGGCACTCGCCTGCCAGAAATAAACATGCACAGGAAATCCTGTGCAAGAACACTGGAGAAGACAAAAACTGCCACTCTCCTTTTGCCCAAACCTGCTGCTTTCCATGCCTTTTCTTCAGGTGGGGCAGGGGAAATGGGTGAGGTCCGAAAAAGGCTACCTGCTGTACAAGCACACCCAAGGTTCAAAATCATGCAAGGAGCCTGCAAACTCTCTGTTTTAGTCCCCAATTGCAGGCAATGGTGGAGCCCAGCCAACAGAATTAAATGATGGGCTGCATGCCCAAACAGAGCTATAATTGCCAACCTGTTTGCAAGGCACCTGTGGTCAGCTTTTGATCCTTGGATGTTGCCATCAGATTGCCAAAGCTGACCTCCCCATACCAATTTCTGAGGAAGGACAATCCCGTTGGCACTGCAAGATATTCATATGAAAACACCCAGTGTGTTGCGGCTGCGAGACTTTTATATGCACAAAGATGGAAGGACTCATTATTTCCAACAATGGAAGAACGGCTGCTAAAACTAACGGACTTAGCTGAGATGGCGAAATTGACATGGTTGATCAGAAAAAAAGTCATTGTTAGCATCTGTTAAAGGATGGAATCCTCTCATAAACTTTTTGCGTGAAAAAGAAAATGAAATAACGGCGTTAGGATTTGAGGGTTGAATATAACGTTTGTTTGTAAAAAATGACTTCATTGGGTGTTATATTGGGGTGGATGAAGTGAATATTGTTTATATATAGTGGACAAAGAATCGGAAGTCCCTTACCTTCTGAATTTTATTTGTCTCTCTCTTTTAACCTCTTTTCTAGTTCTTTTTCTTTATTTCTCTCCCTCTCTTTCTTTATTCCTTTCTTTCCCCCCCCCCCAAAAAAAACCCCCTCTGCCTCTCTTTATGTTTTTATTGTATTTAGATCAAAGTCTTAGCTTGGACCAAAAAAAAGGAAAAAAAGATTACTGGATACTAAGTTTTGCATTTTTCTCTATATGCACTAAGAAAAGGGAAAGAAAAAAAAGCACAAAACATCTGGTGTGTGCAATATGTTGTGTGCATGAGAGACAGAAAAGGGAGGGAGGTGCAGAGATGCAAATACCAGACAGCTCCTACCTTTCAGAGACATGGCCTATCCCAGACAGCAGCTCCTTGATCCTCTGCCCAGCTTTGTCAGGGTTCATCTTGAAAGGCTGTGTATCATCCGGGCTGCACAAGCCGCAGGTCATGAGGCGGCCTTTGGCAGATAACGCCAGAAGCTCGGACTCACCTGAGGAAAGAAAGGCACACAAGAGATGGAGACTGGGGCGGAGGGTGGGGGGCTAGAAAACGGCTTCAGGAGGATGTGGGCCTGACCTCAACCCCTCTTAAGGTTTTCAGCAGGACCTTGAGACCTACCAACCAGAGAGCCAGGTGCAAAAGTCATACACTTCAGATCAAAGCAGGGATGTTGTCGGACTCCCATCAGCCCCAGCCAGAATGGCCATTGGCAGGTCAGGTCCTAGCCGACCTAACCGGAAGGAGGAGGAGTAGTATCAGGAAGAATGGACAAAATTTAATGATTATTTAGTTAAATATGTCAAGTTAAATTAATTGGAAATAGCTTGCAGGTACTTGATTGGCTTAGGAGTTTATATAAGTTAAGTGATGAATTATTATGTTTAATTTCGAATTGAAAAGATATAAGGATGTTAAATGATTAAGTTAAGTTTATAAGAATTATGATTTGGAAAACCGTTAAAAGGATATGCATTGAAATTCAACCAAGGGGAAGCGAGGAAGTCACTTAATAATGTTAATAAGTGTAATTTTAATAAGATTAAGATTTTTGTTTGTTTGTTTGTTTATAATTTTGTGAAAACCAACAGAATGGCCATTGGCAAGGGATTATGGGAGCTGCAGTGCAAGGGCAACACCCACACAGAAGCGGAGCTAGCTGCTCCAGAACCCAAAGCGGTGCACCCGGGGGTGGGGCCATGGGGCGGGGCGGGCGACCCAGGGGGCTGCTTCCTGGGCAGGGGCGGGGGCGAACCGCGCCACTTTGCCAGCAGCCTTCCTCTCTTCCCTCTTCCTTTTGCCAGCTCGGGGGAGGCTCCCCCCCCCCAGGAAGCAGCCCAGGAGTGGGGGGGGCGGGGCATGGCACACCGCCCACCTGTGACTCCCAAGCCTCTCCCGAGCTGTCAAAATGAAGGGGGAAGGGAGGAATGCCGCCGGCAAAGCAGCACAGCTCTGCCCCTTCCCCTAATGACTTGGGATAGGCTTGGGAGTCATGGGTGGGCGGCGTGCCAAATGTCACCCCCTCAGTGATGACACCCGAGGCGGACTGCTCCCACCGCCTCCCTTCCTCCGCCCCTGCACCCACAGGCTCTCCACCGCTGGAGTGAGGAATCCTGAGTCCACCATTTTGTTTTGAGTGTCAGACCTAAACTGAGATTGCAATTCTTCCAGACAATAACCTACGCCCAGCTCTGCCTACTGCTTTCTTTATTTCAGCAGTATATTTCTGGGGGGGGGGGGGGGGCGGGTTTCATTTTGTTGTAACCGTTGGGACTCGTGAATCCTTGCCATCCTGAGATCCATCAATAATCCCCCATCGACTTTCTTGCCCATGCTTGGTCTAGAATTCCAGTACAGTAGTACCTCAGGTTACAGACACTTCAGGTTACAGACGCTTCAGGTTACAGACTCCGCTAACCCAGAAATAGTACCTCAGGTTAAGAACTTTGCTTCAGGATGAGAACAGAAATTGTGTGGTGGCGGTGTGGCGGCAGTGGGAGGCCCCATTAGCTAAAGTGGTGCTTTAGGTTAAGAACAGTTTCAGGTTAAGAACAGACCTCCGGAACGAATTAAGTTAACCTGAGGTACCACTGTACTGGGGCTTCAGGGGAAGAAAGGTAAGTCAGACAAGAATCCTTTCCGAAGCCATATATTAAAAAAGAAGTGGGGGGGGGAGGTCTGAGAAACACTGTAGTGCTAATCATGAGGCTGCAATTTCCTATCTGCACGCAGGAGCAGCTGCAAGGTGTGGTGAGGAAGACCATGAACCTTATGAGCCTGTGCTGAAGGTTCGAAAGCCGCCACGGCTGCATCGGTGGGAACAAAGCAAATTCAGAAGCAGCCACGCCCCTCACTAGGAAACCAATCGCACGGGGGGTGAGGGGGGGTGGAAAGCGATGGCACCAGGAGACAGCACTCCTAGGGGGAGTGAGAAAGATGCAGAGCCGCCCTGGGGACCGCGCAAAGGAAAGGGAGCCAAAGGAAGGGGGAAAGGATCCTTGCTGTGGATGCATCAGCCACCTTGCTACAAAGGAAGCGCACAGCTCCTTGCTGCCAGGCAAACTGCGCTCCCTTATCCAGGGGCACAGGCAGGCACAAGCGGCTTCCCGCTGCTTGGTCCCCACAGAGGATCGCTGTCGGGAGTGATGCTGAAGCGAAGTGACAGGCAGCCGAAGGGGGGTGGGCTGTGAGGGCACGAAGAATCCGCTTCCAAGAAGTGTTCGGCAGCACTTGGGAGAAGACGTGCAAACTCACACATACATGCTCCCTGCAGAATCCTGTCTCGGCTGAGCACAGGGGCCAGCCGGCCTCTTTTCACTTGGTTCTGTGTGGCCGCGTTGTTCCTCAGTTTTGTTTCCATCTCCCGTTTGCAAGCTCTTGAGATGAGAGAACTGGCCTGCGGGCAGGGTGGTGTCCGGACAGGACATGGGACAAGGCTACGGGCAAAATCTGCCTCCCTGAGATCTTCAGGATTCAATTAAGAAACCAACAAACCTAAGGTCCTAGTTCTCATGAGCGCACGTGCCCTGTGTCAATGCTATTTTGTCTGCCCTCTCAGCTAACGCCATCTTCCTTTCCTGCTCAGTTCAACAGCCCAGTACATGAAAGACATTTCCTGCGTTGTAGAAACCCAAATATTCACAATGAAGTAAACACTGTAATTCTGAGTCTGGGCAACATCCCTGATGCTGCCCCTGATGGGAAGAGTGGGTGCAAAGAGCCCCACCCCACTCTTCTTAATCCCATCCTGGCAGGCTAAGCGGCCCCACTCCTGATCTGCTCTGAAGGCAAGAGACAAATGGCAGCCGCTGAGCCTTTATTGATCCTCGTCGAGGGCGAGGGGAAGGCTGCTTCCTGCACACAGGATATTAATGCCTCTTGCATGGTGAGCAAGCACAATGCAGCTGTTCCACACAAGAAAAAGAAAAAAAACAAGACTCTGAATGGCTACAGCGTTACAGAGCCATTTTGCCAGAGGAGGCAGAGCTCCTGAATTGCCATTCAATTCCTTCTGCTTCTCTTAGTGCCTGGGGTTGCTCTGTGCTGGCCCTAAGCTCCCCTCTGTGCAGGATGCTGAAGAAAGAGAGAACCGTGGCACCCTGGAGCCAGCGCAGGGTGGGCACAGCTTCTGCCGGAGGCCTTCGTCTCTCTCTCTCTCTCTAGAGAAGAAAGCAGGCCTTGGGATGAGGCTGGAGACATGCAGGCAGGCAGGCAAATGTTTCCATTTTCTCCTCAGAACAAGAGAACTCCCCACTCCTTGACTGGCTAGGCCCAACTTGGGGGGCTTGGCATGAATGGCTCACAGGGAAATGGGGGCCCTAAGGAGGGATGGTAGCAAGGGAGAACTTTGGGGCAGACCCTGAAGATACGGCCCCACACTCGCTCTCAGGGGGCCACAGGTTGCTTCATCGGCAAAGGCCCCACCTTTGGCCAAAGCCTGCAGCCCGGGGACCATGCTGGCTGTAGCTCACCCACAGCATGCTAAGGCTCAGAGTGTGGTGGGGGCTGAAGGAGCTTGCTGACAGGAACTGTGGGCAGGGGCAAGAGTCTCCAGAGCCCTGAGCAGCAGCTAACGTTGTTGAGGAGAGGGGTGGGGAGCACTTGGGAAAAGGAACGGGAAGGTGGGCACAGCAAGGCCCCAAGCTTGCACCCAGAGCCGAAAGACTGTCTTCCTTTGCCCAGCCCCTTTCCTAGTTCTGTATTGGCAACTGAAAGGGCTGCGAGTGGCTCTCTCAGGGCCACATCTGGCCCAAGAGACTTGTCTGCCAGCATAAGGACAGATTTAAAATAGTCTGGCCTGTTTGTGGAACCAAATCCCATCCCCATTGGGCTCTCTGACCTGTTTGTGGAACAAAATCCTATCCCCATTGGTTCTCTGGCCTGTTTGTGGAACCAAATCCCATCCCCATTGGTTCTCTGGCCTGTTTGTGGAACAAATCCTGCCCACATGACAGACAGCCACATGACAGACAGCCAATGGTGTCGCAGAGTAGTGCAGGCCTGATGTAAGGAGTGGGAGGGACAACAGCCAGGCCCCAGCTAAGGTGCATCCTGGCCACCACTTCCTCACAACTCATCCGCCTTCCTCTCGCCATTTACAAGCAGCCATTTTGAGGGCTGCATGCCCACAATGGCCCCATGCCCAAGTTACTTCTGATACTTTAAGCCCACAGAGTAATTCCCTGACACGTTGCAGTACCTTCCGACTCCCGGGAAGACAAGGAGAGCGCCACCACACTGCAGATGCTTAAGCTGGCGGGAGACAGAGCGGATGGAAGGGTCCCTGCCGCGTCCTCCACTTTCTCGGCCTCCGGGATGTTGCTGTCCAAGTCGACGGCATAGATGTCGGAATGGGTGCTGTAGTACATGCGGCTTCCCCCGCTACACGCTGCACACAGGACGGGCCCCTGCAGGCAATACTCGCGGAGCTCCGGGACCTTGACTTCCTCTCCCTGAGCCGCCTTGATGGCCACCATTTTGCCATAGTGACCCAGCGCCACGACACAGTCGCAGCCCAAATCTCCGTAGGCAGGCAGCTCCTCTGCCTCTGGGGACCTCCGCTCTGTCCTCAGGGCCCCGATGAAGACAACCGGCTCCTCTAAGTGGTGGAGGATCTTGACGGGCGAATCTTCGCAACTGCGGTTGTCGGGAGAGCTCAGGGCCTTCAAGGGCACGGAGCAGAGCTGCCCATCTGGGAAGCCGCAGAGGATCATGGGAGAATCCAACATGGCGGCATCAACGCCAAAGAGGAGGCTGAAGAGAGGCTCTTCCAGCACAAAGCCCCCCGAGTGGCGCAGGCCTTCCTTGTGGTCGGTGGCGCTGGGGGATGAGGCGCAACACAGGACGGGGAGGAAGTGCGCCAGAGACAGGTCCCCGTCGTTGTTGGTGCTGGTGGTGATATCCACATGGCTTATCGGTTGGCGTGGCAAGTTCCCCCGGTCCTCAGGGCCCGGGAGGTTGTGTAGGTTCATGCACCACTTCCCCTGGACTTGCGAGAGGGTGACCAGGACGTCGTTGAGCAGCGTGAAGGTGCAAAGCGTGGCGTCGGGGAAGGTGCAGGTGTCGGAGCCCATGGGGAGGACGCTGGAGAAGCACTCATTTTCCTCGCTGTCTGCCCGCTTTGCTAACCTTCAAAGCAAACAAGGGAAAGCTCTCAGCGGAGCCAAAGGGTATAGCTCAGAAACAAAGGTGGAGGTGGCAGTGATTCACAGAGCTGAATTCGGGAGCAGCCAGCTGGGTAAAGGAGAGGGAAGCTACTGCTCTGGAGGGAGAGCAAACCCCCTGCCGCCACTTAACCCTTTTGCTGCCCTGAAGACTCACAAAACAGCTTGGGAAGATGGGGAGCTGTGGCAGAGAGGCACAAGAAGGCAAAGAGGCACCTCAGATGCAAAGCAGGAGAACCACAAATAGGACAGTGGCTGCCCCAAAGGAGTGTGTGGCGCCCAACTGAATCACTGCATGCGAGGAACAACTTCTGCAAGTGGAACAGGACTCCCTCTTCCTCTCCTTGCCGCTGCCCAAATTGGCTCCGGAGGGTTGGAGGACCGTCCCCCCCCGAGTCTTATTGGGGAGGGGGGCCTGGAGGGGAGATGCCAAGAGGGGAAATTCTGCTCAGGAAAGATGTCCTGCACATGCAATGATTTCATTGGCTACAACTCAAAGGGATTCAGACTGGGGCTGCAGCATTGGGGAGGGAGGGGTTTAATACCCACCCCTCACCATTTTCTCATTTAGAAACTGTACCATGTGGCAAAATGGAGAGGTGGCAATTTTAACTAGGCAAAAAGGTACAGAGGGAGTGGAGAATGCTAAAGACTAGCTTCCCTAGTGCTGCAAACACAAACATTATCACCCCTCTTTCTGGCTGCTATTACCATTAAAAAATAATACTGACTGAGGTTGCTGCTGTGTGGGCCAATTCTCTGCCTGAAAACTGCAGATACAGAGTCAGAGCAATTGGTCCATCTAGCTCAGTAATAATAATAATAATGATTATTTTATTATCAAGCTGTGCTTGTTCTTCCTTATTATTAAACCGTAGAGCTGGAAGGGACCCTGAGGATCATCCAACCCAACCCCCTGCAACGCAGGAATATTCAGCTGACCCATACGGGGATTGAACCTGCGACATTGGCATTATCAGAACTACACTCAAACCAACTGAGCTATTCTATTATTATGCTTTATGTTATGTTGTTATTATTATGCACCATAAAACATGTGTTTAACGTTGTACAGTGCCCTGAGATCTTTCGATAAAGGGCATAATAATAATAATAATAATAATAATAATAATAATTGCTACACTGGCTGGCAGTGGCTTTCCAGCTTTTCATATAGGACACCTCTTCCAGCCCTACCTGAACCCGAGACCTTCTGCATGCAAATCAGATGCTCTACCGCTTTATCTTAAAAAGCAGAATGAAGAAACTACAAAATGACAGTCGGTAACCGTGAAAGGGCCACAGGGAGAAGTGTAAAAACACACAATTCTGTATGTGAATACTCAACTAAGTATTCAAGCCCAACTGAGCCCACTGGGACTTACCCACAGGTAAGTGGGTACAGGACTGCAATATAAACATGACAAATGAGTGGGTCTGTTTGGATCATGTCACTGAAAAAGTTCTAAGCCTGGTAAGGAAGAAGATAGTCTGGTCGCCAACATTGGTGGCAACTTGATCATTAATTCCTAAGAAATCTCCGTTTCCAAGGATGTGAGAACAGTAAGCATAGAGTAGGAGCCATTCCTTGATAGTCCAGGCCTTCCAGCCATACCACTAATCCAGCCTTGTGGAAGAACCTGGAGCCCTCAGGAACAGGTATGAAACACCTGCCAGGTAACGCCCTCGCCCTGTCTCTCACCTGCTTTGGTAGTCCAAGGAAACACAGTAAATACCAACTCCAGCGCACAGGATATAGAGCTGCTGGTGGAGAGGCAGAAGCTCCACGTGCCAAACTTGATCGGGGAACCTGTAGACAGCCTAGGAAGGAAACAAGCCAAGGAAAGGGAAAGGAGAAGGTCTTAGAAGGTCTTCAGTAATCCTACAAGGGAAGGAGGGCACTGGGAGCCACCTCTCTAACCCCATCCCCTGGTTGAGACACATTTTGACCCCGCAGGAAGGCCAGGTCTATGGACACACACCCAGAGCAGGCTGTTGATCATCTAAAGCAGTGCTTCCCAAACTTGGGTCCCCAGCTGTTTTTGAACTACAATTCCCATCATCCCTAACCACTGGTCCTGCTGGCTAAGGATGTCCATGGAGACCCAAGTATGGGAAACACTGGTCTAAAGTGACCTAATATAAACCTTCTTCACTCCAAAGAAGCCAAAATGGCAGAACACCAGTCTTGCTTCTTCATGACTGCTAAAGCCTAACACATAAGATTGGCCACTAAGAGAAAAATAAAAGATTGGCAATCTCCTGCGTTATTAGCAGCAGCCTGGCATGGTGAAAATTAGGAAGTGGAGCTTTTGCCCGTCATGAAGACACAATGGAAGAAGCTTCACTTTAATTCATCCACGTTGCTCTGCGGTCAAAGGTGTGGGTGCAAAGCCAGTACAAAGTCAGCACCTGTCTGCTTTCAAAGGTGCCACACAGTTCATTTGAAAATAATCAATAGAATCACAGAATCGTAAGGGGCCATCTAGTCCAACCACCTTGCAATGCAGGAATCTTTTGCCCAACGTGGGATTCGAACCCACAACCCTGAGGTTAAGAGTCTCGTGCTCTCTACTGACTGAGCTATCCCAGAGCTTCCCCATTGTAATAACACAAGGGGTGGGGTTCACCTAACACACCTCATCAGTTGAAGCCTTGTGCAAGAGGCCTCCCCACCCCGCTGCTCCCACATGCCCCAAAATCATCTTTCCATCTGGCAGGCTGCAATTCTTGAGCAGGCAGAACGTTTGTAACAGTGCAACGCTGGATTCCACCCCAAGGGTACCGTGGGAATTTCTCCTCAAAATGCTGTAGCCACATGAAAAAGAAGCAAGTTTCCCAGGAGCATCTATTACCTCCTGTATCCTATCCCGAGTCTGGCCAGACACAACATCCTCTGGGTACCATTCCGTATACCCAGTGGTGTGTCATCCGAAGCCGTTATGTCTGCACACACTTTGATTTAACATAGCCTTCCCTCACATAAATCAGCAGGATCTTATTTTTCCTCTCTCTGCCGAGGATGTACAACTCCTGCCATTTTCTCTGAGGAGCATCCATTGCAATAAGCGGAGTTTATATTATCTAGCAGTCTATATGTAATTCCTCATTTTAAGCTGCTAGCAGTTGCCATTGCTGCTGCGCTCTGCTGATGAACAAGTGACATATTTCATGCAAGATGGGCCTCCATTTCAGGAGCGAAGCAGCAGGCAGTAGCCCCACGTGTCTGTCTGCAGTAAAAGCTGCAACAGCAATTCGGAGGATTGCAAAGTGAGCACCTTCTTAAGGATGAGAAATCTGGCAAACGCTAGATGTTCCAGCATCACATGTGATCTGGGGAATCAGCAGCATTAAAAGGAAGAAGTGTTAACCCGTTTGTGACCTACTTCTCCGTGCAAGAGAATAGTGTGGGAGGCTGAGCCAGATATTACCATAATCACGGGCTCCTTAGAAACAATCAAGGGAATAAATTAAAGGGATACATTTAGCATTGTGCTAAGGCTTGTCATGGGCCCAACAGGCAGTAACAGGGGGAAATGATAGAATCCCTACAAAAAGACTTCAGTCGCTCATCAACAGGGACGATAGACAGTGCAAATGAACAGAACAAAGAACACCCCATATTTTACAGTTCTAAACTTTGGTTTAACAGAACTACCCCCAGAGGGTAGAGGCAGATTTCTATCTGACAGATGACACACACAAAAACAAACCCAGACCACCACAGGCAGATGTCAAAAATTGGATGCCATATGTAAGTTGATTATGTAGTACAGACAACCGACCTGCTGCAAAAAAAGGCTGCTAAGAGTGAGAGAGTGAATTGGAAAGTCAGCAGAAGACCTAATTGAGGATTTAGATGCTTAAGCTCAGGTTGGCACATCAGGGAGCCTTGCCTGTCAATTGCACATGAGACAAACATCCAAAAGCCACAGGTGGTTATGCTGAGATGAGGCATCCAACAGGTAATATACAAGATCCTCTGAAGAACCAATGCCCAAATTATTATGTAATCTCATCACAGAAATAAAGGGACGGGGAGGGGAGGAACTAGGATGCTCTGTCTCATGCTACAGTTGCCGAGGCAAGCAGGTGACAAGGCACACCAAATCTGGATGTGTAGCCACACAGAATCCATTTCACTCTGCTTCTTGCTCTAAACGCCTATGCACATCTGCTTGGAAGCTTGCAAAGCAAACCTAGATTTGGTCCCAGAAAAGGTACTGGCTACAATTCAGTGGCTGAACAGATGTACAGAGCCTGGCACTCTGTTCTCTTCCATGAGCACATGAATACATATGTGTAAACTCTCTTCATACCAGGCATAGTGAACCTGTAACCCTTGAGAGGTTGTTGGGATTCTCAGTTCCCATCAGCGCCAACCAGCACAGCTATTAGGAATGATGCGAGCTGTGGTCGATCCAACACCTGGAGGGCTACAGGTTCCACATCCCTGGTGCACACAGCAAAGTTCGTGCAAGTCCAGGGCTTTGGTTCTCAACCGTCTCTCAACCAGATCTCCTAGAAAAATGCCAATTGCTCTGCCACAATACAGCCATAGTCGTCTTCCTCTGAGCACAATGGGGGCAGCGGGGAGGGGGGAATAGAAATGTTCCATTAAAACATAACCGTGCATACAGCGATACCTTCCCCACCCTCTGGGGTGTATGCTTAAAATGCAATACTTGGGTTTGCTGTGAAGTCACCAAAGGGTGGATCGGTGCAGACACACAAAACACACAGCTATATCTTCTGCCCATGCATAGAAGCAGCCAGCAGCTGTTGCCACCTTCTAAGGGGCGATGAACAAAAAAAAGGACCACACAGAAACTGAACTACCAAGACGGTAGATCAAGCTTTTACTTTGCTGGCGAACTGGCCTCTCACATTCCCCAAAACGTTACGTGGCACACAAAATCTGGGTGCCTAAAACGGTGGGTTTTTTTCCTGCACTCCGATGGGGCAATTTTAGACGTGGTTAGCAATTAGAAGCAAGGCGAGAAAGCAATTCCAGATAAATTCGTGCAGCCTGCAGATGTGTGACATCCTGTGCACCTGCCATTAGCGTTTCAAAGAGTTTGCATCAAGGGGGGGGGGGGATGTTCTGCCTGCCTCACAGCATCTGACCCAGTTTCTCCGCGCGTGTCCCCCACCCCACCCCCTGTAGCAAAAGGGACCAATCTGGGTCAGCAGAATCAAAGGCCCCCGCTTACCTTCATCAACCTCCCCTCTTGGTCGTAAACGTAGACGAACTCGGTGCCGTTGGAGAGGTAAATCTGGTTCTCATGGCACAGCACGCGGGGCTTGCCAGCCGCCAGCCCCCCCACCGGGCAACAGAAGCCCGCCAGGTAATCCACCCGGTGCCCCACCTGTGCCATGACGACGACCCCCCCGGTGCCAGCCTGGAAAAGGGACGCGGAGGAGGACACGCATGCAGCAGCAGGGTCGGGCGAGGAGGCGAGAGTCTTGCCTGGGGCGGCCCCTTTTCTCCTTAAAACACGTGGGGGGAGGAAGAGGAGGAGGAGAACCAACGATGGAGGCGCCCTCCCCTGCCACACAAAGGGACCAGCCTACCTGGGCGAGGCGAGCCCACCCCGACGTGAGCACCCTCCCCTCTTTCTTTCAAGGGAGGGGGGAGAGAAAGGGTGGATGAATTAGAAACCCACACGGGGGAGGGAGGGAGGGAGGGGAGGGGGCAAACCCCACCAGCACCCCTCCCACGGAGACAACAAAAGCCACTCCCAATAAGGTAAAAGGGAGAGGGGGGGAACCAATACACCCCAATGGGGGATCTAAGCAACCAGTTCCCACGCAGGCGAGCGATTCAGCCCCGCTTTCCCTTCCCATCCCCCCCCCAGCAAAAGGGGCGGGGTTGTTACTGTGGCCCCGCCTCCGCAGCCCACCCCCCCGGGGCGCCGCCGCTGCTCTAATGCCCCCAGCAGCTGGCGGGCGCGGGCGGCACCTCCCCTTCCAGGCTCTCCCCGTCTCTCGTCTCCTCGCCCTGCGACTGCCTGTAGCGGGAAGGGATGGTTTACGGCATGCCGCAAAAAAATATTAAAAAGGGCGGAGTGGGGGGGGAGTGAAGAGTAGGCTCCGCGTTGCTAGGGGGGCGGGGAGGGCGAAGCTGTGTGCATGGGGAGGTGGGGCCTCTCGAGAACCGTCGGGTTGTGGAAAGGGCACTCCGGGGGTCATCTAGCGCAACCCGCTGCAATGATCCCCGTGCAATGCAATGCAATGCAATGCGTACTTCTCGTCTTGTTTTAGGATGGCTTCGCGGGCTAGGAGGGGAAACAACGGGGCGGGGGGTAGCGGACGAGAGGTTGGTTCAGATGCCCTGCATTGGGCTGACGGCTCAAACTGCATTTGAGTTATAAATGCAAACGTGGCCCGGGAGGGAAATCTGCTTGAAGAAAACTGCAAGCCCGGGAGAGGGATGGAGCGCCCATGTGCAGAGACAGTCTACCTCTGAATACCAGGCTTGCATGCAGGACTAGACTGCCCCTTGTTCTGGCCCTGCAGATCCCTCTTCTTTTTTCTCTTATAGGCTGCTTAGTTCATTTTCCGGTCGATCCCCAGCTTTCAGGGCTACAGAAAATAGGTACCGGTATGTTCTAAGAGCTGGTGCCACCGATTCTTGGCGTAAAAAGCAAAAAGGGAGTTATAGCACTGTGGAACCAGCAGAGGGCATCACTGCCCGCCGTGGGACAGAGCTATATTTGGGAAATAAACCAGGATAAAGCGGAAGACTGAGCCATGGGGAGCAGGGAGAAATGTGGAACTGATAAATCAGGTGCGTTTGGGCCTAATCCAGAGGCTGGCTTCTCCCTTCAGCACAGAATCCAGTCATTCAAGTCCTTGTTACTTCTGACCATTATGCCTTCCATATGCCGTAATAAACCATACATGTTCATCTCACCACTGTAGTTGCTGCACTTAAAAACCATTCAAAGCTCTTGCATCAGTCACAAAAATCACACAGCCAAAATAAAAAAGTGCAATTATTATTATTATTATTATTTGAAGTATTTTTAGTCTGTTCTTAAAAAAACCCAAAACAAAACCAACAGGTCTCCCAGAATGGCTTGCGAAACTAGTAAGATTTTCAGCCTGAGGGCAGGGACTATTAAAAGGTTAGATGTACACAAGTGTGGAAGTTTTGTAGCTTTGGGGATTTTTCGTGTAGAACTATTATATACATACATACATCCATCCATACATACAGAGAGAGAGAGACAGACAGACAGAGAGAGCGCCTGGTATTATAAAAGTTATCAGAGCTAAAGGTAGTAATCTGATTTTTTTAAAGCCCTTTTTAAAACATGTATGCATTTAGAGTAAAAGTACAGCATATGAGAAGCTACAGAATGATTCATTCCCAAATTTGGCATTCCACTTCGGACAGGCCATGAGCTGCATCTGTACAAGTAAAGAACTTCAACACTGTGACATAGTGACTATGATGGATGGCGCCTTGGTGCTTCTGTACTGCCTTAGATTTGTCCATTAGGTCAGGAACAAAGTGGCTTGGGAAGTGTTATATTGAAATAAGGGCAACATTTAGGGAAGCTTCCAATGAAAGCTTTGATAAATGTTCTTAGACTTGATCCATTTGGCAACGTACAAAGGTTAGACTGATTCTTCATCTTGCTGCAAAACATGGGTGTACTTTGGCTTCTAGCTTCATAAGCAAAGCAACTGTTATTGGGACAGTGTGTTGCCTCGTTTGTCTTTATTTAAGGTTACAGTTTAAAAGATAGTGGGGAAAGCATATAAAAATAAAATACGGATACAGGGATTTCAGTGCCAAATGCTCCAGCTGAACTTGAATAGCTGGGAGACTTGTTACAGCAGAGCTTTCCAAACGTTTCATGTTGGTGACACACTTTTTAGACCTGCATCATTTTGCGGCACGGTAATTCAGTTTTGCTAGCCAGCCGGAGGCTAAATTAACCCCTTCTCAGAGCGTGGGGAAGCGTTTGCACGACACACCTAGCTACACACTGCAGCCGACACACGGTTTGAAAAGCTCTGTGTTAACAGCTTTTCATCAGGAGAAATGTTGCCACTTTCCACTTTGGCCACAGGGCACCTTGCTGAAAATTCACTCACTTGTACAACTGGAAGAAAATCGCCTGCCCTGCAATGTTGTTGAAAGTTTGGCAACAACAACAGAAAAGTGAGTAGAAAACTTTGCGGACATAATGCAATATAAAGTGAGACTAAGTGGAGCAAAGCTTGGAGGACACACTTTTCCCCATTTCCGTATGGAAACCCTTCCACGATGGCAGTTATCAAGCTGAATCTCTTGCAGTTTTATCCTGTATGATTTTTGACCTGTTTTAAGAGTTTACCTGGAGGTGCTTTTGGAGGCTTTAACATCCACAAACCAATGTCTGGCATGAATTGCATAGCTGACATGCTCCAAGCAAACTTTTACTGAAATCTCCAGTGGTGTGCGGTGAAATTTTTCATAAGGGAACATCCAATATACCATCTCAGGCCTATTTAATTGCTCATCTTCTGACATTGTGTATGCCATCAAATGCCAGCCGTGCGCTTCAGCTCTCTATATTGGACAAACAGGCCAAACCCTATGCCAAAGGATAAATGGACATAAATTTGACATCAGGAATCACAAGACAGAGAAGCCAGTAGGAGAATACTTCAGTCTCCCAGGACATTCAATACAGGATCTCAAAGCAGCTGTCTTATTACAAAAGAATTTCAGAAACAGACTTGAAAGAGAAGCTTAAACCAAGGTTCCAGTCACCAAAACAGAATGTCTAGTTGCCATACACACACACATACACAGAGTGGTACCTCGGGTTAAGAACTTAATTCATTCTGGAGGTCCGTTCTTAACCTGAAACTGTTCTTAACCTGAGGTACTACTTTAGCTAATGGGGCCTGCCGCATTTCTGTTCTCATCCTGAGGTAAAGTTCTTAACCCGAGGTAATATTTCTGGGTTAGCGGAGTCTGTAACCCGAGGTACCACTGTATATATATATTTCTAACACTGGCTGATACCACTTATTTTTTTGGTATGGAGGTGTTGTCAGGTATGCTGAATCCCAGGCATTGACACTTGAAATCCCCTGTGCCTCGCAGCAATTTAAACCTGCTGGGCTGGTTGGGGGTGGGAATGTCAACGATTCTCCACAGCTTTGCCTTCCCATCATCCAAATGCTAACATGTTGGCCCTGAGAAGGAGGCTGGGGGTGGGGGCAAGATGCAGGGAAATGAAGGGCAAGTGCCCATCAGCCATACCGAACATTGAGAGAGAGGAGTGTCTGTTAGCTCCCCAGGGGAATGGGGAGTATTATATAAAACTCAGTTACTCATAATCTGGCTCCAGCTAATCTGTGATGTTTGGCTATCTGGCACGGCATTTCCCATTTCCGAGAAGGGGCCTCGGCTTGTAGAGCCAAGTTGGGGGTGGGCGGCAAGGGAAGACAGATCCTGTTTACAATTCATTCTGCTGGTTTTCTCGTGACACTGGGTGGAGGTGGGTCGTTTTTATTTTTATTTTATTTAAAGGAAAAGCAACATTCCAGGCTAAGAAGCAAATGGCAGCCAGGGGAGCTGACTACCTAATTCAAATGGCATGACTTCGCTTTCAAAGCATGACTAGGTTTCCGTCCAAGGTGCCATTTAGGCATAACGTGGCTGAGATTTTCAGTGCGCTATCACCAAGTATAGCATCTGCACACTCCTTTACATAGCCTGCATAGGGTCTGCACGCACGTTTATGGCGTCTGTCACTTTAATAAACCTACATCTAGGAAAAGCAAAGCCGCTCCTGATTGAACACTCTTTCTGGTATGCGAGAAGAGACTGAGTTTGCACACACAGGGGAGAAAAAACTAATTTAGAGTCTGAATTCAGAGTTATCTGCTTGCTTCTGCAGTATGCGGAAGCACAGTTCCGTTGCTATTTATCAACTGCCTTCATTTGCTCCCACTAGCAAGAGGGCGGGCGGGGGGAACAGATGCGATTATTCCTCAGTTGCGTTCAGTATTTCTTGAGGCTGTACATGTTAATGCTTATGGGAAACTCTAGAGCACAACATCTGGAAGGCAAGAGCCTATGCACTGGCATCCTCCGTAAGATTCTGTACCCTGGAAGTCTAAGCATTACTACATCCTACGACGAAATGCAAGGCGTTGGCTGCAGCTGTCAGAAATGAACAGATTCCTACGCAACTGCCAGACACTTCCTTCGACTGTGCTCGACTACAACGATTACCTGTGACACCAGTGCTGTGGCCACAGCAGTATTTCTTCTCAAGGTTCTGCGACACTGGAAATGTGCAAAGTGCAGCGCATCACCTTTTCTGAGATCCGTACAATACTGATAATACTGAGAAGTGCCTCATTCCCTGTCAGGTTGAGCTGTGTGAAAGGATTTTAAGGAACAGGCCCCCTTGAGAATCAAACCACCCTCTTTGGATGGAACCATGCAGCTAAACTCTACAGTCCCCAGAATCCATCCTCCTTATACCTTTTGCAGTGCAAGCGCAGAGTGAAATTGTTGCCGCAGACTCACTAGCCAAGGAAAGGCTTCTATCTAGGTCTCTGTCTCTCACTGAATCCAGACTTTCAGAGGGGAAACAAGGATAGACAGACAGATACATTCGGTCTCTAAAGGAGTCGGTAAGATCCGGAACACTCCGGAACAGAGGAGGAGACCCCTCAGGAAAGTTTCTACTGTGTTCCACCTGTCAGTGATTCTGTGGGTTTTCTCCCATTCCGAATCAGGACCCTTCGGCGCTTGGCTGGCAAGGGGAAACTTGCTTTCTCCACCTCTGGTTGGGCAACCCTGAGGGGGGTCTTAGCAGCAGGCTGGCTCTGGCCTTTTTTGTTCATCTCATCCACAAAAGACTCCACTCCTTCAAAGCGCGTGGTCAGTTCTCCAAGCCGTTCCTTGAGGGCGTTGAATTCTAGGTACAGGTCGTTGAGGGCGTCGGAAAGTGGCTTGATCCTAGAAAGGAAAGAAGCAAGGGAAGGTGTAAAACAAACAAAGCAAGGAGCACTTCCACAGCAACCAATAACATACCCACCAACATTTCTCCAGTGAAAACAGGGGTGTCCTATCCCATCTTCATTATCTGCGACTGGACCCGGCTGGGATTTTGTCACCACCCCCCTCCCCAGGATGGCACCCAGGGCAGACTGCACCCACTGCACCCACCTTGCTCTGCCTCTGCACATGAGAAGTGCCAGAACTGAGTTCCAGCTGGAAAAAAAGCCCTGATAATAATATTAATTCTTCTTCTTCTGTTATTTATATCCTGCTTATCTGACTGGGTTGCCCCAGCCATTCTGGGCGGCTTCCAACATATATAAAAGCATAATAAAACATTATACATTTTAACTTCCCTATACAGTGGTACCTTGGGTTACAGATGCTTCAGGTTACAGACGTTTTAGTTAAAGACTTCACTAAACCAGAAATAGTACCTCGCGTTAAGAACTTTGGTTCAGGATGAGAACAGAAATCGCGCGGCCGTGGCGGCGTGGGAGGCCCCATTAGCTAAAGTGGTACCTCAGGTTAAGAACAGTTTCAGGTTAAGAACAGACCTCCAGAATGAATTAAGTTCTTAACCCAAGGTACCACTGTACAGGGAAAAACTTCCCTATACAGGGCTGCCTTCAGATGTCTTCTAAAGGTTGTATAGTTACTTGTCTCCTTGGCTTGGGGTGATTGCATAACTCCATACCCTCCAAAAATTTTCCAATGAAAACAAGGACATCCTAAGGCAACCCAGAGCATTCTGGGATCAAATCAGATGGCTTCTGTAAATCCAGGATTGTCCCTGGATAATAGGGACACTGCAATAATACTTAAGGGAGAAACACTTTGGCAAAAGTTCAGAGCTTAAGAAAGAGCAAGATCTTCCCAGAATGCCAAACTACATGCAGAGTATCTAGGCAGGGCAACCACCCAAAAACCAGCTACAAAAACCAAAGTTTACTTACAGGGGATTTCTTCACAGTATAGCACGGACTGACAGAGGCAGATGCCTCTCGTTGAGCCAATGGCTTTAGGTGAGGGAATGAGGGACCTGTGGCTGTCCAGATTCTGATGAACTTCCAACACCCATGAACCTCAGCCAACATGGCCGACACTCAGGGATGATGGGAGTTGTAGTCCTACAACACCTGGAGGGTAGCAGCTTAAGACAGAGCCTTCACAACAGTGTCCCCCCAAACTTGGGTCTCCAGCTGTTTTTGGACTACAACTCCCATCACTGGTCCTGCTAGATAGGGATGATGGGAGTTGTAGTCCAAAAACAGCTGGAGACCCAAGTTTGGGAGGCACTGCTTTTACAACTTGTAGCCCACAAAACTGAAAACAGCCCCTTGGCCACGCACTTCCAAGATTGCTGCCAAACAGGCTGCTTTATTGAGTCCCAAGTAGGCGGCCATACATGACCGGCCGAACCCAAGATGGTGACTGTACAGCAGGTTTGCACAGATCACAGCAGAAGTCCATTTTGTTGCCACCTTTACTACCCAGGCTCACCTTCCATAGTCAGGCAACACAGACTGGTGGTCAAAGAGGAGAAGATTCTTCATTTGAGACACAATAGCAAACTTCCAGTTGTCCAGAACAACAGTGAGGTTGGCACATCCCCTCATGTTTACTTTTTCAGCTGGAAGAGAGAATTGGGAGTATGAGAGAATATCATAGTAGTAATACAGTCGTACCTTGGAAGTCAAACAGAATCTGTTCCGGAAGTCCGTTCAACTTCCAAAACGTTTGGAAACCAAGATGCGGCTTCTGATTGGCTGCAGGAAGCGTTCACAAGAACGTTTGCAAACCGGATCACTCATTTCAGGTTTGCGGTGTTTGGGAGCCAAAACGTCCGAGTACCAAGATGTTTGGGATCCAAGGTACGACTGTAATAATATAGAAGAACATACACCTTTCTCTGAACTATAGCAGTTCCGCAGTTCCATTTCCTGGCTCGGAAAGGGAGGGCTCCCCCACCATTTCCATCAGACCAGAATTTGAATCATTTGTCAGACTAAATAATTGCAAACAAAAAGCGCACATATGAAATCCATCCTAAGACAGATGGAATTAGAATAAACTTGGTTTATCAGCTGCATTTTAAAACTATGTAACCCACCTTGTTCACATCTGTTGATGGATTAAGAAGTTTATATAAAGACCAAAAATACATTCTAATACAAAACATACACAACTGAGAACATGGAAGCCTCTTTAGAAACTGAGGTGTTATTATATTCGATGTCGAGACTACATATGCCAAGAGAGGGAGGGGAATATACAGAACTGCCATTCTTTAAACATTTAATTTCAGGGAATTTGTTTCCCTAGAAGTACAGTATATCCCTGGAAGTATATCCTCAAGTATATCATGGTGACAAGATATAGAGAGTGGGAATGGATTTATGGGTAAATCAAAAAATGCTCAAACAGGATTAAAGCTCTACAGGATAGGGGCAGAGGGGAAGTTTAATCTTCTGTCCACAGTTTCAAAAGCATTGCGAATGTATGCAGGGGAGATTTGGGTCTTGTGTTCAAAACCTTCACAAAAGTGGGTTTTTTATGCTGACAGTTCAGAAACCAAGCTTACTTTCTTATCTGTCCAGTGTGAGTTGGCTGGCTAGAGCCCATGTACCCTATTAGTTTTGTGTTAGCTTTGCAAAACCAAGAAGGCAGGACCTGCGTATGGATAGTAAAACCGGGAAATCTGCAGCCCCAAATGCACATTTGCAAATGGAAATGAAACAAAAGACAAAACAAACTTTGCGTGGCATCAGCCCACTCTTTGGCACCCAGCAAATCTGGAACCTTACCTTCAGATCTGTAGTCCCATTCTGACGTTGCCTGCTGCCTCTTTGGTTTGGCGGCACAACAGATTGCCACCAAAAGCAGTAGGGAGAAGATCTGTCTCATGGTGCCTTTGCAGAGGGACAGGAGAAGGAAAAGTGCATCAGAAAAGCCTCCCTTCCCCAAGTACTAGTTCCGCAACAACAGTCCCCTTTCCTCACCCCTATCGCTTTGATGGCTCCCAAATGGACATTTCCCAGCCGGGATGGTCACAAGCTGTTCATACCAAATGGAAATGGGGGAAAAAGGGCCTCTCTGGCTCTGCAGCCATAGCAACGTCACATTTGCATGTGTCCACTTATAGGTCAGATCCCGGCAAGTCTGTGTGCGTCAGGCACAAAGGGAATGCGGCCCAGTGGTGTGAACCAGTGATGCAAGAATCTGGACCCAGGTTTTCCTGAGTTGTTTCCATGCCACAAAACATGCCAATGTTGTGTACCCACAAGTATGGCATTAAACCTTCTACTCTTATTTGGGGGAGGAGAGAAAGGCATACCCTCCAACATTTCTCCGATGAAAATAGGGACGTCCTACCTATTTCATAAGAATAATTTTATTATTATTGCCCCAGCCACTCTGGGTGGTTTCTACCATATATAAAAACATAACAGAACATTTAAAAACACTTAAAAACTTCCCTATGCAGGGCTGCCTTCAGATGTCTTCTGAAGGTTGTATAGTTACTTATCTCTTTGGCTTGGGGGTTGCATAACTCCATACCCTCCAACATTTCTCCAATGAAAATAGGGACGTCCTAAGGAAAAGTGGTGGAGGAGACTCTTGAGAGTCTCATGGACTGCAAGAAGATCAAACCTATCCATTCTTAAGGAAATCAGCCCTGAGTGCTCACTGGAAGGACAGATCCTGAAGCTGAGGCTCCAATACTTTGGCCACCTCATGAGAAGAGAAGACTCCCTGGAAAAGACCCTGAAAAGACCCTGATGTTGGGAAAGATGGAGGGCACAAGGAGAAGAGGATGACAGAGGATGAGATGGTTGGACAGTGTTCTCAAAGCTTGAGTTTGACCAAACTGCGGGAGGCAGTAGAAGACAGGAGTGCCTGGCGTGCTCTGGTCCATGGGGTCACAAAGAGTCGGACACGACTAAACGACTAAACAACAACAAAGGAAAAGCGGGACATTCTGGGATCATATCAGAAACTGGGATGGCTTCTGTAAATCTGGGACTGTCCCTGGAAAATAGGGACACTTGGAGAGTCTGGAGCAGCCAGAAAAGCATTTGCTACATCCTTGTAGTGGAGACAGAGCTGAGAAGGGCTGGCAGCATGGGACAGGATACATACCAAACCTGCATCTACAGTAGCGACTACAGACAAGGAGCAAGGCAGAATCTCTAATCTGTAGCCTTGGGACCAGTAACAGAAGGCTCTCTTCATTTTGACCGGCCCAACAATAATTATCTGTGTAGTCAGGCTGTTTATCTGGGTTGCTCTACATGCTTCTGCTTGGTTGCTGGAAAATGTTGGCTTATCCTTTGCTTGCATCTGCTTCCTACCCGTGATCTCAAGGGTAACCCCAAACATTTTAATCCAAAACATGAAGAAACAGCAGATACTTCGCAGGGCTGGATACACTAGAATCTTCTCGGATGTTAACTCCATTCTTTCCTGTGATTTTTGTGCTGACAAGCTGTTTGGATGAGAGGCTAAGAACAGACGGTACGACAGCTCAGAACTTTTGTGTGCTGTCTTCATCCTCGGACGCTTGCTTGCCTCCTCTATTAATTCTCTTCCAAGACATCAGAGCCACTGCAATGGGCCCCAATAACATACAGGAGACACTGCTGGGAACTGTGTCCGAATAGGAGACAGAGATCTGGCACTAGCAAAGGGTACCCCAAGGGACGCGGGTGGTGCTGTGGTCTAAACCACTGAGCCTAGGGCTGGTCGATCAGAAAGTCGGCGGTTCGAATCCCCATGACGGGATGAGCCCCCGTTGCTCGGTCCCAGCTCCTGCCAACCTAGCAGTTCGAAAGCACACCAGTGCAAGTAGATAAATAGGTGCCGCTCTGGCGGGAAGGTAAATGGCGTTTCCTTCCACTGCTCTGGTTCGCCAGAAGCGGCTTAGTCATGCTGGCCACATGACCCGGAAGCTGTCTGCGGACAAACCCCGGCTCCCTCGGCCAGTAAAGTGAGATGAGAGCCGCAACCCGTCGTCTGCGACTGGACTTAATGGTCAGGGGTCCCTTTACCTTTTAAAGGGTACCCCAGAAACCCGGCAACCCTTTTAGAGAACGTTCTCCCCAAGTAGCTTGAGAGCCACTAATGCTCGAACTAGGTTTATAGACTGCAAAAAAGGAGAAACTCCTTACCTGTTGAACAGAGAATCAGAGATGGTAAATTGTGGCAGTTGCTCTTTCAAGTCCAAGGGTTTTCTTCTCTCTCTCTGGCCAAGGTCTGCCTCTCTTCGCCTTATAGCCAAGCTGCCCTGGAATTCTGCCAAGCCACACAGCAGTCTTCTAATTGCAAACAGATCCTTTGGGCCTATTGAGAGGCCCCCAGGCCATGGCTTGTTTCCTTCAAAAGGGTGGGGGGGGGAGGGAGGAAGGAGGAAGCCTACAGGACAGTGGAACAACTCCCAGAAATTGCAAAAGTACAATTCAGGACACAGACACGTGGCGGAAGAGGGCAAGAGAGCTCTCTCCTGCCCAATTGAACTGTCTTTGGTTTGTTACGGAGCTTCAGAGAAAGTTTGCAATCCAATCCCTCTGCACAAGTTGGATTTGGGAGTCCAAGGTCACTGTTGATGCTAAGGCAGAGGCAGGGAACATGTGGTCTTTGGATTCCCAACACCCATCAGCATGATCAAGGATGATGGGAGCTGGAGCCTTGTAACATTTGGGAGGACCACAGGCTCCCTGCTCTTCTGCTAAGGGCTACAAGAAGACGACAACCCCTCCCAGAACTTGCTTTCTTTTGGATGGAGTGAAATATTCATCAGAAGAGGCTCTGACCTTTCTCTTAAACTTCATCTCTTTCACTTAGGGTATGATGGGTCTTCACAGGAGCTGTGGAGTAGAAGTGCATATGCTCATCAATATGTGGCTTTTCTACCTGTCTCAAGTTCTCCAAGAATCCATTAACTCTCAAGTCAATGCTTTGGTGGATATTCCAGAATTCAGCTGTCATCTTGGATGCTGGTCTTCTTTAGGGGACAGAAATTGCCGGCTCATTTCTGTGTCATTTCCTTTTCTGCCAAGTGACAGCGTTTGAGGGCAGCAACATCGTTTATTGCTAGGGCTCTGCCCAGCATGAAGACCCTTTCCCATCTAAGAACTTAAAATCTGGGCAGGGCCAGGTCACGATTTTCCTAGAAAGCTGGCACTGCAAACTGCCCAGGGCAAAAGCAGGAATCCAGTATTTTGCTGGAGGGGGATTTACTGCATGTATGCAAACAGGGAAGTTTTCTTCAAAGACAGTTGACATGTGTACAAGGAAGGCAATTTTCGAAAGCTAATGAGCTTTGGGTGAAGGGTTCAAGTGTTGGGACACTTCGTAGAAATCCAGAAAACCCATGTCTGCCTATAGAATTCTCTTTCAGCTTCATATTGAGCACCTTCCAAGTCCATATTATCTTAAAAAGGATTTCACAAGCTGGACCTAACCTTACACCCCTTTGCTAGTGCAATTTTTCAGAATTATGGCAAGTTGTGAACAAATTGGATGTGCAATTGTCCATGCTGGAGGCTGCAGGGGATCCCTACTAGTCTGTCTGTGTGTGTGTGTGTGTGTGTGTGTGTGTATGGGTCACTCTTATTTCCATTGCGTATGCTTTGAATAGTCAGAAATCCGGCTCTTTGGAATCCATTCTCTGAAAAATAAGCATTAAAGCAGCTCCCTGCTAGTACCGAATTAGCCCACTCCAACTTTCAGCCCAAACTCACTACCTCTCCTTGTAAACATTCAAAATTAAAAGTCTGACTCCTAAAAAACCATGGTCAAATGAGAGTTGAAAACCCAAGAATCCCGCAAGCCCATTGTTCCTTGAAGCCAATTAACAAAATTGTACATTGGAAGAAGTGACTCACTCATTCACCTGCTTCTGCTGTAGCCAGGACAACTGATGTTGGGCAGGATGCATGTAAGGTTCAGGAAGCTTAACAAATTCTAAGTTGCAAGTCTGAGGAATATTGAGTGTTTTACAATAAAACAATCCCTTTTACAATTTAAAATGTTTTGCTGCCACTTTGTTGTATGGGCAGAAACAAAGCCAAAACAAGGGAGACTGGCTTGCGAAGCACTTTTAGCAAGATCCTTCTAAGCTTTCCCCTCCTAGACTACTCAAGTGAGCTCTTCATCTAAAGCAGCGGTTCTCAACCTGTGGGTCCCCAGATGTTGTTGGACTACAACTCCCATCATCCCCGAGCTGTGGCCTTGCTAGCTAGGGGTGATGAGAGTTGTAGTTCAACAACATCTGGGGACCCACAGGTTGAGAGAGGCTGATCTAAAGCTACACTATAAACACCTAAGTGACAACTGTATGCTTTGCTTGGTAGAGCTCTGAGATGAGATACTAAAGCTTTGCCTAGTACAGTGGTACCTTGGTTGTCAAACGGCTTGGCTCCTGAACAAATCAGCTCCCAAATGCCGCAAACCCGGAAGTCAGTGTTCCGGTTTGCGAATGTTTTTCGGAAGCCGCGCGTCCAACACGGCTTCTGATCGAGTGCAGGAAGCTCCTGTAGCCAATTGGAAGCAGCACCTTGGTTTTCGAACCGTTTTGGGAGTCAAACAGACTCTCGGAACAGACTTCCAGAATGGGTTAAGTTCGACAACCAAGGTACCACTGTACTGTTTTTCTCCAGACAAAGCTTCACCATCTTCAGCAGAAGGGCTGCTGAAATGCCACATTTTGCTCCCCTCCTGCAGTTGCCAAAGTCCTTAGCAAGCCTTTACGGCAGGCAAGGACTACAAGGTTTGAAGTGGGGAGCTCGGATCAAAAAGATTCTCACTGGGGCACTGCCCTGAAGAATATTCAAAGCTTTGTCTGGGGAAAGCTCTGTTAATCCGAGAGCTGCACAAGTTCAAAACGGATGGGAAGAAAAGCAAACACAAGAGGACAAGGCAGGCAAAAGAACAGACCAGGAGGCTTCCATTTCAGACGCTTTTAATATATTTTTTTATTTGCAGGGCTGTTATTCAGTCAACTCCAGTCCAAACCAAACACACACCTCTGCAACCCATAGAATGAAAAGGAATAGCAAGAGTAGCTACAGCCCGGTGAGCTCAAGGAATCTAGTCAAAACACAAACCCAGGAAAGAAGAGAGCCTCACGTCCTGTCAGCAATAACAAGGGCCAGGTGAAGTGTTGGTTCAAACACCTGACAGACAAAGCCCTAGGTATTTCCAGCCATGGAAAGGTAGAGACTGCGTCGCTCATGGCAGCTGTCTGGGAGCCAGGCCTACAGGCCCATAAAGAAAACTGGTAGCTGGGGTGGAGGCACATTTTGCTGGGGTGGGCATCTAACAAGATAAAAATTACGGGATGCTCTCTGTCCCCATAACCCAATGGATGGCATGAATGCCTTGCTTCTCTGCTATAAAACTGATGGGAGTTGCCTGGGGGATGAACAGGCTAGTTAGGTGCAGAAATACTGCTGTGCAAGAGGAACCAAATGTGCCCTAACACGGCTGGCAGAGATGCTGGGAATTTTTGGACAATGAAAGCACATCTCTGTATGGCAATGGAGGAGCTCACACATCAAAAGACATGAGGAGCTCGAGGGCACTGCTAAAAATGTGGTTATGGGAAGAGGAGGCAGGTAAGTGTTCTGGAGGCAGGAGAATTTCCAGCGCCTCGGCTGCAATTTGCCTGGATCGCGCTGCAGCAAGACAAAGCTCCTTTCAAGATGCCGACAAACGTTCCATTTAGCTTTCCCTGCTGGGATGCTATTTAAGTCGCTAACAGGCACGAGGAAAGGTACTTGCGAGGTTTGCCTGCTCACAGCTACAAAGACCAGGAATTGGCTTTAAATGCAAAGGGGTGACAGCATATGGAAATCTGGAGCAAGCAAACTGCTCGTGAACTGCCTGTCCAACCCTGAAACAGCCAGGATGATGCCGCCAAATTGCGACCTGCTTCCAGTTTGGGAAGCCAGCTGGTCCCCACTGCCCGATTTGGGCAAGAACGGCCCTCTGTTACCTAGCTCTAGCTGAGAAGCACCAGGAGACAGCTGTTTTGATAGAGCTCTTTAAATCTGTGGCCATTGTGGCTGGGCTGGACGACTGTAGACATCCTACGAAGTTGAGAAGCGTGTTCTCTCCTCCTCTTCCTCTCTAGCCGAGATAGTCGGTCTGGGACTTAGCCGGGGGGCTACAAAGCAACTGTATGTTCTGCCAGTGCAGGTCACTCAATTTGGAAGCTCTAATTAGAGGCTGGACCGAAGTGATGCAGGCACCAGGGACCCAGCGATTCTGGGGCTAAATGCAAAAAGCATGTCAAGGGAGCAACATTAGGCAAGCTAGCCTGGGGACCCAATTGACCCCTTCAACACAACTGCCTTGCCTCACTGTGACTGGCTTAAGGCTGGGGGAAGCTTGTGGCATGCAAGCTGATTGGGGGGGCGGGCGCAGCATGACCACACTGCCATGTGCCCACGGGGTTGCGCGACGGCAGCTCCAGGGAAACATGACCACTGGCTGGCTTTCTACAATACTGAGAGCAAAGAAAAGACAAGGCAGCAGCGCCAGGCAGAGGGGCTGTGCCGTATCCCTCCCCCTAAAACATCCAGTTCCACCGGCAAGCTGTCACCCGCTGGATGGCACCAAGTGCCCACGACGTGGGTCGCTCCCCACCCCTCCCCCACCTGCCCTGACCCTCAGGGTGTGTCATCCCAGGAGGAAGAACAGTCCCCTGCCTGGCTAAGGGTTTGCCTCTGTATTTCCGCCAGTTGGTCTGTAAGGGCCGCCCCGAATGCTAAGCCGAGAGGGGGCCTAGCTACGTGGGAGGCTGCACATCTCGCAGTGATCTGTGCCCGGCTGGTTCATGAAGGTGCAGTGCTGGCAGGCCCACATGGCGGAGGTTGTGGCGTGTGTCGAACCACCCATGGCACCGTATTCTTGGAGTCCTGGAAGCTGAACTCCAACTGTGCCTAGAAAAAGGGATTAAAAAAACACACAACAAGAATCAGGAGGGGGGGTTAGGAAAGCTCTGACAAAGTGGGGGAATTTTCAGCTGAACATTACAGAAAAGGGTAGCTTTCTCTAGTTTGTGCAGAGCTATATGCCAACTGGACGCGGGTGGTGCTGTGGGTTAAACCACAGAGCCTAGGACTTGCTGATCAGAAGGTTGGCGGTTCGAATCCCCGCAACGGGGTGAGCTCCCATTGCTCAGTCCCTGCTCCTGCCAATCTAGCAGTTCAAAAGCACATCAAAGTGCAAGTAGATAAATAGGTACTGCTCCGGCGGGAAGGTAAACGGTGTTTACATGTGCTGCTCTGGTTCGCCAGAAGCGGCTTAGTCATGCTGGCCACATGACCCGGAAGCTGTACGCCGGCTCCCTCGGCCAATAAAGCGAGATGAGCGCCACAACCCCAGAGTCGGTCACGACTGGGCCTAATGGTCAGGGGTCCCTTTACCTTTACTATATGCCAAGTATATTTTCTCTTCCTCTGCAAGGTCTGTACAACTTTGAATCCCCTCATAGTATTATTTGTGAGAGACTTTATTTGCTCTCCTGCACTAGATCAAGTTCACAGAGTTGTTTATCCACAAGGATTACATGCTTGCCCGCAGACTGTTTCACAAATATTTCTTTTCTTTGGCCAGGGAGACTGCTATCCTTGCTCAAGCCCCTTCCTTCCTACTGAGATCTCCCCCTGCCCCCAAGTGACTGAGGGAACTCAGACACCAAATCACAACCCTGGGTGATCTGATAACAGATAAAACCAAAGCTCTCCAGCATCTCTGCAGAGGTGCCCAAATCCTAGTATCAAAGGGAAAAGACAGGACATACTGCAAAGCTGTTCAATGGTGGCCCATTGCTCAGATTTCTTCCAAGTCTGTGCAAGCTCTTCATTCCGAGTCCTGACTGCCTCCAGCAACAAGCTGATGCTATCCTGGAAGAGAGATGATGGGTCAGGTCACAGCTAATCCCATTTACCTCAAGGATACGTGGGGCTGTTCAGGAAGAATCTCTTTTCTCCAGAGCTGCCCCCACCTCCCCAAATCCACCAACCATAGTGGTAACATGACTGCTTATTTAACAATAAGGCATCCTTTCAAATAACACATCTGTAGGGCCAGACACAGCTAAGTAGTCTTGCCAGCGAACGTCCCCACAAAGACCACCAATATCACAGTGGGGCTCCCCGCCCTTTCCCCATACACCCAAACTGGCTCTGGGGGAGGGTTGGAAGAGTCCCAGAAGAAGCACATGGGGCTGGGGGAGAGATGGCTGATTGTCTCATCAGGCAAGCAGAAAAGCTTGTGTTGACTGGCAGTAAAGATACACTTCAGTTTCCAACAATCTAACAGCATCCCAGTGCCATCTCAGGCGTGCTCTCTACCTCCCTTCCAGCTTAAAGGGCCAGCAACCCTATAAAACAGGGGTCAGCAAACTTTTTCAGCAGGTGGTCGGGTCCACTGTCCCTCAGACCTTGTGGGGGGGCCGGACTTTATTTTGAAAAAAATAAATGAACAGATTCCTATACCCCACAAATAACCCAGAGATGCATTTTAAATAAAAGGACACATTCTACTCATGTAAAAACACACTGATTCACGGACCATCCGCGGGCCAGACTTAGAAGGCACCTGGGCTGGATCTGGCCCCCGGGCCTTAGTTTGCCTACTCATGCTATAAAACAAGAAGATGAATCGCACACACATCAAACACAACCCTGCATGGTACGGTGCTGTATTTGGGGGAAAGGAACTGCCAGTGTGAACTCCTTCAACCAGCCAGGACAGCACCCAGAAGAACCAGACCGCAGTGGCGGGGGCAGCAGTGAGTTTGAATGGTGGGTTGCAGTACAGCTGCATTCTTTCATGCATTCGTTTTTCGGCAACCACAACTTGCTACATGCAAGTGGCAAACTTGCATGGCTGTATGAAGATGACTTAGCTGAAGGGGGACATCTTGTGCTCCAAACAGCAGAGGGCGCTAGAGGCCACTTCAGAGGTGCAGACTTAAGACTTCTGAGTGCGCATACTGTACATGTCTCTCACTAATATACATCAGCCCAATTCAGAAACTGGCAAATAACCCCAAAAGACAAAATGCAGTGAAAATGTGAAGTACCTCCCTCTTTTTATGGGCTACATGCCTATCTTGTCACCACACTTGCCCCACCTTTTTGGCACTAAATGTAAGTATTCAGGTTTTTGTTTTTTTTAAAAATAGTAATAATAAGGGAGTAAATACATTGTTCAGTGTTTTTGTCTTGTTATCTAACACAAAGCATATCTGACTGGTCCTGCTCTCCAGTTGCCTACTGGTAGACCCAGCTGTTCTGCAAATGCTAAATCATTGCAGTTCTCCATACATGGCACAGGGCTTGGCCACCCCCCCCCTTTTGGTGTTTACTTTTGGGGGGGGGATGAAGAGCATTCCAGATGTTATATTCGCCAGCTGCCCAGCCAATAAAAAGAGGGCGGAGGCATGGGAGGAGATGCAAACACAGGAAGTTGCTGGCCTTGGTAAGACTGGGCAACTGATCATGCAATGGTTTACTGCAGGAATTTCTGATTCAGAGAAATTAAATGAAGCGCTTCCAGTTGTCAGTGTAACATCCAAGTTGGCTCTTGTCTTGTCCAAGAACACACCAATACAAACAACACAAAGGCCAAGCTGAGACTGCCGCACTTAAATCCCACGAGCATCTTTGCCACCAACCTTGAAGAGGCACTTCAAGAGATAGGGCAGCCTGTGGTGTCTGAGAAAAGATGCTTTGCCAAACTACCTGAAGGCAAATGTAAAGAGAAGCATGTAGCTTTCTGCAAGCAAGCAAGCAAGGTACACTGTGTGGAGTCCAGAGGTGCCCATCCCCTTAAATATACAGAGCTCTCTTTGCAAGAACTCACACCGTTCACCAGAATTAACTTCCTTCTCATTACATACCCTTAAAGGCATCACTTCGTTGGTGACCAAGAAGAGGAGCAGATGGAAATCGGAGATGATGTCGAGGAACACTGAGGATGTGTTCTGGGACAAGTAAGTTGCCAGACTGTGGAAGTCCTGTAGAAATTGTAAAGAGGATAAACATTTCAGTGTTCTTAGGATTGGTTGGTATAGGCAGCACTACAGGGAATGACTGTTTTGCGTGGGGAGGAGTGTGCGTTCCTGACCTCCAAACGCAGCAACGGAGCGCATGCCAGCCCACTCTGCCCTACCTCCTTTTCTAACCATTTTCAGGTTGTGGTGATGCTTGTGTGCATGGCTGCGCATGCACTGAATGCGCCTAAAACGGCTGGTGCCTGTGCTATCTACCCCTATCTAATACGATACATTGTTTTACATTTTCCGATTTTAATTGTTTTTAACTGTTGCATCTTATCACGTTAAGTCACTCAAGAGTTTTTTCCATTAAAAAAGTTACAAACAAATAACAATGATAGTAATAAAAACCTGTCAGATTAATCACTCTGGTCAATGAAGCTCTACCAGGACACATTCTCAAATCAAGAGAGCAATTATTTTTATTCAGATGTAGGAATAAGGGGATGTGAAATGACACCAGATCTCTCAACAAGAGGAGTGAATAAATGGCCGATATTGTCCTAGCAAGTCAAACAAGTGCATTGGGGAAAAGACACCAAGTTCTGTAATATCCCCAACCCAACCAGAATATACCTGCAATTCCTTTCTGTACTAAGCTACTTGTTCTCTCTCTGATATGAAAACAGTCAGAAAAACAACAATGAATGGACGGAGCACCAGAGAAAGTTTAGACCATTCTTGATCTTGCTCAGTATTCTTCAAAAGCATCTGCCATTAGCTACTTGAAATAGCCACCAAGGGCAACTAGGGACAGACACACTACTTTTCACTTGCATTCACTGTTTCTAACCAGAAGCTTAAACTAAGGACGTTCCATGCACAAGGCTGTACTTATGGGACCGCCTCTCCTGGCATGCCCCGCGGAGGACCTTAGCGTCCGCAAATAATAATATCTTGGAGGTCCCGGGCCTCAAGGAGGTTAAACTGGCCTCAAACAGGGCCAAGGCCTTTTCGGCTTTGGCCCCAGCCTGGTGGAACACTCTATCGAGACCAGGACCCTGCGGACTTGACATCTTTCCGCAGGGCCTGCAAGATGGAGTTGTTCCGCCTGGCCTTCAGTCTGGGCCCAGTTTGACCCCCCCCTCTATGGGACCCTGTAAGTTACCTCTTTGGCCCTTTTATCAGCTCATGTAGGACCAACATGGATAGCTGGCCCTGATGAATACTTGAGGTTCCCCACCCCTATGGTTATAATTCATGGGCAGTCATTTAATTGTATCCTGATTCTAATTTTTAAGCTGTATCTTAATTGTTTGATTGTGTTTTAATGTACCGTATTTTTCAGCCCATAGGGCACACCTAGTTTTTTTGGGGGGGGGAAATAAAGGAAAAAAAATTATTTCCCCCCCAGGCGTGGGGCTTGGGCGGGGGAAGCCGTAGCTTCCCCCGACCCCAGCCCCCAGAACAGGCAGCTCTCCACAAGCCGTGGGAGATCTGCGCGACTTTGCACAGCCCTCCCACGGCTTGCAGAGAGCTGCGCGAAGCCCGAAGGGCGCTGAGCTCAGCACGCCCCCAGGCTTCGGGGTGCAGGCAGCTCTCCACAAGCTGTGGGAGAGCTGCACGACTTCGCACAGCTCTCCCACGGCTTGCGGATAGCTTCCTGAAGCCTGGAGAGCGAGAGGGGTCAGTGCGCACCGACCCCTCTCGCTCTCCAGGCTTCAGCGAAAGCCTGCACTCGCCCCATAGGACGCACACACATTTTCCCTTTATTTTTGGAGGGGGAAAAGTGCGTTCTATAGGGCGAAAAATACGGTATTTGATATGTGATGTTAGCTGCCTTGAGCCCAGTCTTGGCAGAGGAGTGCGGGGTATAAATAAAAATTTACTTACTTACTTATATGTGGACCTTGCTGGCTGACAGGAGTCGCCAGGATAACTAGAATGAAAAGCTGAGCTAGTCTTATTTGTTTCTAGACCCAGCAGTTCCACAGGCACAAGCTCAAATTGTGTCAACAGCAGGAACAGAAAGGGCAAGGCAGATTAGGGTGTCGTCTCTCCCAAGCGCAGCTCTTTCTTCACAGTGTTCATGCTTTTCCTTCCGCCATATACTGCAGGGGACCTTTTGCCCAAGCAGTAGTAGGCAAGAGGATAGCTGAAGGGGCACACACCTACAAATACTTGTGTGCATTGGGGAGACCTATTACTGGGATGCAAAATGCAACATTTCTGTTTCTAAGGGGGAAATGAGGAATTGTGCAGGAACGTTTCTCTTACAATCATCTACGCAAGCCACGTTCTGACTTCTGATGTACATACTTCACAGTTAAGAGTACATTTTATGTGATTACGTGCAATTTCTCCCCACAGAACTGCTACTCCCACACACAAATTCAGCACAATAACCAACTGCAAATGGGAGCTTTTTAGACTACTTAGCATCTGCAGCCAACCATTGTTGTTGCTGTTTTTTTGCACAACATCCTATGATCTCTAAACATTAAAGTCAGTTAAATTGTTTGAAGCCGCCCCCCTTCCCACCCCCTTCCCACCCCAAATATGATTTGCACATACCTGAGTTTCTCCCAGAACATCACGATTCTCAATAGGGAATGGATTTTGAGAAATAGAAAATGTGTAAACTGGATCTTTGGGGAACGTAGTAGTAATCTTAAATTTAAAAAAAGAAAAAAAGGTTGAGATGATGACTGCCTTATTTCTTGCGTTGGGTTCCATGCTTAGGCCTCAATCTAATGCCCACCTTATTTCCCAAGGAGATACTTCAGCATGCATGGCTAAACAAGCAGAGGGCAACAAGGAATTCGTTTTCAAAAAGCACGGCTGATTCAGGAACATGCAAGCTTGCATTGGCTGTTCTAGAGTGGGTCCATCTTCTGATACAGAATAGGAAGGAATACTGGGCTGAAGTCTTCAGCAGTTCAAACTATCAATGCCCTTCCTGAAACTGCATTTTTTAAATAATAAAATCACATCATCTTCTGGAGGGCTGGTAAACTTTGCTAATGTGAGGTGGCTGTGATTTTTGGATCCAGCAGGGAGGAGACCATGCTTGCTTGCTCTCCCACTCGTTGCCCAAGGCGGACTAATATTACAAGCTGTTATATCTGAAAGTGAAGAGCTAGCATATCCCAACTGCAATTCTATGGAGCCTTACCGATAAAGGACTTTTCAATCAGGGATCGGCAAAATTTGCAACCAAAACCAAAGTTGCAGAAATAGCTCAAGTCATTAGAGAATAACAAAAAAACAGAACCGTAAAGAGAGGCTTCAGAAATTCGGTTTTGTCTCTTTTTTCAGACGCCTCCTAAGTACATGTTCTGTCAATCTCCTTTCATTTTAATTATACCCCAGGTAGTCCAAACACACACACAGAGATGCCTTTGCTGCTGGGGTAATAAATATGTTTCTGGGCTGTCAATTGGAATACAAAGTTTGCAGGCTCAACACAATGGCCATCACTGTGGCATGAATCAGGCATTAAATGCCTGTATCCCAACGCTTGAGCAGCTATGTAAATACATGGACAAGGAGGAGGACCATGTTCAAGTTTCCAGCCTATATTACATGCTGCTGCAGTGAATCATACCGGTGCCTGTACTATCATATCGTCTGCTGATGAATCATCACTGTACTACTACATGCTCCCATCTGGTAGAATAGTTTCCTCCCATCATTTTAATGCTAAATCCAAGCTCCGTGGCCATTTATTGCTCCTTGATACCATGCACACATATCCTTACTGCACATCAGAAAACCACCCATTTTCCAGCCAGACAGTCAAACCATGTCTGGCTCCTTCACTATAAGCAGCAGACTGCTTAATCACTCCAGTGAAAGGTACAACCGACACTAGCTAACAAGCTCCTGGTGATGTAATCACCAGCATCTCTGTGGGGGGGGGGTGACAGTTTCTACTCATCTAATGGATAAATGTCATTTTGCAAGAGCAGCGAGGTGCTCCAAGCAGCACCTAACAAGGAGACTAAAAGCTTTTCTGAAGTTTCACATCACCACTAGTCCAAAATAAAACCGCGTTGACTTACGAGCTGCTTGCTAACATTTAGCTTCCTAACAAAGGCAGGGCGGCTAAAGAAAGGAACAAAGTGAAAAATTTCAACTTCAGTGTTGGGGTGAGGTTAGCCCGTTGTTATTTCCCTCTGCAAAAGAAGAAGAAAAGAAAAGTGTAGCGGATACTTACATCTATGATTAGGTACTCCACAGGGAGTGGACGAGCTAGCTGAGTAATCTCGTTGCCAAACTTGTCTATATCCTGAAACAATAGAAGTCTACTAGTTAGATTGAATGATCAATGCAAAATTGCTAAGGAGAAATATAGATCAGGGGTTGGTGTGTTGCATGTGGGCTACTGGCTAATTCTCAGTGGATTACAGCAATCTGGTTAACTGGATTCTTGCAAAGAAAGCTGCACAACTGAATCTTGATCTGGTCCAGTAAGAAACAACTTGTATTCTTAAACATGACTATATATTGACGATCGATTACACCCTAACTATACGGAGATCCCAAATACACACACTTGCTTTAGAAATTTACACACATATCAAGTGGAACGTGGGAATTCAAGGCTGTGGCTGTGTTTCTTTGTTTTTCAGTGTAGACTATGAAAGACAGAAGTCACTCACCCCTGCAGCAAATGCATGTCTAACCAAGTAAGGTTAACAGTTTTGCAGTAATATGAAATAACTTAATTCTAGAACAATTAAAGTTGCCTTAAAGGTAAAGGTACCCCTGCCCGTACGGGCCAGTCGTGTCCGACTCTAGGGTTGTGCGCTCATCTCACTCAAGAGGCCGGGGGCCAGCGCTGTCCAAAGACACTTCCGGGTCACGTGGCCAGCGTGACAAAGCTGCTCTGGCGAGCCAGCACCAGCGCAGCACACGGAAACGCCGTTTACCTTCCCGCTATAAAGCGGTACCTATTTATCTACTTGCACTTAGGAGTGCTTTCGAACTGCTAGGTGGGCAGGAGCTGGGACCGAAAGACGGGAGCTCACCCCGCTGCGGGGATTCGAACCGCCGACCATACGATCGGCAAGTCCTAGGCACTGAGGTTTTACCCACAGCGCCACCTGCGTCCCTTAAAAGTTGCCTTACTACCAACAAAAAAAAGTAGGTATGATGCCAAGCCTGATTTAACAGGACCTCCCAATTCACCCCCTCATGGAGTTACACAGATGTCCCATCTAGCACAATTATTCCATCCTAGATTTGGACAATTGTACTGCTCAGGCAAACTAAGTTCTCCCCCCCATCCCTCAGCTATCCTTTGCGCAATATAGCAGGGAGAAATCTCTATGTGAACTAGGTTAACTGAAACGGTTATTAGTGTTAACAAGGCAGCAACTTTTGAAGGCTCTTTAAAAAGGGGGGGTAGGTTGGGGGAGCAAGGAAGAGAGCCTCTGGTTCTCATATACAAACTGACCTTTCAGGACTTGTTCCACATTGCACTGTAGAAGAGATTGTACTGTTGGTCACATATTTTAAATAGAACATGGGAATCCCCCCACACCTGTATAGATTTTACACCCAGTACCAGTGGTCAGGGATGATGGGAATTGTAGTCCAAAACCAGCTGGAGACCCAAATTGGGGAAACCCTGGTCTAGCAGATCAGCCTAGACTGTGTTGCCTTTGCATTCCAAGACTTCGCCAATCCAACTGACATTTTGACAAGCTGCCCTGTTGAATCCAAAAACCTTAGCCTTCAAATAAAGTCTCATTTTCCCATCCCTCTGCAGTTCCAAAAAAAGGAGAAGCCCCGAGCCATCCTCTCTGAAATCAGGGGCTACAAAAGGCACACAATCTGACAAAGCCTAAACCTGTTGAGCTCTGTCTGATGAATTGAACACAAGTTCAATTATGGGGTGGGGGGGAGATGACTAGCATATGTTCATTAATCACAAACTGACAATTAGACCTGATTTATGTCAAACACACCGAGCTCAAGCACTGCTTCAGAAATAAATTCGTAAGAACAGACACTTTTCATTAAAGATTCTGCAAGTGGGGGTTGTATTTTCCACCTAAATCACCACTTAACAGGATATAAATCATTCACTCAGACCTATATAAATTATACATTTGTAATTTCCAATCAGAGACCTTACATAAAAGTTTACATTTGCTAAGCTTCCAAAAGCAAAATGTGACTATGAGGCAGATCCCAAGGACAAGTACTCGGACACAGCTGTCAATCTGCATGTTTGATTTATTGCCAGGAAGATTGAGGGAGGGTGTAGAAACAGAAACACACACACACACACACACACACACACACACACACACCTCTCTCTATTGCAAGCAGTCAGATAGGGAGACAAAGTCCTAAGATTGACATTTCTGATGAGCACTGCTAATCAATACTTCAAGATGCAGGCAAATGCTTTGGTCATCACTACAATTCTGAAAGCTACAGGTTCAAATTTTCATCTTTTTCTTATTTAAGACTGTTGCCTTCTTACACAGAGAACTAAGAAAAATCCAGATCACACTGAATTTCTATGTACGGTGAACTTAACCCGTTCCAGAAGTCCGTTCAACACCTGAAACTGTTCAAAAACCAAGGTGCGGCTTCTGATTGGCTGCAGGAGCTTCCTGCACTCAAACGGAAGCCGCGTTGGACGTTCGGCTTCCGGAGAACGTTCACAAACCAGAAGACTCACTTCCGGGTTTGTGGCATTCAGGAGCCAAGTCGTTCGGGTACCAAGGTACCACTATATTCAATTTTTGAACAGAACATTTCTGATATTCAACAAAAGAGGTGGCCAGGAGCACACTGTGCTATGCATGTATGAAAAGCCATTTCTCGATCTGCAGGTAACCAAGGGGTTCCATGAGCAAGAGGTGAGCATCATCTCAGCCCCATTGCCAAGCCAAGGTAACAAGTGAGCTAAGTAGTTGAGTTTGGCATGGAGTCAAGAGCAGACTACTACCCCTGCCAATATTTTTTCCTAACAAATCCCAACCTCCCAAGTAAGCTTACTTAATAAAGGCAGCAGATCGGGGCTGGGGGCTACCTGGTGTATTACACAAAATGTCACATTTATGCCTATCTGCCTGCTGAACAGAAGTTGTGGGTGTGTGCTTGGTGTGAGCTCATTCCTTTGGGGCCAAGGTAGCTGACCCAGAGAGAGGCAGAGAAGTTGCTAGATGAGGCCCCTTGGGGGTGAGATAGCTCTGTCCAGGACAACTGTTTCCCTGCTGTCATGGAGAATGAGGGTCTTAGGGAAGTTTCTCTGTACCTCATGCAAATTGCGATACAAATCCATTTCAGAGCAACATTTTTTGGGCAATCAGAAAACCCTCTCCTAGATTCACCAAGGTTTGCTCCTCAACTTTACTGATACGAAAACGCAGGGTGCTCTTTGGTGAATTTTCACCACGTTCCCAAATGGGGGGATGTGGTAACGCTTCTCAAAATTAAAAATTCCAAAGAACAAGCAACAATGAACATGCCAAGTTTCATCAACCCGGTTTGTGTGTAAAGATGACTAGAAAGATTCATGGAAAAAAGCAGCTGTTTATACATAAGTGGAAACACGCAGCATATTATTAATTATCACCGACCTCTCTCACTGTAGGAAAATCCATGGCATTTCAAATCAAGACACCTGCCCAAAACATGATAAGCCTGTAGGCATTCTTTTAAAGAAATGCTGATTATAGAGGAAAAACTCACAGATACTTTTCATTTCTCAAATAAGACAGACTGTTTGGTGTTGTAATATCTTCGGCAACAAGCCCAGGGGCTTGAACCTTTAGATATCTTGAGCTCTAGCAGGAGATATGGGAGGAGGATGGAATTTTTCTGGTGGAATTTACTAGCTTAAAAGCCCATTTCTTTTTTATGGGCATGTCTTCACAGCATTTATTTGGAGAATCTTGCGCTTTTCTACAGGAGCAGTCAATACTCATTGTGCTCCACAGGATTTCATCCCATGCCTCTTCCCTTTTGGGGGGCAGGGTGTAAAGGGAGGAAAAGGTGCCTATGCCTTTTCTAGGGATACTTCCCATACTTCTAGCTCTACATTGCAGCGTTCAGCCAGCAGAACATGAGCAGTTGTTCTATGCGCCAGCCCTTAATCTTGAAAAGGCTGCAAAGAGAAAGATCAAATCCAATGAAACCAACTTATAGATCTGCCCGTGCAAGAAGCAACCTGCTATACCACCCATATAATTAGCCCACCTGGAACGCATCTTCAAATCCAATTAAGTTCTAATATGCAGAGACATTTTTCCCCAGCACCTGTTGACTTTCATATTTCCCTCCAGGGATTTAAATGAAAAACACTTTTTACAATTTTTTTTTTAAAAGTCCAGTTACTAAAATCTGAATGGCATCCCCTATCGATAAAATAGAACCTTCTATCTTCTCCACTGCAAGTGGTATTTGTAAATCCTGTCCCTCAAAAATAAAGGTAGGGACTCATGACCCTCCCTACACGCACACTGTATTAGCAATTTACTTTTTTTATAGGCCTTAACAGACTTTGGTTGGGAGACAGTGAGGGAAACAATACCTTCCTTGAAAATATTTATTTGGGGACTGATGGAATGAAATGTTCAGGGTGCTACAGACCTGGTTTCCAAAGAGAGCTATTTGCCACCAGAGATAGTACCCTCATATAGGGGCTCTCACATCTACCCTTGATTTGCTTTTGCAAGATAAGGAAGTAGAGGCATTTAGTTCTTACCCAAGCTTTCCAACCACACCTGAATACTTAAGCAAGGAGAAACGTCCTATTTTAACCCCTCTCTTGAGGAAGAGCTCTGGTACAAATTCAGCAGTTGGTCTGCAACACTTCTCTCTATTGCCGACGGGATATTTTTGCCTCTTGCAGAATCTTTAAGCGAGAAGCGAATAGGCAAAAGCAGCGGGATGGAAGGCTTCAAGGTACAGGTACCGTTTGACACTATCATGGTGCCTCACATCTGCTACTTCAATTGAAGTAGAACAGTACAGTGGAAAGAACAAATACAGACAAAGCAAGAACTTGTGTGGGGTTTAAGTATATTATTTCAAGATCCAGCATTGTACAAATGCGTGGATTGTTCTGAAGATACAGTCCTTATAACTGATCACTCATAACCAAAATGTGTATGCAGAGCCGGTCAATCTTTTCAATATTATAAAGATTGCCAATACGTGCCACTAGCATATCTGGGAAAGGAATAAATGACAGCATCAAGCAGCTGCTACAAGAGAACTTCCTCTACCCAACAAGCCGAGGCAAGAAATCTCTGAACGTCAAGGATGCATCTATGACTAAGGCCCTTGGCAAGCTCTTAAATGCAGGAGTGTTACTGTCAAAGCTATTGGTGGGGACAGGAAAGAGAAATGCTCTGTGAAAGCACACTGTCAGGAGGTAACCCTTTATATGAAAAAATAATTAAGATTTAGAGATTAGAGGACAGCAACAGTGCTGGGGCTTTGATCTATGGCTGCAGGAAAGGGGGAAAAACCTGCCTTGCTGGGTCATATCAAGGTCCAGATTTCCAGCCGCAACAGCTAAATGGCTTTGGTAGCTCACAAGCAACATAATATGGCGGCAGCCACTTCACTGTCTCCAGCATCTGGTAAGCAGAGATGTCATTCAGCTAACGTGGCTCACAGCTGTGAACAGACCCCATTTCGGACCTACAGTTGGACTTGAATTATACTAAATTGTAAGTCTGCGGGCAGGATGGGTCTCCTTTCAGTTTTTGTGCCATAAATTATGATTTTTTACTATAATCCATGAATTTGTCTAACAAATGTTTAAAAGCCCAGTGAGTTGCCATCACATCATTCTGCAACAATGCATTTCGTAAGCTAAAATTACGCACTGTGCAAACTAATGGGCTGGCATTGTGATACTTCCTGTTTTATTTACTTTCCTAATGAACTGCATGTGTCGCAGCTGCAGCACTCTATGGTGATGAAAGGCAAAAATGGGGTAATCAGGATTACAGATGACTTAACACTGGGACTTTGTTGGGCTCCCAAATACTCCCCATATGTAAGTGACTGAGGCTACAACCCTATACAGACTTATTTGTGGGGGAAGTCCTATTGAATTCCGTGGGGCTTACTTCTGAGTAGACATGCAAAGGATTACATTCCTAGAGTCTTAAGCTTGCTATAGGTACCTTATCCTGAATTAAAATGCACACACATAAACCTCAGCTACACCTTTGGTCTGGAAACAGAATGCTTCTGCCACCCTGCTGCTTCAGCCGGGAGAAGTTTTCACAGACCCCAGCGAGAAATGACAGGGCTGCTTGTTACCTGGCTGAGAATGGTTGCGACTGATTTGACAAGCCAAAAAACATCTGCCCGTGATTGAGGAAGCCCTGGAAATGGCAATGTGGGTTTCAGTCTCCGACTCCCAGATAGCCTGGAGTTTTAGCAGGGATTGGGCTACCTAATAGCACACATGCAGGAGAGTGGGCAGGGGTCCTTAGCCATAGAAAAGGAGACTCAAATTATGCTTAATATACGAGAAATTGTTTCCTTAAGTGAATAGTCACAGCAACTACTAAACGAAACCTTTTTTGGGAGCTTTATCAACATACACCATTCTGTACTTATATGCAACGTGTTGCAAAACATTAAAAAAATTCCAGCTACGGAAGTACAACGCGTTGTCCAGCCTGTCTGGGACCACCATCCTGTCCGCAGTGCCTTGACACAACTACATGAAAACCTTCTGGGCTGATGAAACTACCTATCCCCAGCACAATTAAATGTGCAAGTACAGATAGGCGATACAGGTCAGTAGACAGTAGCACTGCAGAGAAGGATGGAGAGGCATGTGGAATGACAAGCTGAAATATGAGTCACCAGGGTCACTCTTCCACATGAGAGAGGAGTTGCACTGAGAATAAATGTGGGGAATAAATAGCCCCCATTCTAGTGCCGGCTGAACTGGCAATCCTGGTATTGGCTAGTTTTCTGCTTTCCTCTTAAAAAAGAAATAAGAAAGTAGCGAAGTGTATAAATGGGTTATATTGGGGCCAGAGAAAGTAGGTAGGGGGCAGAAAACTAGTCTGTAGCAATGGGGTACACAACAGGCTATTTGGAGCTAGAAAGTAGATGTTTCATAAGCAAAAGGCAAGCTGGGAACTAGGAAAGTTGATAAGAGCATTTCAGTGGATATGTCACTGGAAATCTGGCATAAAGAACCCTGTACAGCTCTATAAATATGGGGGAGTGGGAAGAGGCTGGACAAATATCATAAGCATTTTCTGGGCAAAGGAATCCTGAGTATTCTGAATGATTCCCACAACCAAGCAAGTATGTGCTCAGCGTCTCATGTCCCTGTCTCAAGGCAACATCAACAGAACATCAGGATTCTCAATTTATCCCCAGACTGAATTAAAGGCCTCGTACATATCAAGTGCTCATAACTCAACAATACCCAGGGGTACTGGTTTTTTAGAAGAAAACAAGTACCAGGCAGCTCTTAAGAGAGAGTGCTTGGCCTTCCAGTATTGCCACTGGAATGACTTGACAAGAGGAAACCTGATATATCATACTAAAATCTAGCAGCTGGCAATTCTTTAGACCAGCGTACCATACAAAGCTGAAGCGACAGCCTAAATGCAAAACCGTATCCAGTTTTTTCAGTCTGTAAAAGAACGATGCAAGGGGCAAATGTCTATCGGTAACACAAGTGTCCTCAAGTGCCTTTCATCTTCTACCAACCCCAAACATTTCCTGGACATTAGAACATCAATAACAACATAACTCACTGGGAAAGATGACATCTTTGCATTGGTCCTAAGATCATCTGTATTTTTCAAAAGTCAACAAGGGAGCAGAGTCCTGCAAAAGCACTAAACCTTTGCTACTCTGCTTCAAAGGATCCATAAAATTCAGATTCCCCTTTGGATCCCCCCCCCCTTTTCTTTTTTGGCACGCTGCATTTGATGGAATGTTGAGACATCCATGAAATAAGTCTAGAGCTGGAGTCCTGCGGTGCAGCAACCAACTTCAAGAGCACAAGACTCACAGGGGTGCCCAATAAGATGACAGCCAGATAATGGAAAGTCAAACTTAGCAGACTGGCTGGATGCTGCTTCAGGAAGAAGAGGAGGTGTTTGAAACACCCAGAAACATAAAAACGGAGAACTGCTCTCCATTAATGCAAATTGCAAATGGATGAAAATGCCAAATTTTAAAGAGTGTTCGGCTCTCACGGCTTCCAGTGATTTCATCTGACTATGCTATGATAACTAATGTCAATATATTTTAGGAAAGGAGATCTAAAATTTATAGACATCTAGTGTTATGCGAAATGTAAGTCAAACAACATCTGTTTGTCAGAAGTTCTCCCCCAGCCCTATAAAACCTCTAGGCTTGGTCTCTGTTGACATTCGATAAAGACCTATGAATGGAACGCAGCGTATTATTCAGCCTTCTCTTATTCAGACTCGCAAGGGCAAAATACATTCCAAGCTTAAATAAGTTGGAAAGAGGAAACTGGTTGAGATAGGAAAGAATTGTCTTCTAAGATAGCATACACAAGACTCCTACATTCTTGAAAATAATGCAATTAGCCCTTTCTCCATTATAAATGGTTAACCTAGCAACTCTTATTTCTGGTGCTACAGGAAGTTGCAAATACCCTGCCTGCCCACATCCAGCTGAAAAGAAGAGAAATGTACTTTTATCAAGTAATTGATATACTACATGATGCCAAACTGCTTCTAAGCAGTTTATAAAGCATAAAAACCCATTACAGATTACTCAGGTGTTGGATGCAGGATAATGATATAAAGGCTGCCTTAATTCTTAATTAGCTATCAGACTAAGTTCAAGGTGCTGGAATCGGTGGCAAAGCCCTATACAACTTGAGACTAAGATACCTAAAAGACAGTCTCAGCCATTATATACTAAAGCAATCACTATGCTCTGCAGAAGAGGGCCTCCTTCAGATGCCATCTTATCAGGAAGTCCATTCCACATGGTATCTGAATTGGGCATTTAGTGTGGCAGCACCTGCCCCTTGGAATGCTCTCCTGTTACATATCGAACAGGCACAATCTCTGTCGTCTTTTTAACACTGGTTGAAGACTTCTTGCTTTCAGCAAGGCGTCCTCAGTGGAATTTTTTTATTTCAATCAGTCTCTGCACTGGATTTTAAATTGTTTTTATATCTGTAATTGTTTTATACATGTTTGTATTGTACTGAGATGCTTCATAGGAAGTGATTAATACATGAAATAAATAACACAGGGAATCAGACTTTCCATTCCAGACACACTCTCCATTGGTGGGTGAGGGGAGGAGGTGTTCTTCAACAGTGAGAACAGCTATTTAAACAGCTTTTTTTGTTCTGGTTCTCAAAACTCCTAATGTTCACACCAGCATAAGCCTGAAGCCCTTCACACCAGTCAAATTTCAGCATCCAGATGCAGTTAAAAGCATTGCTGCCAGTGCTGATTTAGTCTTTAAGGGGCCAAAATAAAGAGAGTGGTAAAGACATAAAAGTCTTGCACGGCCAGAGGCGTCAGAAAAATGCCTGGCTCCATAAAGCTGGAGCAAACCTGGTGCTGTTGGTTTTCCTGTTTTGGTGCTTTTTGAGATATGAGTGAGTCATACTTGTTCTCATGGGAACAAGCAATGGCTGGAACATGCCGTCATGGGTGCAACAGCCTCCGGCCCTGTCCCACAAACACGCACTGATGCGCACCACCCAAGGATGGCTCAAGAGAGAAGAAGCCTGTTATTTGCCCTTTAAGCACCTCTAGGCTTACTGAGGCCCTGCAGCCAGTAACGCACTAGACGTGTGGCTTTGATCCCAACATGGGCTTCTTTTGTGCAGCAAGCAACTGAGACAACTTCATGAAAAAACGTTTTCCAAAAGTATAGAAATAATATACCAGGACTGGATACTTTATGCAATGAGCAAAGTTTCACATAGGCACCGCTTCAAGTCTCTCTGATTTTACATACATCACCTCTTCTCTGCCTGCAGGAGTTTAAAGAGCATCTGTTCTCCTACCCAGCTAGACGACACAGGGGTTCAATAGCTTCTGCTGTATTTAAACTGCTGCTAACCTTGCGAGATAAATGTACTCCACATTACACAAACATTGGCTTCTTGGGGCGGATCCAACAAATTTCTAAAAGCTCTTTCATGTGAGTGCTTAAGCCATATATATATATATATATATATATATGTGTGTGTGTGTGTGTGTGTGTGTGTGTGTGTGTACACACACACACACTTTCTTTCTCTCTCCAAAAAGCTCCAGTGCAGATCTCTCCTAATTTTCTGGAAAGGTAGTTGTGCTGGTTTGTAGTAGCTGGCTGCCAAGAGACCAACCTTTAAAAAGCTTTTACCCCAATAAATAATTTAGTCCAAGTAGCTCATTAACGTCTTCCTGTTCTGGGCATGTTATAAACCAACACTGCAGGACAACAGCCTCCCTTAGCTAAACCCCTGGCCTGGATCAAAATATATTCCTTCATCTCACAAGAATGGGGCGTTGAGTGTTAAGTGCTCCTAATGCCACGGTAAGGACAGAATACGGAGAAAATAAGGCAACCTTTTGTTCTGAACCACAGGCCCAAAGGAGGGTCTGTGCAAAAAATGGTTTGCTGCAGGGATACCAAAGGAGGATGTCAAGAACGCCAGAATAGTGCTATATTAAAGGGAAATGTAAGCTTTCAACATAGCCTGCAAACCCCACAAAGCCACTACAGACGTGGGTCAGACACCACAGCAGTGAGGTGCCGTCATGACTTGTCTGCACCCAGAAAAATATTCATTCATTACTTATACAAATGATAGCATGCATCAGTTTGGCCAGAACCTCCCATCAATCCACCTGGCGCCATGAGGGCACAGGTGGCAACTATCCAGGGCTTACAGATAGCTTCCCTCTCTGGGCCAACAGCCCAGCACCCCAGATAAGAACTGCATCAAAGCGAGCCAACTAGCGTATATTAAAAGGAAGGGAATCTATAAACATATGTGAGCTCAACCTTGCAGCAACTCCCCATTAAATGGCATTTGCAAGCCTTCTGAGACAGTCTCACCTTCGGTTCAACACACCTGCCTTTTACGAAAAGAACGGTAAAATAACCTTGACAGAGTGAAAAGTTCAAAATGCACTAAATGGACTTCAAAAAAGAAAACATTTTATTCTCAGAACCTTTGGATTATTTTGCTCATATGTTTTCTGCGCATGGCTACGGATCTCTTGCTTTCTGAATATGTAAAAGGTGACCACAAATTGTTCCCGCTAAGTTGTCATAAAGTCATATGGCATAAACAGTAACTCTCCCCTACTGTACAAGGCAGGAACTGAAAAGTATAGAAGTATAACCAGCCAAATAAAATAAGAAAAGCCGTACTTGACGACTAAGGCTGTGCTTCGTATTCTAACAGGGCCAGAGCCTACCAGAGATATTCTGGCATCAAGACAATGTCTTAACGATCCTTTATGAAGCTGTCACTCACAAAATCTGTGATAAAGTATTGTCTAAAGAGCCAGGTCTTCCACATTTATCAAGGCCCAAATGGTTCTTAAACACAGAATTTACTAAACTTTCCAGTGATTTCATTACGTTGCATCTGGCTCAAGGATTATTGAAACACTTGCCTGAATTCCAGAGTATATTTCTGAGCAGCCTGAATTTTAAAGGCTCAGTGATCAATTCAAGTGACAGCTATATAGCCAGGCAAGGTTGTATTCAAAGAAAGTAGAAGCAATGTAATTTTGAGTCACAAGCCATAGCTGGAAATTTCTGTACTGCAGGATTGAAAAGTGTAAGTGAGAACCCTACACAAAATGGCTTCGCACTGTACAAGTAAACAGAAGTGGGACTGATAGTGGAGGCCTTAGTAAATTCCCATTCCGGAGTGCCACCGTCAACACTTTGTGCATTGGGTGTCGGCTGCACATACTAATTACTGCTTACAAAATGCTGCCATCTTAGGGAGACTTTTGCTGAGAGGATAAAAAACCCACAATACTAAAAGAAGAAGAGAGTAATCAGATTTGTCTGCTTCAGAATTTTCTGGTTTGGAAAGCACACATACACACAAAGTGAAGTACTGAAAATATCTCAAATTTTTTGTTTCTTGAATAGCAACATATAAGGCAGACATAAGGGGGAAAGAAAAATGCTGTCTGCTTGTAGTAACAGAACAGAGGAATTATTTTATCCTACCTGCTGCCCAATCTTCTGGATCTACCCATGCCTTTTTTTACATCGTTCTCCACTCAAAGCTCTCATCCTCCCTCTTTCCCCACCACGAAATTTACCTTCTCTGAATCCACGTTTTCTATTTTGCTACTTGTCACTATGCAGCAACTGATGCTGCTCACCGGGTGTCTTATAAGTATATCCTACGTAACAAAAACTATTCTCGCTGACTGTCAGAAACCTGCAGCTTTTATTGCTGCATCGTTTTGCTTCACTGAGCATCTCACCTAAGCATAATTGGGCAAAGGAAACAGCAAACATTAGTCAGGAATCCGAAGTCAACAAGAGGGGTGGCAGTCACAGCCAAACACAAGTGGCATCATTAATTCAGAGGGCCCGATAGGGGGCACAAAGTAGCTTACCTCTGACTGAAGCTGAATAGGATCTGGAGTATGATAGGAGGATTTTCAAGAAAAGGGAAATTGAGCTTATTTATGCAAGAAACTATTGCAAATCTGTATTTCCATACATATTGCTGAACTGCTGTTTGCAAGCTTGTGTGTGTGTGTGTGTGTGTGTGTGTGTGTGTGCAAGAATGCATGCTCCAATTTATACTCAGTCAACACAACAGCTTACTGTTCTGAGGCCCCCCTAAAACAGGCATAGGCAAACTCGGCCCTCCAAATGTTTTGAGACTACAATTCCCATCATCCCTGACCACTGGTCCTGTTAGCTAGGGATGATGGGAGTGGTAGTCCCAAAACACCTGGAGGGCCGAATTTGCCGATGCCTGCCCTATAACTTCAAAGTTCAGAGGTGTCGTTGTGGATCCGATAGAGACAACATCAAAAGCAACAAATGCGGAGCCATGGCAGAATCTTGACTTAGGTGGCTCCCCAATGCTGATGCACTGCTCTGAACAACATAGGCCAAATGTGCCAATGTAGACAGGAGATATGGCTCAGTGGTAACACCTTCCAGTGCACAGGGCAGACAAGACAGGTTGTCTCCAGAGCTAGGGAGGAAAGGAAGGAAGGGGGTGCCAGAAGAACTGCTGCCCATGCAGCAATCAACCCAGAGAAAGATGATAGAACAGCTAGTGCACCTTTTTCTTTGGGCATGAAAAACCATTAGCCTAGGCTTCCAAAGGCCTTTCAGAGAAAGCACCTTCCCAAGGGCAGAAGGAAATTCCAGACGTTAAGTACTGGGAAAGGGCTACCCTTCATGGCTTGCCACTATTGTTTAGTCACCTTACAGAAAAGAAGAGAGTGAACCGTACCACTTTCCCAGAAATAGGAAAAGACCACATGTCGATGGAGGTTATCCACACTTGCCTTATAGAACACATCAGGCACATATTGTTCACTGCTGGATTCCTTTGCATAGCCGAGCTCTGGAGCATCACGACATGGCAACAAGCACTCGTCACGTACTAGAGCCATGCACTGGTTGGATACCTGGTAGCCCTCGAAGTGGACTTGGTTGTCAGGACCACCTGGGGAAAAAAGGTACTTTTAGCCGCTCAAGAAGAAGGTATATATGTACACAGGCTGTAGCACACTCAAAATGGATATAAGACGTCACTAAGCCAATAAATGTAAGTGCATCAAATCCAGATTTTCTGCCTTAAGTACAGTCATACCTCGGGTTGCGACCGGGCTCCGTGCGGGAGGCATGTTCGCAACCCGCATCTGCGCACACATGTAACGCAATTCGGCGCTTCTGTGCATGACGTCATTTTGTGCTTCTGTGCATGCGTGAGCACTGAAACCCGGAAGTAACCCATTCCAGTCCTTCCGGGTTCGGCGCGATCCACAACCCGAAAACTTGCAACCCGCAGCATTCGCAACCCGAGGTATGACTGTACAAAGGACTCTTATTCTGAGCCTGTATTGGCTTAAGAGTTTAAAATGGCAAACAGTACACAACTTTCCAAGAGAGGTATCCAGATAGAGGGGATTTGTTAAGAAGTCATATAAATGACTGCATACAGTTAAGAGGTCACATGCATTTGCACAGTTTTATACGTTTACACCCGCAAATAGTTTTATGTTTTACTGGGTTTCTGCCATTTGCACAGAACACTACGGTGCCAGGCCACTGTGATTTTTATGTTGTGCTGTAGACTTTTCTTGTGCATGCAGCACTGAGCAACACTTTCTCATACAATTAGGAGATTTCAGCTTCATCTCACACAGTCCTCGTCTTAGCAAAAGGTACCACTGAAAAGCTTTATTAAATATTGCACATGGAGGGGCATTTGTCAAGGAGATTTTTAAACCAAAGGAAAGGAAAGATGCATATTGTTTATCAGCAACTGCACCTCCCACCCCAGCATAAGATGTAATGGGAAGGCAGAATGACTGGCTTTAATTCATGCGCACAAAAAAACATATGGTTTTAACATTATTAACATAAGCATTTCCAAATAGCCAAACTCCATTTTGGAGAGGGGAAGGAGGTTTCCTCTTCAACTAAAGTTGAAAACACTCAGGTTTAAAAACAGAGAATGGGGGCAAGGGCACACATGCAAGCCCCAGTGCTCCTGGCTTTGCGGGCTCTTTTTAGCCTGCAGAGGGTTCCTAAGCACATGCAGTTAGAAACCACCTCATGGCCAAAAACACTGTTTTCTTTTACTGGTCTCAATTTCTGAAAAGCTTGCTGCTTTAATGGAGTGGGGGTGGAGGGTTATGAAACATTTCAGGTGTTTGCAGAAGAGGTTGCATTTTGTTTTGTTTTTACCTGTAGCCACCACAGTGAAAAACTTGGATCCAAAGTGACCATCTGGGGACAGGCGGCAAATGTTTGGGTGCTGATTCTGAAAATGCCCAGCTGTGATGCACTCTTCTGCGCTTAAGAAATAAGCATCCTAAAGAAGGCGAGAAGGTGAGACTGTTAAAGAGACGGAGCCATTGCACGAGCGGCATTTAAGGTAACCCAGGAGTGCTTTCTAAAATGAAGCACGGATTAAAGGTAAAGGTAAAGGGACCCCTGACCATTAGGTCCAGTCGTGGCCAACTCTGGGGTTGCGGCGCTCATCTCGCTTTATTGGCCGAGGGAGCCGGCGTACAGCTTCCAGGTCATGTGGCCAGCATGACTAAGCAGCTTCTGGCGAACCAGAGCAGCACACGGAAACGCCGTTTACCTTCCCGCCGGAGCGGTACCTATTTGTCTACTTGCACTTCGATGTGCTTTCGAACTGCTAGGTTGGCAGGGGCAGGGACTGAGCAATGGGAGCTCACCCTGTTGCGAGGATTCGAACCACCGACCTTCTGATCGGCAAGTCCTAGGCTCTGTGGTTTAACCCACAGTGCCACCCGCGTCCCGAAGCACGGATTAGTAACTTCTAAATCTAGCACAGATGACCATCTTGGAAAATCATCACGATGCATAGGCACTACAACCTGCAAAGCTTTAGTTTCAGCAAACAATTCCTATCATACTAGGAAAACCAAGCTTTTTAAAGGAGATTTTTTAAAACGAGAAATAAATCAGGCAAGTTTATTTGGCTTCTGGTCGCTGAACTTTTAGGACACGGGTTTTATGAGCTCTCTTTAGAACTATGACAACTAAAAAATTTACTGGTTTTCAGATTCGCGGAAGTTAAGATTGCCCAGAATCTAACGAAAGTCTACAAGCTGAGGTGAAAAACATCTTGAGCCTGACATATGGTCCAAGGTCTTCATGCTCACATCTGGTTGATGTAAAGAACGGAGGTGGCAAAATTAGGGCAGAAGGAGAACCCAGACAATAACTTCCCCATGAAAGGTTAATTTCCCCAATGTGTGATCAAACTATAAAATGAATAATGGAATGGGGTGTACTTCATCATGAGCAAGCAGGCTGTTTTAGATTTATGCCTGATTTTCACTATAGTGGAAGTAGGCAAAGCCTCCTATTAGCTTATGGTACTTGGTTATGGTCACAGAATAGTGGTTGGTTGAGATAATTCACTATAGAAAGTCCAAGTAAGGGCAGCAAATGAAGACCTAGAAAGAGGATTCAGAAGGATAGGAGGAAAACTAGACAGAAATTATCCAGCAGAGGGAAGCATTAACAATAATCAGGTACGTGGAACATTGCTATGTGCTGGGTTGAAACAAACTGCAGAATAAGAGCTTGCTTCCTGTGACCACAGCTGCGGGAGATTTGGAAAATCAAGGAAGGTATACAAAAGCACTCTTGTAAGCTTAGATAGATACAAGAACAAGTTACAATGGGATCTTATGGTATTGGCGCTGCTGAAACATTTTAAAAACAAGCAAGATGAAGTGAAGTCATATTTAAAGGAAAGAGAACCAGGATTTTGTTTGTGGTGCACCTTCGCCAGGTATCCAAGAATCCAGACAGATTTCAAACCATCCTGACATCCTATCCGTACAAAGCTCCATTCTAAATGGTTCATGGCTCCTCTAAATTCCCAGCAAACTCATGCATTATTCTAATTTTAATAAACAAGGCCCACCCTTAAAAGCAAGGCATCAAACTACGTCGTCCCCCCCCAGAGCCTGCAAATAAAAGAGTACAAGGACAAAAAAGAAAAAGCTCGCTTCTCACCTTGTTCCGGCTATACCGGACAGTCCCCTTCCGTGTATCCTCTGAGACCAGATCTGTGAATATCCAGCCAACCTTAAAACACAAATGCTCATTTTATTCTTCTACCTTTTTTTTTTTAAGGTGACCTTCCCACATTGGTACAAAATGTTCTTGGCTAGAGGAAGCTCTTTGAGAAAGCCTGCTCAACAGCAGCCTGAAGGAAATTACTCCCTTAGCTACACAGACTTCATTTGAATACAATTCACACATTTGCAGTGACAACTGGTGAGACCGGCAGTTTTATGCCTCCTTATGGAAAGATCTGGAGACTGCAGGGATTCTCCTCCGCACCTCACTCATAAAAATACATTTACTTTTCTGTGTCCACACTGTAGAATCAAAAGCAGTTCACAGAAGTGCTCTCAAGATATCAAGTTTCTATGCTGGTTAATCTAAAAGGGAACCCTCTCAAATTTCCTATTTCCTGAATCCCACTTGATCATGCTAAAGAAGTGCAAGCCTTTCTGAAATGTAGATCCATACACTATTCATATCCATTGCTCACTGTTCAAGCACTCAGTTGCTGTTCAGATGTTGCTATTATACTTGCAACAAATATCAAGAGCTAAACCTGATATGCTTGTAGATGTTATTAGTGATGATCTGTATAGCAAAACAACCATAAAACTAGGATAAAACAAAGGCTAGATTCAAACAAAAACAAACTGTTTTATATCTTAAACACAGATGCCTTATATAAACCCAAATTTAATGACTAATATGACCCACTCATTAGAAGTCTGAAAATATTCAACCCTTTTTGGGGGGTAAGGAAGCAATGTATTTTAGCCTTTATTTTCGCAACACAAGCAGTATCTTCATTAAGGCAAGAAAATTAAGTATGGATCTGAAAGGCATCTGCGCAAGGGTGGTGTCAGAATTTATTTAAAAGCTGACAGTTTGCAGATTAAGGAGAAGATTTCCAAGAGGTGAAATCTTCTCTACCCCAGTCATATCAGAAAAGCACAGCTGGGGCACTGTTTATGGTGCTCCGCCAAGATTCCTGCTTCACTTGCCTTTATAATAAACAGCTGATAAGCAGGAGCCTGATCAGCAGACTGAGGAATTCAAAACTATGTGACCACATCTATATGTCCTTTGTGTTACTGGCAACACAGATCTGCTTAACTACACCAACCCACACTTTCCACTCAGTTTCATGTTGCCTCAGGACTATGCAGCAGAAAAAAGCTGAATAGGTCACAAAACCTCCAGTACAGCCTGCATGCTGAAGCAACACTAGCCCAATTAGCTCCCAGCAAACCAGATCCCGTACATTTGCCAACCTTCCAGCTCCTTACAAAAGGTTTCCCCCTATATGCTGGCCCACACATGTTTTTATTACCTTCCTCAGGCCCAGCTTGGTTGCAATCTCATCCACAATCTCCGCCTTTGGGTCTTCTAGGAGTTCCAGACTGTTTTGCGTACCAATCTGAAAATAAAGAGAAAAGCAACAGAGAATCAGTTTACAAACAGGGGTGGACATTTAGCATCCCAAGGAGACAAAATGTTTCGTTCTCGAGAAAGAAACGATGGGAAATGTCAGGAGAATGAATATTGACAAGCTGCTGTGTCTCGCTGCAGTTACATTGATACGTGTGACACCAGGCTATTGACTGCTGGTTCTATTGAATATCAATTTGAACAAACAATGAGCTATGCTTCTCTACGAAAACCAGTCATTTCCCAACACATAACTGTAAAGAATCCTACATTCTTTCACCGGTAAAAATCTAAGAGGAGGCCTGAAGGATCAGGCTATGACCCATCTAGTTCAATATCCTGTTCTCACTGGTCAAGTAGATGTCCATAGGAAGATCAGAAGCAGGACCCAAGCTCAGCAGCACTCTTCCCAGCTATGATCCCCATTGGGATTGCATCAAATCTTCTTACTCAAGGAGCAAATGAAGTATTTTTTAAAAAACAAAGCCTCTTACAATTTGTGTTTAAAGTCTGTGATCTAGAAATCCTTCTAGTGTCTCACACATTGGCAATTTTACCCTCACCATCACTGTTTGCTTAACATTGGATTCCTTACCTATATAGGGCACCCAGCAATATTTTTTTGATGGATGGACATTAATGCGTCACAAGGTATTAATTAATTTTAAGTTAAGCCACCTGACCCACAACCTTTTATTCTCTTGTCTCTAATTTACAGATTTCTTATCTTCCAGTCTCTCCTCCCTTTCCAACTTCGACACTCTTATCTAATTCTGCCTTGCTCCTTAGCTTCCTACTTATCTGACTGAAAACAGAAGGCTGGATTTTCAATAATTCTATATAGTTATTAGAAGCCTTTTTTCTTTCTAAATACTTATGAACCACCCTATGGTACGATATGTGTTTCCTAAGGCTAAACTTTTAATTATGATTCTTCCCCTTAATCTTGATTCATTATTTGTATTATATAAATACTGATATGAAAATTTAACAGGCAGCTAACCGTGATAACTTCCTTTCACAGGCTATAAAAATCTGCCATAAGCACCTCACATTCAAGCTAGTCTCCATCTCCAAAGTCAAATTCTGTGCCATATAGAAGCATAAAATACGGGAAAGCACTCAGGAATGTATCTCAGGAGTGCACAGACTTCTCTCTAGATTGTGGATTCTCTCTCAAAAATACTTTGAGAGTCAGAGTTTTTCTCTAAGTATATATATGCCTAATGTGGGGCTTGACCCATGACCCTGAGATTAAGAGTCTCATGTTCTACTGACCAAGTACCACTTCAGACTGAATAGTGGGGGTGCCGTTTTGAATGCTTTTCCATGTGAAAGTTCATCAGCAAGTAAATAATTAACTTATCAGGGAGAAAGCCCAGCTGACTTTTTGCTGTGGCACTGTTCTACTTGCAAAAATATTACACACACACACACACACACACACACACACACACACACACACAATGTAGGGGAACAATAAAAAGTTGTCCTCCATCAATATTTTGAATTGACACCTCCCATTCTTCCTCCTTAGAACTCTACTACCAAATTCTGTTACACACTTGACAAGCTGGCTTTTCTCTTCCAGAAAGAATAAACTTGTATTTAACTGACAGGCAACATCAGCTATTTTTACACCACCTACCCAAAGTTTTCTCATTGGGGAAACAGATGCATTAAATCAGGTGGTATCTCAACTAACAGGGCAACTGAACTGGATCAAGGATGTCTCAGATCTACTGTAACTCTTGTCTGCCTTTGGCCAAGCCAGCAGAGATCTTGAAGGGTTGCCAGGATACCAAGGAACACAGCCTCTCTTGCAAATCACAGCAATAGTGTTTGCATCAGTTCCAAACTCAATGCTTTTAATTCGCATGGTTTCAGCGACATAATAGCTGCCAATCATCACAAATCTAAAATGGGAACTGTAGACGCTATCTATTTATCTTGGGCTGAACAAGCATTAGTGCAGCTCTGATAAATCACACAGGAGCCACAAAACCAGAGAACAACCCCTCTAGCACAGCTGCTTGTTGGTTTCTACACACTGTACCATGATGCAATACCAAAACACACAAACTGGCAAGCGAACAAAGTGCTCAACACTTAGCTTCATGGTGTGCAGAGGATTCAAGGGCGCTGATGTAAGTTTATTTTGCAACTTAACAGAAACTCATGAATCTTGCCACTGAACAGCGCACCAATGAATTATTACTGCTTGCATGTCTCAAATCACCCAACAGACATATATTTTATGCATAAGCAAGGAGCTCCCTCCTCAGTAGGAGCTCGCCACCAACACTTCCAAGGTCACTATGTGTTGAGACAGCATTTTATAAAATGGCCAAAGGAGGATCATAGGACAACAGACTGTCCTCTTTCCTCAAACTACAACCTGATACACTAGTAAGTACTCTGAAAACTGCTTGGTCCTAGTATCCTCACTTGCTGCTCTCCGGTCACTATGTTAAAGTTGCATGGTGGAAAATGCTATATATTTTGATGCTAATAATGGGCAGAGAAACTATAAAGACAAGTGGCCTTCTTGGTAGTTGCACCCACCCTGTGGAACATCCTCCCATCAGATGTCAAGGAGATAGGTAACTTACAACCTTCAGAAGACAACTGAAGGCAGCCCTGTATAGGGAAGTTTTTAAATGTTTGGTGTTTTATTACGTTTTTATGTATGTTGAAAGCAGCCCGGAGTGGCTGGGGCAACCAAGTCAGATGGGTGGAGTAATAGTAGTAGTAATAATAATAGTAGTAGTAGTAGTAGTAGTAGTTTTGAACAAGGATGATAATCATAGCAACCTCTTTAATAGCTGATCAAAATTCTCCATCACTTGCAGCTTTCAAATCCAGAAATGTCCTTCTAAAGCAAATACGTCAGCTGGGTTAAGTTTGATGCAGCATCAGTTGAAAGGAGTTAAATCAATCTGAACTACAAAAGATTGTCCAATGCAAGGTTGCAAAAACCTTGCCAATAGCAAGCGCCTTGTCTTCATCCGGTGAACACCGCTCTGTATTCACCCAAACTCAGTTTGTGAGAGTGAAGCAACGTTTCCTTTCCTCCAAGAATGGGGAAGAAAGGAAAGATGGATTCTGTCCTGAAAGGTGGGCTTTTGCGTAAAGTGCCAATGGTTTTTTACTCCTACCTCCTGAAAAATCCATGTAAGCAGGGAAATAAATGGCCCCTGTTTTTTTTTGCAAGGGAGTCTGGTGTGTGTCTGTCATGGCGGTGGGATAGTTTCTTTCCCTTCACATTGGCAGAAGCCATAGCATACAAATAGTGCTTTCTGCAAAAGTCCAGCTTATAGGAGAAAAACTTCTCCCTCACCTCAGTGAAGAGGAAGATAAAAGTAATTTTTATTTGTTCCTGTTGAGATTTTGCAGGAGGGAGCAGTAGAAAGGTGCTGCCTGCACTTTTTGCAAAAGCCCAGCCGTAGAGGAAAACACCCTCTCATGAGTTCTCTGTGCATGTCACAAGAAAGGGTGTCATCAAGAAGGACTGAGCTTGGCTAGTAAACCAAACAAAAATTCATGAACCACTGATCCAACCAGATCTCTATCATCACCATTAATTAAATTTATATACAGCTCTTCATTCAAGGATCGGAGGGCAATTAACCAAAAAACCCACACAAAATACATAACATAATAATAAAATGTGCAATAACACACATTCATATTGAAAAGGCTATAGATTGTTTAACAGCAAAAGGCCTAGTTAAAGAGGAATGTTTTCGCTTGGTGCCTGTAGACACTCCCTTACCTTAATTTAGAAAATTATATATTTATACAAATTTATTCTACTAGAAATTTCCATTCCGTTGTGAAGTTGTAATTTCTCCTTAACATTCATCTGAATCACACTACTCCACTTCATCTTGCAGCTATGAGACCCAGCTGCTAGTGCCACCTAGTGACTTTATATGACCGTACAGCTTCAAAAATTTCCAGTCCACCATAAGCTACTATAGTTCAATAGCAGCAGGGCAAAGCATTGGAGCTCCCCTGCCACCTTTTTATCCGTGGGAATCCAGAAGGCACTGGGCCCAATCACTGCACCACAATATGCCCAACATCTTCACATGTGACGAAGGCTGAGGATATGGTGGTGGCCCTGCAAGGCTAAGGGGGGGGTCAATTAGGATTGCTCCCCAAGGCTGCAAAATGAAGCCCACTTATCTGGGAGTCAAGTTCCTTTGAATTCAACAGGACTTCTGAGTAAACATGATTAGGATTGCACTCTAAATCCTATCAATTTCAATGGGACTTCCTGCAATATTCATAAGATCAGAGCCTCTTTCAATTGCCCTTTTCTGCCATCTAGAGATCTGTTGAGAAGGGGAAAAGAAGAGATTGTTGCTGCCCCCTCACCCCAGTCAAGCTGTCTAGTCCACAGCAGTCGCAGCCATATTTGCAAATAATCTGTTTGTTGTTTGCCCTGGCAGTAGCTTCTCTCAAGGTGGCCAAAGCAAACAATAAACAGGTTCTTTGCAGAGATGGCTACAAATGCTGTGGGCAAGACAGGTTCTCCATGGGGTATGAAGCAGTACCACTGCCTCGCCTCCGAAATAGTGAGTCATAACCCCATGCACAATTACACAGAAGTAGACCCCACTGAGTTCAGTGAGAACTTACTTGCATATATAAATGCACAGTATCAGGACTATAAAGTCACAAAGCTGACACATGTGCCATTTGTGGAGAGGCTTCGTCACCACAAAATAGCTGCATGCTTTAAAGTTGACAGTTTTACTCCGGTGTCAGCAAGTGCTAAGGTCTATTCTGTTTCCCAGGCACCTTTCCAAATGGAGCAAACCAAGACATTTTACAGCGGAGCATCTGTTACCTGTGGAGGTTCATAGATGGCAGCAACCTCAGCTCGGATACCTAGAGGGATGTCCTTGTGCTCTGTATACTTCCCGTATAAGTACCCAAAATGCTGGTTTCCCGTTTTTCTCCAGAAGTCCAAGAAACGATCTGCAATTGTATGGTTCTCAAACATGATGTTATCCACATGCCTGTATTTCTGCCGTTTGAAAAGCATAATAATGTATCAAGCAAAGCCCTTTGATAAGGATCAATGATGTTCAACACAGTCACCCAGTCTACATAAGATTTGAGCTTGCTATATTCTAACTCAATTCTGTCTCACAGACTGACACCTCTTTATTCTCAACTGACTTGCCTTGGCTGTATAGGCTATGGATCAGTGAGGAAAACAGTGGAGAGAAATCGTTTGCCCCTACTATTCTACCACTTTTTCAAAACCCATCCCCCCTACCACAATAGTTCTCACACGGAAAATCAGCGATCTAGTTCAGCTGTTAATGCTCAACCATGGTTTAGTGCTATACATGAGCCTTAGACCAGGGCAGGGGTCACCAACCTAAGGCCCATGCGCCAGAAGCGGCTTGCGGAGGTCGTTTGACTGGCCCACAAGCCGCCCCTGAACTGAGCTGTGCTAAACCAGCACAGCGCAGTGCGGGGACTCGCCTTCCACGGCACTGAAAATCGCCAGCACGCGTGCGCAATCCAACCCACAGAGGGATCTCTGCGGGATTGATCTGGCCCAGGCAAGATAAACCTTGCCGACCCCTGCCTTAGACTCACATACTATATTTGTCTTCCTTCTCCGATGGAGCCATGAGAAACAAGATGGAAGCTTTCATTTATATTTTCAGTTCACCATGGATGACTGTGATAGTCAAAGCTAAAACCGTGGTTAGCATTAACTACAGTTTACAGAAACAAGCAAGGGTCATTAACCTTGGTTAAGTTGGCTCGTTCTCCCAAATCAACTAACCAGTATGCCTGGCTTGGGACATAATGAATCAGTTAGTTGAAAATGGAAGCAAAAGCTTCCAAACTCCCTCGCTGTGGCTGACCCAAAGGAGCAGGAAGCAAAACTCACAAGCCTGCGGTTCCTTCACGTTAAATCTTAAACCCAGTTGAGAATTATGACTGAACAGAGCCAGTATACATTACAGGAATTCAAAGAAAATAACACCTAGATCCCTGTTCACCAACCACTTACTCCATTCTTACAAGTCCACAGCTTTTTGTGATCGTATTAAGAAATCTGAGCAGGTGGTTCTCAAATCCACTAAAGGCTCCTCTCCTATCTCATGCCAAGAACATGAGTCCTCCAGTTACAAGGAATAAGAAGGTGTCCCTGTCATCCTGTGCAAAAGCTAACCAACCGTGTTTACACCAAGGGAAAAACGCACCCAAATCTAAGCTGGACATTCATTTCCAAAAAGAAAAACAGCAGACATAACAAATGCCTCTGCTGTTCTGATCTTACCTGCCTGTTGAGTGTGATGGCACTTGGCTGGCACTTAGTGCAAATGCCTTCTGGCCACGGGGGATGTCCCTCACACCCAGATTTAATCTTGCAGCTAATGTTTTCAAGGGCAACAAACTTCCCCCTAAACAGGGAAAACAAAGGACATACTTACCACCCAAGTATTTATAAAAACAAAAGAAGCTCCTATGCTGAGTGGTGTGCAACAGACATCAGATCAGAACATTTCGTCAGGCTCGGTGCTCTAATAGTTGCACACACAACATGTCCCAGGCCCAAGTGTAAATCTGGGGGTGGGGTGTAACTAGCAATGCATTGCAGAAGTCAACCTATCTCCCCTCATTATAGCTGGCATTAGCAAAAATGTCAAGACATGCTGGAAACAGGGATACAGGACTCAGCGACACATGGACTGGAGTCTGTGTGTGAAAGATCAACATCAACTAGAGCATCTGCAGGTTGCTTTCGTAGTGATGATAAGACAAGGTGCTTAGGAAGCAATGAATGTTTCACACCTCTTTTGCGCGTGTACAGAGTCCTTGCAGTGTTCTTGCAATGTATATGAGATCACAAATCATTGACTTAAATAAATGCAACCTCCCTTCACAAAACTATGCCAATGGCATCAATCTGTGGTCCTGGTTTAGGAAAAGATCTGCTGATCAAGGGAGGGAAATAACTACGAAGTTCTCAATCTTTCCTCCCCTCTGCAAAACTGTTTTGAAAATTACCGTTTTGCCACTGCTTGAAGTGAATTAGTTTCCCCGGCTATAAATAATCTTAAGGATTTTCACATTCTGTTTTATCATCTATAAAGAGTTTTCTCTGAAGAAAAGGTGCAAGTTTCTTACTTGTCTGCGCCTCCGGTCAGTTTCCTGATGTAGGCATGGAATGACATATGCTTCACAGGGGGTTCCAGATGGTTTAAATAATCCTCATCAAAAGGCTGCCAAAAAAAGAAATGCATAAAGGAAAACCAGGTCAGACACCTACTTGATAACACATTGATCACTGAACAAATGGATGTTTTTGTCCGAACTCCTTTGCTAGCATTCAATGTGGAAAGAATCAGAAAGCTTTGTGCTTCTTTTCCACAGCTGTTACTAGCCTGACAAGAATGGTGGAGGCCTTTCTCCAGACAGTAGAAGTGTTAGCCCCACTCAAAATGTCTTCAGAAACCCAACCTGTCTCATGGGTAGAATAGTCTTCTTCTTTTTAACTGGCAGAGCTAAAGGCTAACTGATCAAGCATGCCTGGAGAACTCTGGCACAGGTGAATGTGTCCCCGTTTGTCTCTATCGGAAGATCTCTACACAACTGAGAAAGGAAATAATAATCAGAACTGTTGCAGTATATAAGAATACAGCACAAGTTGTTCTGAGGTGCACCTCTGCAAACGAACGGAAAATCCATAATGCCAAGAAAGCAAAGTGCACACAAATTTAGTGAGGGCAGGGGGAGAGAGAGCTTTGCTTGAGCATTTAGTGATATAGCCTGCTCAATCCACTACTGCAGAAAAACAGATGTCAAAAGCCTGATAAATGCAAGTACTGCTCAGACAAGATATATCCAAGGGACTTGTTCAGCCTCTTTGGCCATTATCAGCACAGACAGGACACATTAATGTTTCAGCAGCGTCCTCTCAATTGCTGCCATTAAAGCAACTATATTCGGGGGGGGGGGACATTTTAACAAGTAAAATATTACCATAGCAGCTACAGTTTTACTCCTTACCTCTAATGGTACACAGTGCACACATTTGCCCAGCGGGCCATGTCGACATCTGTGTAAAGAGAAACAAAAGTCAACAACCATGTTCCCTAGCAGCCGAAAAGCACTCTGAAGTTTTCATACATTTTTTACGGAGTTAACAAATTTAAAAGAAGTAACTGGAAAAACCAGTAGCAAGTCTGCTTTAAAAATAATAATCATCATAATGGTCAGACATTAACATAGCAGAGAAGCCTACACCTGCTAATTAAATTACTGTATCATCTAGCTTTAATTTTCACCACCAGGTATCAGAAACTGATTATTTAGAGCGCTGAATTAAGACACCATAGTTTTTTGTAATACACAGATTGGCTATTTTTTTTAGGACAGGTGCAGTGTATACCAGCTGATAAAGGATAATGAGAAACACTAGGCAGTGCATCCTCATTCAATGAAATACGGCTCTAGCGCTCAGCACTCATATAGCCTTCTAAGAATCAGTTTCTTGGTTCACTGTTGGTTCCTTCCTTAATAAATGTTAGTCTGTCGCTATTGCTAGCAACAACATAATACATTCTCCAGGAATATATGTAGGAAAAGTTAGGCATAGCCTCTTAACAAAAGAGCAGAGAATTTTGCCTTTGATGGTTTTATGAGCACAATTTTTATCACTGAACTGCTGTTAAAAATGTCTAGACAAAAGTTCACTATTCAAGGGCTTCCACTTTTTGATCTTCACCGAAGCAATGATTCACGTGTACGCAAGGTCATATAAAGGGGCAAAACTGAGCTATTACATTTTAAATTGAACCATGCCATTTTTAAATTTTAAGTCCAACTCTTCTGCGAGTTACTACCAATAGGATGATCGTTACAGTGAACAAGCGGCCAACAGGTAGTCACAATGTCCCTTCCCAGTCACAGGTCAAACCACGGGACGTCTTCAATATTCCTCTTGAGAGCTGAGCGTTTCAAGCTTCTTTAAAGCTTCCATAAAGGAAATACATGGCAACTCTAAGCTAGAGTCTCAACATAATTGACAAAACCTGTGACAACTCTGTAGGTATGTGGCTATTTCAACTCAAAGAAAAAAAGGCAGCATAAAGACAAAGACATAAAACCAGGCAGAGACTCTAGAATCATGACGCCTGCTACTCTGTGCACTGGGTTCCATTTTCACAGCTTCTTTGAAGCGACAACTAAATATACACACAGCCTTTCTGTAATGCAAGTTTTATTGTTTTTCGTATTTATAGAAACATCAGCATTTGAACAAACTTCAAATGAGTGTGACGACGACTAGCAAGGCTAGTCATCTCATTGTTCTCCAAAACCGTAACACTTTTTGTGCAAGAGTAATTGGCTGTCGCAGCACCATACGCATTACCTTACAATATTACAGATGGTTTATTTATTATTGGGGTGGGATGGGGGTCGTCCATTAACATGCTACATGATATAACTTTTGCAAATTCTGTATCGACTGGGTAACAGTATGTATTGAAACAGCTGGGGGCCACAATACCTGAAGCACCAACTCTCCCCAGATAAAACTGTCCTGGACTCTGCGTTCATCATCCGAGGCCATTCTTCATGTGCTGCCTCCTCCAGGGTGGCAACACGAGAACGGGCCTTCTCTGTAGTGGCTCCCCGTTTGTGGAATGCTCTCCCCAAGGAGGTTCGCTTGGCGACTTCATTATATATTTCGAGGTACCAGGCGCCAGCGTTCTTCTTCAACTAGGCCTTTGGTTGATTAATATTCTATAGTATAGCCTTTTAAATGCATTCGTGGGAAGGGGGGTTATTGTTTTGCTGTTGTGTTTTACTTATTTGCTTGTTTTTATCTGGTATTTTATTCTGTGAACCGCTCTGAGATCTTATGATGAAGGGCGGTATATCAATCTAATAAATAAAATATCATTGAGTCAAGTCATACAACCGCTGTGGTATAAACAACTAATTTACAGCTTGGACAGCACAGAGACAGAACTGGTAGCTTTTTCACAAGGGTTCTCAAACTGCGAGGCTGGCTTTCTTAACGATGTCCTACCACTATGTTCACTATCTGGGCTAGATATCAATGCAGCAATCCTCACCTTAAAAAAAAAAATTCCCCAAGTTCTGTCCCCTGACAAAGAACCTTGAAATAGACCCATACAGCCACTTCCCTGGCCCCTTTTCATATGACCTGCTTGCCAGCAATCTGAGAAGAGTGAGTGCTGCAAGGTGAATCGCATGGATTGACATTAATTAGGTTTGGAAAAGCTTATAACAGTAAATGTCCCCGTGTAATATTATGCAACTTTGAGAACTGCTCTATAAAGTCCAGAGAGAAAGTGCAATGGTATTTACTGTTGCTGATCTTTGTTCCTGTAAATCTTTCCATCTTGTTTTATTAGGTACTGGTCAATTTCATCTTCTACCACCTGGGGAACACCTAGAGGGCGAACTCCTTGAGACATCGATGACGTATCCATGTTCTCAGAGGAAGAGCCAGCTGGACTTGAGGGAAAGAGAAACAGCATATCCCCATGCCTATAATTGGAGACAAAAATGTGACAAAACCATTACCAAATAATAATAATAATAATTTATTTATACCCCACCCATCTGTCTGAGTTTCCCCAGCCACTCTGGGGAAAATGGAAATTATGAAATTTCAATTATGAAAATGAACACCACTTTCATACTTAGGTACCACCCCACCCCAGTGCCTCAGTGTCGATAATTCACAAGCAATTATGTGAAGCCTACACATTCGCCATATTGGCTCCAAGGGCTGCACCGGGTGGGAAATGACGGGCCGCGTATACAGAAGCCAGACACTCACATGGGCAAATGGGAGTCACGCAATGGATTTCAGTGATCCCATCACGTATCTGCTTGCTCCCTACCTTCTTGGTGCCGGCAATCACAATGTACAGAAAGGAAAGGAACACAGGTAGAATGACTCCCACGGACCTTCTTCCCCATATTTGCAGACAGACAGGAATGCAGCTGGGATGAACTTGGTGCGGGGAGCCTGGGCAACTCATAGCAGGGTGTGGAATCCTTTTCACACACCGGCAAAGCAGGGTTTTCTTGGGGGAAAGTGGGCAGGGCCAAATCACACATACACTCCATTTTCTATCATGCATGTGCACACACACTATTCACTATCATTTCTTAGCTTGGCTTTCTCACTGAGAAAGGGGCTCAAGCAGAAGGCTCAGTGCACAGCAACAAACCAAGTGGTGCTTAAGGTAAAGGTAAGGGGACCCCTAACCATTATTAGGTCCAGCCGCGGACAACTCTGGGGTTGCGGCGCTCATCTCACTTCATTGGCCGAGGGAGCTGGCGTACAGCTTCCGGGTCATGTGGCCAGCATGACTAAGCCGCTTCTGGCGAACCAGAGCAGCGCACGGAAACACCGTTTACCTTCCCGCCGGAGCGGTACCTATTTATCTACTTGCACTTTGACGTGCTTTCGAACTGCTAGGTTGGCAGGAGCTGGGACCGAGCAACGGGCGCTCACCCCGTCACAGGGATTCGAACCGCCGACCTTCTGATCGGCAAGTCCTAGGCTCTGTGGTTTAACCCACAGTGCCACCCGCGTCCCATAAGTGGTCCTTACAGGAAGCTGTTTTCTCCTGCATGGCCACTCACCATGGAACAGGACTGGTGGGGTAGAGCCTAGGGGTAAGAGGGTATGGCTTACGTGAGAACAGGAGCCCAGATTCAGAGGCCTGGGGGACCACCTGCCTGTTCTACAGTCTTGACATTAACACTATACATTACGGGTTGGATCTAGAGTGTCCCTTCTGCAAAGGGAAGGGCTTTTTCTAATCCAGAAGGATTAAGGTCTTATGAAGGCTCCTACTGGAGGAAGAAGGGAGACATTTTTTTACCCATTCCCTTCCCCTTGTAGTCCCCTGTAGAATGGTCCTTCTAACCCTTCAGAGCAACTTTTCGGGGGGCACAGGGGGCTGAAGGGGGGGAAATGCTCCCACCTTTCCTCAAGCAGGAGCTCCGAATCCAGCCTAAATCAGTACAGTGGTACCTCGGGTTAAGAACTTAATTCGTTCCGGAGGTCCGTTCTTAACCTGAAACTGTTCTTAACCTGAAGCACCACTTTAGCTAATGGGGCCTCCCGCTGCTGCCGCGTGATCGCCATGTGATTTCTGCTCTCATCCTGAAGCGAAGTTCTTAACCCGAGGTACTATTTCTGGGTTAGCAGAGTTTGTAACCTGAAGCGTCTGTAACCCAAGGTACCACTGCATCAGTTACAGAGCATTCATGTGCATGCTAACTTGGAAGTTAAATCTAGTTGTGCTCAAGTACGTGTGCAGAGGACTGCAATCTTAAAAGAATCTTTGGTTCTCTGCATGATGTTTCTTTCTAATTCACGCCAATCAATGATGCTGCTTTTTTAAAGACGTGGTTTTCGGTGATGCAGTTTCCCCAAGATGAGCCAACAGAGCGCAATCACTCAACTTCTGTCCTGTGCTACATTTTAAAGATGTTCCCATCTCTCCTCCCCAATCAGGGATGGAACAACTGAGAAGCCATGGAAAACATAAAAGCTTTTCCAGATTCTCCTTCTAAACAGCACATTCCCTTCTATCGTTATTGATAGGCTACCAAGAACAGCAGACAGGGGGAAGGCTATTCGCCAGGGTAGGGGCAGCACATCCCATTTTGCTGCTTGAGGCAAAGCGGGAAGTGTCATCTTGCCCTGCTCTCCTGCTGCCAACACCATACCTACTGCTGCTGCTGCTTCTCTGCCTGCCCTGCCACCTTCACTGCTGGCAGATAAACAGCACCAATTTCAGGCAAGATCTTGCTGAAATCTTGCACGCTCAACAAGATCTTGCACAATTTCAGCTGCTTCCAGTGTCTCTTCTGTTCCAGTCTCTCTTCTGCCACCTTGCGGGCTTCTGCCACCTGAGGCAGTCGCCTCAGTCTGCCTAATAGCTGAGCCGGCTCTGTGCCAGGGTTCTGGAAAAAACCTTGCTACACCAAGCCTAACTTTTCTTCTCCTAAACAGAAACATCCAAGCTTAGCAGACTCAGACCACAGCTTTAAGAACTGGAGAAGGAGTGCTCTATTTAGATAAAATAATAAAAAATAAGAAGCTACGTGCACTTGGAAAAGGCTACTATCCAGAAAATATCAACTGTTTTTGAGCAAGTGAACTAATGTGCTTGGGTTAGTGGTGCAAGGTGTTGGTAGCAATATCACCGTGAGAGTCTGGGTTTTATGCCAGAGATTCTCATAGACTATAACAATAAGGGGAAACTACTGTAAGGCAATACTGGTATTTAAGTCCTGTGATGTTAAGCAAAATAGAAACAATGCAAAAATGTGTTGGAGGTGTAGGAAGGAACCAGGAGACCATTTTCATATGTGATGGAAATGTAGCTTACTGCAAAAAAGTCAGAAAACAACCAGTGTATTGGGATATGAAATACCATTCTATTATTATGATTAAATTACACAAAATATCTAATAGAATACATACAGAATTAGTTTCAAACATGACAGTTCCTGGAATAATGCTGCTTGTGCAGAAATGGAAGTCCCCTTTAGTAATTAATATCAATGAATGGATCAAGGTTGGAAATTCATTTTAATGTCAAAATTGACGTCTTTTCTGAGATCTGATGAGATGGGTCAAAGACAAAATTAATTTACTGCAAACTCTTTCTTTGAATGCAGTCAAAATTACTCCTGACTCTAAGGCAATAGTATAGTCTGCAATTCCTTTAATGACACTGAAATTACTTTATTATTAATATTTTTATTTTCTGGGTTTATTTTTAATTCTTTATTATATTAACTGTAATGAAGACAGTTACAGTCAGGAAGTCCGAGATGCTACAATAGGATTGTTTTATTACTAAAAACAATGTTTTTTGGTGTTCTGCTTTTATCTGTAAAATGGTTTACCTACTTGACAATATCGTTCCAGGATGATGGTAAAATATTACTGCTGTTGCTGCTTCTACTACATTTCTAAACAAAAGTGGGTAAGCACAGATTTCCAATGGGCTCATTATTCAACCCATGTAAACCTGAATGCACGAGGCGTCAGACTGGATGTAATGTTAAGTGAAAAAAACCATGAAGACTGCATGCCATACTCTGCAAACTACCAGGAACAGCTAGGAAACTTATTGCTAAGCCACAAATTAGCCTACAAGCAGGAGACTTATCCATTAGAGTTCATGCAATTAAAGAAAACATAGGTGCATCTGGCTGCTGTTCAGCTGCTTTTTCGTTCCAAAGCAAAAGGCAATTAAAAAAGAAAAGGAAAAGCTAACAGAGGAGCCAATTAGTCACCTGCCCTTAAATAGAACATCCATCCAAGGGAAATGAAACAGCTTCCTCCCTGCTGGCTTTTTACAAACAAGTGAGAACTTCATTGTTTTGCTGGGAATTAGTTCTGCTCTACCCCATTTAAATTTTATCAGAATAATAATTATTACTTTTTTAATTGTTGTCAATTGCTATCATGACTGCCAACAACATGTGTGTACCTTTTAGATGTGGAAGAGGGCAGAACGGGGCAGGGTTTATGCATGCTCCGCCAACACACACAGGGGCCAGGAACGGGACCCCCGCGTCTGTATCCAAGCTGAAGGGTCCAATAGATCCAGCATTGCCATTAGAGGGCAAGCAACATACCTTCCAAATTTGGTTCTTACGATATTGAGCATATAGTATTCTAAAATCCATTTTATTTTAACTAGTACAGTGGTACCTCGGTTTTCGAACATAATCCGTTCTGGAAGACCGTTCCGAGTTCTGAAATGTTCTAAAACTGAAAACACAATACAGAAAACTCAATATGGAAGCCGTGTGGCCTGTTCTACTTCCAAGGTGAGTTCGAAAACCGAAACATTTACTTCCGGGTTTACGGCATTTGAAAACCGAAATGTTCGTCGACGGAGACGTTCGAAAACCAAGGTACCACTGTATCATGAAATTAGGTATCCAAGGAAAAATTGTGCAGCAGAAGCAGCCCAGCTCTTCCATCTCCTTTCTAGACCAAGTGCATGTAAACAAAGAAAGAAATGGATTAAAACAATGTTTGGGGTCAAAAAAGAATTAATGCACTGTAACATATTAGAATCGGTTACTAAGTAGTACCTCATAATTCTTTCAAAATCTCAATTCAAGAGATCTGCTTCATCTAAACCCATAGACATAAACAGGACAGATGACACCACATAGGGAATATTAGAGTGGGTATTTTTGTTCAGTTGCCAAGACAGGCACTGTCAAGAAATCTGACTGGCCTTGCCCAAACAGAAACAGAGCCTACTATAGTCCAACAGTGGCTCCATGTCTTTTGCAAAGTACTTACTTGATTTTTAATAAGTTGAGGGACTTATTGGGAGATGATGTGATCTCACCAGTCCTGTTTCTATTGATGTACACAGAAAATCCATTATTTCTGAAGCCAAATTCTTTTGCAACCTAGAAAAAAGAGAGAACATAATGTCTATAGCAGAAATCTCACACAGTTACAGTATGTTTATCCCTACAACACAAGTCTCAGATGTCATCTCCACATGGAGTTTATTACACAAAAGTGGAAGCGGAAATATCTGAAATGTACACTCACAGAATCCACAATACATATTATGTAGACATTGTATGGGTGGAAATTTCAAATTAAGCTACACTTGTCAGCAATTAGCGTTGAAGTCAATGCTGAAACAGGGTTAGGCCCATTTCAGGGAATAATTTTCACTCCGGAAAACAGGGAGCAGGCAAGCCCAATTGGTGCACTCCCATTTGTTTAAACCTGGTAAAAGAAATTTCTAAATGAAAGTAGAATACAGATTAGAAGAGGAAAATGTCACCAAGATCTTTCAACTCTTCCTGTTCATGGGTAAAAGTACATGGGAATTACTGTGGAAACATAATCTGTTGTTTAGTTGTATAGGTAATTAGGCAAAGTACCTTATTGCAACTCTGGCAAATGCACAAAATAAACCCCATTAGAGCTGATAAGATGGTTATAAATTAAACAGTCGTCCGAATCAGCCATTCGACTTTGAAAATGGAGCTCAGTGTAAGAAAGGCCAGTCTTGCATTATGGAATTTGCTCTCAGTGGGGTTTCACCTAGCCACTTCCCATAAAAAGAACTTGTTCCATTGGCAGTGGGTAACAAAGTTTAGTACAATGGAGGTGGGGAAGAGCCCCTGCTGAAAAAGGGCTAAGAGCTTAACCCCACTGCAGTAAGCCTCAGGTGCTGAGAAAGCAGCAGGAAATTTCAGGGTTTTCCAAGGATCATTGTGGTACAGGGCAGTCTCAGAAAGAGCCTCTGCCATTCTTCCATGCTTCTGAGTCATCATGGAGCCACGGACTGTCCTCAAACTTCTCCAAGAACAACAGTGGAGACCCTCTCCAACGTCATCCTCTTGATAGAGCAAAATATAAATAAAAATGGGGCACTTGCAAGTGTATTTGTGGGTCCTTGCCTACTGGAAGATCTTCCCTGAATTTTGACGTATGCCACTGTACAGGTTCTATAGGTGAAAATCTGAATTACAGTACTTATGGTTTTGGTTTCAGTTGCATTGCAATTTTAGGCCGTTTTTATGAAGTTTATATTGAGCATAAATTTTATTGCTGAGTAGTGTTTGGAAATGAAATATTGTTTATGTTACATACCACTTTGGTGATATTTCAGTTAAAAAGGCAGCCATACAATTAAGTCCAATCCGAAACCATTTTTGCTCAAGTTCCACTGGATTCAATAGAACTCAATTCCTGGCATAGATGCTTTGGACTAAAGACTCAGGCTGCATGAAGACATCTGATTTATTTTGCTTGGCAACTAAATTATGGAAGAGGTTCCCAACTAACAGATGAATTTTGCACTACAGTCACTGTTTTGGCTTATGAGCATACAAATCAATCCCACTAGTCCCCAAAGAAGCAAGCATAAACACAGAGGCCACCACACTGCTTGTAAGTGCCTGGTGTATTGAACCACTACATCTGATCCTCTGCCATCAAAAGGTTTTCATTGTGTTTTTTTAAATACTCATCTGATTGAAACAGCACTGGTGACATTTTACAATGTACCAAGGTTAGGCTTTGATAAAAGTTTCAAATGTGGGTTTCCAACCAAAAGGTGTTGGAGTTTAATTTTGGAAAGATTAGCTTCTTCTGTGATGTGTGTTGAACCACAAAGCCATCACTACTCTCTTCTAATTATGGTAAATCATTGTCAAAGAAAGCTTCTGGGTAAATCCAACCAAAGCCTAAAGAGCAGGTGCACAAACTGGCTGACAGTAAGAGCTGTTCGACAGTGGAATTTGCTGCCAAGGAGTGTGGTGGAGTCTCCTTCTTTGGAGGTCTTTAAGCAGAGGCTTGACAACCATATGTCAGGAGTGCTCTGATGGTGTTTCCTGCTTGGCAGGGGGTTGGACTCGATGGCCCTTGTGGTCTCTTCCAACTCTATGATTCTATGATTCTATGATTCTATGATTCTATTGTTGCTTCCTTAGAAGAACAGCAAAGACGATGCCAAGCTAGAATACCTTTTTCAGAAACGTTGCAGCAGTTTCCCGCTTTGTTGCTGTGATGCGTTTCACTCCATCGGGTGATTGGACACGAATTATCTATTAAGAATGGCAAAGGTTTTGAAGAAAATTAGAAATAAAATAAAACTGTGAAGTTCTGAGTTTTTGGGGGAAAGAGGCTGAACATAGAGAACTGGCTTTTAAATGTAGGAAATAAACCAGCACAAATGCAGCCTGAAAGTCCTTAAGAGGACAGTAATACAAAATTTAATGCAGGAACATATAACTGGCAGGAAGAGGAATAAGTGGAATAGTAAAATCTAAAGCATTTTCATATTATCTTTTTTAAAGACACACAATAATAGGTTTCTAAGTTATTTTCCTGATAGAGACTGAGTTTACAAATCAAAAACAGCAGGAATTATATACAAGCTCAGCAATAAACATTCATGAGTTTTCAGGCTGTTCTCACAGCAGAAAAAAAATTACATCAAGTAGCATCATTAACTGCCAGTGGCTCTCATTTTAGCACAAGGGGTGGGGAAACTGGCCTTCCAGATGCTGATGAACTACGACTTCCATCATTTCTGACCACTGCATATGGTGGCAGGGCCAATCGCAGCTAGAGTTCAAACACCACAGCAGTATAGTGCATTAAATCATGCAAGTCCTATGGGGCATACAACAATGGAGCAATCTCTTGAGATGGAAAAAGAAAGGCAGCTATCTACTCTGGGAAAACAACAGCTCAAGGTAATTGTCCCTAGGAAGGTAATCTTGGGCCTGAAGCACTGCTGCCTTGTTTTACACTTCTGAAGCTTTCATACGTACAGTGGTGCCTCGCAAGACGAAATTAATTCGTTCCGCAAGTCTCTTCGTCTTGCGAGTTTTTCGTCTTGCGATGCACGGTTTCCCATAGGAATGCATTGAAAATCAATTAATGCGTTCCTAGGAAACCGCCTTCAGACCAGGTCCGGGGACAGTCTGTCCCCGGACCTCTTCTGAAGGCTGGGGGGGGGGGCAAGGGCTTTTCTTCCCCCCCCCAGCAGTTTAAAACCCCGGGACAGCGGAGGACTTCTCCGCTGTCCGGGCGATCTTAAAATGCTGGCGGGCGGCATTTAAAATCACCCCGGGACAGCGGAGGACTTCTCCGCTGTCCGGGGCAATTTAAAGCCCCTGGGAAGGCAGGCAGGGGGACAAAGACTTTGCCCCCGCCAGCCTTCAGAAGAGGTCCTGGACCTCTTCTGAAGGCGGGCGGGGGCGAAGTCTTGCTCCCCGCCTTCAAAAGCCCTCCGGGACAGGCAGGCAGGGGGAGCAAAGACTTCGCCCCCGCCCGCCTTCAGAAGGTCTTCCCTCCCCCGCCCGGCTCGGAGCACCGTTCCGAGCCGGGCGGCGGGGAGGTGTTCCCTCCCCGCCCGGCTCGGAGCACCGTTCCGGAGCCGGGCGGCGGCGGGAGGTCTTCCCTCCCCACCGCCCGGCTCGGAGCACCGTTCCGAGCCGGGCAGAGGCGGGAGGTCTTCCCTCCCCCGCCCGGCTCGGAGCACCGTCCCGAGCCGGGCGGCGGCGGCAGGTGTTCCCTCCCCCCGCCCGGCTCGGAGCACCGTTCCGAGCCGGGCGGCGGCGGCAGGTGTTCCCTCCCCCCGCCCGGCTCGGAGGAGCCTTCCGAGCCCGGCGGCGGCGGGAGGAGGTGTCCCCGCCCCGCCGCCAGGCTTCGGAGGAGGTCCGAGGACAGTGGGGAAGACGCGCTGCGCTTCCCGCTGTCCCTGAGATTTCCCTATGGGCTGTCGTCTTGCGAAGCAAGCCCATAGGGAAATTCGGTTTGCGAAGCGCCTCCAAAACGGAAAACCCTTTCGTCTAGCGGGTTTTCCGTCTTGCGAGGCGTTCGTCTTGCGGGGTACCACTGTAGAGGTCAAGAAAAATAATCTGATATCCCTTTGCAATTTTGCCCTGTGAAAAAATGAAGGGCAACCTCAGCTGGAGAGCTATCCCAGGTAACCTAGAGGTCACAGGATTTTGTGGATCTACCTCTCCATGGGTGGAGCAAGAGGTCTGCCTCTTGGTGGGTGGAGCATGGATGTCTCCATGCTGCAGTCATGGAAATTTTTGCAGCTGTCTCCCCCATCATGTAGGAGGTGAGCATGTTGAGGGAAGCGCTGGATCCAAGTTCCTTCTGTTCCCAACACACACAGAACAGGGACGGGGTGAGTACATTGGCTCTGGTTCCAATATACCGTATTGGCCAGAATATAAGCCTCACTCCCACCCACCCCCAATTTCAACCATGAATAAAGTGCGGCTGCTATTCGTGACCTTACAGTATGCAGCCAGGAGTGCGGGGCAAATGGCTCCAGGAGCATGGCAAAGTCTCCCCTTCCCCCAAGGCCAGGAAGGGAGAAAGCGAGGAAGGAAGGATGGGGAAAGGCTGCCGGCAACACAGCACGGCTCTCCCACCCTACCCAGTATGCAGCCAGTGAAGAAGGGAGCAGCTTATATTTGGGTGTTTCTTCTTTCTTCACCTCCAATTTTAAAGGTGTGGTTTATACAGTGGTACCTCTACTTACGAACGTGATCCGTTCCAGGGTGCCGCCTGCACCCCGAAAAGTCCATAAGTAAAGGGCTGCTACTGCAGATTGCTTCTGTGCATGCGCAAAGCACGCAGAACACTTCTGCATGTGCGGCGAACCCGGAAGGAAACACTTCCAGGTTTGCTGTGTTCATAACCTGAAAGTTACGAAACCAGAGTGGTACGTAACTAGAGGTATGACTATATTCGGGTGCAGCTTATATTCGGGCCAATACGGTACTTATTTTCCCATCTACTGGGACCAATGGAAGGGATTTGTCTTTTAAAAGACTGCAGAAAGGGAAAGAGGAAAGGAAACAAACATTGCTTTTTATTCTGTTGGCATAAACCTGACAGGGCTTTGGATTTGGTGGTTCCTCTGTCTTGGGTACTTCCTCATTCACCCTCTTTAGATTGTTCTGCCCATGTTTTAAATGTACACATACAGTTAGGGCATATATCTTGCATTGTTTGAATAGTGTTTTATCTTTTATTGTACTGGCACATACTGTTTTGCACCACCTTGATACTTTCTATGAGTTTTAAGTATATAAACATAATGTGGTTTTGTAACACTGTTTTAACATTCAATTTTTCTGATGTTTGCTTTTATTACCAAGCAAAATCCAACATGACAAAGCAGCATGTTGCCTGGGAGCAAGTCCCACTGAATTCAATATAACTTACTTGACAGTAAACATGCAGTGACTCTCTGTAGTATTCCACTCTGGAGTGAAAGCAGAATGACTAATACTAAGACCAAGTCACGCCCAACAATTCCAGGCCTAACCCTGAATTTCAACATCATGCAATAGGTCTTTTCTTTTCCATTTGAAAAATCACCTTCAAACTTGTGGGTGTTTCCAGATGGGAATTTACTGGGGGAATAGGGAGAAGTAAGTCACACTCTCATAAGTGAGATACACACACCTTTTCACAGCATCCACATGTCACTGCTGCCATCAAAATGCCAGCCTATACTTTTTCTTTGTTGAATCCAGATTTTCCCTTACCATGGAAAATTCAGTAAGTAAAAATAGCCAGTTATAAAAACTGCAGTCATTGCTGGTGTGGAAGCTCACTGGTGCATTTTTGGATGGGTGGTTTGTCATGTGTCTAGCAGTCCATGGTGACCAAACCCATATTTTCCATTTGCTCATTGGAACACAACTTAACTGTTATGCTTCCACCAGCCTAAATGAAAGACCTCTGTTCCCTCAGACTGCCACATGCTGAAGGCACACACAGTTTGCAGGATCAATTCGCTCACTATTTTCACACAGTAAATGTGGGAATTACTTCCGAGATCATGATACATACACTGGGATCTTTTTTTTTATTAAAAAAATGGTAACTATTGAGTCAGCCTGCTCCATCCCACTGATGCACCTACCATATGTAAACATTGTTAATGGATTTGTGTTTTCTTTTTTGTACATCTAAAATAACTTATTTATTTTTAAGAGAATTACACAGAATTAGGTAAGACCTCTTTATCAGAATGTCCCGTATTCCACACTGCAGTACTTTTTTTTGGAGGGGAGTAATGTGCAGTTGTGCATCTTATGGATATGGGATTTTGTTTTGTTTTTTATTCACACACCCCACCTTGTCCTTCGAATCAATTAGCAGTTTAACATAGCTAAATGCCACTTATGTTCAAGGCCTCCCTATATTTTCAAATTAAAACCAAATGGGAATGTATAACCCTGCATCCCACCTTCCAAAAAAGTGAAAGCCTATATTTAATTTATTGGGACATATGACAACTAAGAGCTAGTAATGTTTGCGCCGGTGCACTTCCGTGATTATTTTTCCCCCTCCCAAAGTGTGCACATGCACTACAGAAAGTGCATGCCCAAATTAGAAACAAGTAGCAGAGGCAGGCAAATAATGATTTGAGTGGAAAGCCCCTGTCCGAAAGGCAGGATACATTCCCCAAAGCTCCACCCATTGGTGTAGATGGCACACAGAATAGCAACCAGCACTCACCTTGTGGGTGTTAACACGCCAATCATACATAGAGAGAAAAATGGATCTGAATAATACAGTATATAGCATTTGTCCATAATTACTCTGAAACTGTAGTATTCCTCTATCGTGGTAACAAATATGAAAGACTATTAGAAGACACTTTTAAAATGCTTGCTGTGTAGCTTTAGAAAAGTAACCTTAAAGGTTTTTGAAACTGAAAGGTTGCAGTGTCCAGATGATGATGATGATGATAGGCAGATAAGCTGCCTCAGCAGATGGCCCAAAGTACAGAGAATATCAACCAAGAAACCTGCCAATATTAAAAGCCACCTGTAAGTCAGAATCTTATAATAGTGACATGCATTAGAATCCTTTACAAGCAGGGAAACTACCCTGTTTCCTAGACAGGCAAGGACAGATAATTTTGAGAGAAGCCCCAGCAAGAGCATTTCCCCAAAATTATTGTCTGTCAAGTCTTTCATGTGATTTGCACTTCCTACTGAAAACTATGCTGACTCAGTTCTACTGCTAAAACTTGGTTTACACTGAAAACCAGGTGTCAGCAACCAAGTGGGGCATTTAATTGCCACAAAGAATACTACATAAACAACCTACCTCTTAAGCAGGTTAAACAGTGGCATTTACATTCCGTTTAGCTACAATCAAAGTGGATGATCTAACCCTACCAAAAACAGGTTTAACTAGAATGCCATTAAAACCACACCACAGTCTCGCTCTGGAGACTGAAGGCTCTGACTGCATGCCAAAAATGCCCAAAGAAGGCCCTGCCTCGTTTACTTGTATGGACAATTAATGAATATTGATACATACGGTCAAGATTATCACAGATACTGGCAACAATTGTTTACTTATATGGACAATTAATGAATATTGATACATATGGTCACGATTATCACAGATACTGGCAACAATTTGTTAACATTGGCATAAGCTACGTCTAGCTAACACACGCACATTACTATAACTTGTGCTGTCCGATCCTATGCAGTTACATACACCTGAAACTTCACAGGACCAGGCTGTTGAGAAAACTGAGTACTAGTGACCTAATAATTCAAAAGAAAGCATTTCAAGCTGCCCATGGTTTCTCATGATTATGTGTTCATGCCTATGTGATATTAATCTCTATGCACTATAGGGAGGGATACACCCACACTATATGTAATTCAACCTTCAGACGTGTGTGCTCTTATGGAACAATCAGAGTCTTCAAACATCTATAGGAAGGAGGTGGAGCACACAAGTAGAGCACACGCTTTGCACACAGAATGTCCTGCATTTCGTCTGTAGTATCTCCAATTAAAAAACGGTCAAGTAGCAAGTAACATGAGAGGTTTTTGTCTAAGATGCTGCAAAGCTGCTGCCAATTAAGAGTAGATTATACTTGCCTAGTATAGACTGTCCCGGTGCAAGAGAGCTTCCTATGTTGCATATGGCATTATGATAAATCTGTTCTTTCTCAAATGCTTCAAATAATACCCTAAATTTTCTTTCTTCGTCCCATTAAAAAGTGCCTTAACTCAACTTATATTTGAAGGGATTAATTTCTCACCTTGTCCACATGGACAGAGGAAAACAATGTGAAGGCTTCTTCACAAAAACAACTTAATGTAAGGCAACCGCTGGAGTATTCCCACATTCTAGCATGAACTAAGTTTCCCTTATTCAGTAAGGAACATAATCCTCCGACATTCTACAACTGGAGCTAAGCCAAGAACGCTTATGAATTTTCTACAAGTTAAATCCAGGGGTTGTTGTTTTTTTGCCTTGTACCCAACCTAACTGGGTATTGTCAGATGGATATAAATGCATCTAAAGCTTCAAGTGGAAAATAACTCAGCTATTTATGACCATACATTAAGAGTTACTGATCTCACGAGGCACAGAATTACAATTACAGCCTGTGAGCTAGCCTCCTACTTAATTCTGAAAAATATTAAGGGTCCCACTCATCCCTATGCCCACACTTGCACGCATGCACACACACAAGACATAATGCATTTTAGGCAGGCCGCCAAATAGCCCAACAGCACATCGATCTTGAAAAAATAGCAACTGAACCTGGACACTGAGAAATAAAATGATCACTAAACCGAAGGCAAAAAAAGACAAAAAACAGTTGCTGTCGCAGAAACTATGTTCACATGGGTTGCACATTGGCCACACATGCTCCCCACTTCCACGGGTTTTTGACGGCAGTTAAGGTCGACTAACTAGGCATATGCATGCTGTTTTTTTAGTTTTATGCTAGCTGAAGTGTCATGGTTTCACCTAGAGGATTCTGGGAATTGTAGTTTGGTGCTCTGCTGGGAATTTTTAGTTCGCAGCCCCTCCCCCCAACCTCGGGAACTGCAGCTCCCACTGCTCTCCCTTTGGGGGTGGGTGGGGAGAGAAGAAGAAATTGAGATTAAAGCGGCTTAGCCCTGCGGTGCCCCGTCTTTTCCGCACTCCTCCTCCCTTTGGTGAAAGCAGAAGAGGGATCGCTTGACACTTCCAAGTTGTTGTGGTTATTTTGGGGGGATGGGGGAGGTCGGACGCAAGCGACCGCCAGTGCCAGTATGCCCGGGCCGGACCGCCCCCCCTCTCTCAGAAAGAAGGGCCGAGGAATCCCCCACGGAGAAATCATTCTTCCGCCTCCTTCACAGGACCTGCATGGAGAGGCTGGAGGGGAATCAGACCCAGTTGGCCAATGCCACCCCCCCCCCACTGGGGTGGGGATCCAGGGGCAGGGCGAGGCAGGGGGGGGCGCTCCCAAGACTCGCCGCCTCCCTCACCATGACAAAGAGGGAGGGAGGGAGGGAGCGGCGGCGCCTCCTGTTCCCTCACAGGCCTCACGTCGGGGGAACCCGGGGCAACCCAGGGCTGTCTGTCTGGGGGGGGGATAGGACGACGACAGGTGACCCCACGTGCCCCATTCTCTTCTCACCCCCCCACCTCAAGCCCAACTTACAATAGTCTCCGCCATGTCCTCGCAACCGCTCCCGACCCCGCGTCCTGCCCCGGCACCGGTAGCGCCGCCTCCTGCCTGACAGCCAGCTTGTGCACCGCCAATAGTGCCGCGTCACCGTTCCCGGCCCGGTAACGCAAGCGGAGGCAACAAGGTTCCGGGGGAGAAACGGTCCGGCGTCGAAGGCGGGCGCTGCTCTCCCCCCGCCCCTTCTTCTTCTTCTTTTGCGCTTAGGCTCCGCCCACTCAGGACTCTGTCTCTTGTCTCTCACGAGAGAGATCATAGGTTCCACGAGGATTCTACGCCGCGCACGTGACACGCACCGCCAGAAGGTGTTTGTTTGTTTGTTTATTTATGAAGTTTCTTAAAAAGGTAGCAAGCCGCCTGGCAAGTTTTGTTTCGTCGTTAAGTTTCAATGCAGTTGTGCTTCCCATGTCTTGTAATGCGCGGAGTTGCTGCAAAATGTCCTCTGGAAGCTGCTCTCTCCAGTCACAATTCATTCATGCTTTCCCTTCTCCTGCCTGAGCATGGCTTATGGCAGACCGGGAAACTGTTAACTAGCGATAGCAATCCCAGTGCTTCTTCTAGGATTTTTGTTACACACACACACACACACACACACACACATATATCTATATATAACATATAACACATATGTGTGTGTGTGTGTGTCTCTCTCTCTCTCTACACATATAATCATATATAACATATATATATAACATTGGTTCTACTGACAGACCGGCATTGCATGAACCAAAGCGATCATGATCACTTTACGTACATGCACACGCACACACTATCAGTAGTAACTCATATATATATATATATATATATATATACACACACACACACACACAGCACACACACAATATACAGTCTTATTATAATATTACCTCAGGTTAAGAACTTTGCTTCAGGATGAGAACAGAAATCGTGCAGCAGGAGGCCCCATTAGCTAAAGTGGTGCTTCAGGTTAAGAACAGTTTCAGGTTAAGAACAGACCTCCAGAACGAATTAAGTTCTTAACCCAACGTACCATTGTATATATATACACACACACTAATTTTTATTAGTTTTCCATTACAATCCAACAGTAGCCTCATTATAGCAATACCAATTTATAATACAATTACTAATACCAATCGTTCAAATACCGAATTATATAATTTAGGTGTGTCCCCCCCACCACGTGCTAGAATTGATGGTTTGGGGTTTTTCTTTATTTCTGCATTCCAAAATCTTAACTAATTTCAACTGAATTCCAGTCATAATAATAATCCCTTCTACAACAGCTGCAATATTAATAACTTCTATTCGTATTGACACATTAAATGTCATTTGAAACTACAAGTGAGGCACCCAAACTATATCCTTGTTCCTCCTGTGTGTGGCAATTACAGTATTTTTCGCTCCATAAGACGCACTTTTTTCCTCCTAAAAAGTAAGGGGAAATGTCTGTGCGTCTTATGGAGTGAATGCGTGGTCCCTGGAGCCAAATGGCCCAGGGGCAAAAAGCAGATTGTCCTTTTTTTTTTTTTAGAAAGAGGGAAGAGGGTATTGAAACAGCAGCACATATACTAAAATTGGAACGATACAGAGAAGATTAGCATGGCCCCTGCGCAAGCAAACATAGCCGCTGATCAGCTGATCAGCAAGCGATCAGGAGGGGAGATAAGGGACTCTAGTGATAAAGGAGGTTGCCTGGGAGTGGGGAGGTAAAGACAGCGAACTTGCAAGTAGAGGAGACAGGAAGATTAAAGCAATCAGGAGAGAAATTAGAAGAAAAGAAGGAGCAAAAAACTGTTCCAGCTAAGGAAAAGACACTAAAGCAAATGAGGGAAGGGGGTGTTGAAACAAAGCTGCTAAGCAAGGGATTGGGAGGCAGATAAGGGACTCTAGAGATAAAGGAGGCTGCCTGGGAGGGGGGAGGTAAAAGCACATGGATCCTCAGGATTTTTGCACTGGGTCACCCCAAATTCACCATCAGATCACATAGCATATCCATGGCTACAGCCTGCACCAAAAAACCCCGCACCACTGTTTCGTGGGGCCACAATGGCGCAAAAACATGGTTACAAAGCACGGATCCATATGGATTCTCAGGATTTTTGCATTGAGCTACCCCAAACTCACCGTCAAATCACATATCATGTCTGTGGCCACAGCATGAACCACAAAAATCATACATCCACTGTTTCGTTCAGAATATTTTTTCTTGTTTTCCTCCTTTCAAGACTAAGCGCATCTTATGGTCAGGTGCCTCTTATGGAGTGAAAAATACGGTATTCTGTCCCTGGTGTTTCTTACTGTCCTTGTAAAATGTTATGTCTATCTTTTCCAAAGAGATATATCGTTGTCTAATTCAAAATTGTCCAATCTGAATAAGGGGGAAAGATTTTTTTTTAAAAAAAGAAGAATAAAAAGAATGTCTTATAGCCATAGCCTCACAATCTCTGCTGAGAGGGAGGGTTTTATTGTCTGGGCAGTCCAGGACCTCCATACACACTGCAAAGATTTGCACCCCAGGAAGGGTACTTTGGTGCTGTATTTTGACTTCACCCCTGGAGGCTCACTCCATTGTCTCTCAAGACAGATGGATGTCAGCAGCAGCAATAATAATAATGTCCTGGATTGTGTAGCTCTGTAGGGAAGGTAGAGGATTTTGGGAGATTATCCGCCTTCCTAGTGATACAGCATACTCTTGCAGAGATCTTTTTCAACATTCAGCTATGTTTTTAAAGTACAGGATATTTCCTCCCATTAGGAATATTTTACACAATGCCCACTTTACACACTGGTGCATTGGATCCTTACCATAGGAGCCAACTCCTAGGGGCTTAGGGGGCTTTGCCCCTTCAATAAAATATTTGACACCCCCCCACCAGTTCATGGGCATTGGTATTCAAATGGTGAGTGTGCACCGTGTCACGTGATCGATTATGTAGGGTGGGGCTTATCAGCTTGCACCCCCCCCCCTAGTTTATTCAAGTTGGCACCCCTGATCTGTCACATTTCTATTTTACAGATGGGAAGCCAGAGCTTGGAATTTCTTTATGGCCACTCAGCAAATCCATGACTGCATTGGAACTTGAATCCATATGTTACAGATCAGAAGTTCTGCAGAATGTAAAATTGTGATGCTTTGATGGATGGATGGCGACTAACAGATTGAGGTTGAATCCTGACAAGACAGAAGTACTGTTTTGGGGGGACAGGAGGCGGGCGGTTGTGGAGGACTCCCTGGTCCTGAATGGGGTAACTGTAACTCTGAAGGACCAAGTGCGCAGCCTGGGAGTCATTCTGGACTCACAGCTATCCATGGAGGCACAGATCAATTCTGTGTCCAGGGCAGCTGTTTATCAGCTCCACCTAGTGCGCAGGCTGAGACCTTACCTGTCCGTGGACTTCCTCGCCAGAGTGGTGCATGCTCTGGTTATCTCTCACTTGGACTACTGCAGTGCGCTCTATGTGGGGCTACCTTTGAAGATGACCCAGAAACTACAACTAATCCAGAATGCAGCAGCTAGACTGGTGACTGGGAGCGGCCGCCGAGACCATATAACACTGGTCTTGAAAGACCTACACTGGCTCCCAGTACGTTTCCGAGCACAATTCAAAGTGTTGGTGCTGACCTTTAAAGCCCTAAACGGCCTTGGTCCGGTATACCTGAAGGAGCATCTCCACCCCCATTGTTCTGCCCGGACACTGAGGTCCAGCACCGAGGGCCTTCTGGCGGTTCCCTCACTGCGAGAAGCCAAGTTACAGGGAACCAGGCAGAGGGCCTTCTTGGTAGTGGCGCCTGCCCTGTGGAACGCCCTCCCACCAGATGTCAAAGAGAAAAATAACTTCCAAACTTTTAGAAGACATCTAAAGGCAGCCCTGTTTAGGGAAGCTTTCAATGTTTAATAGGTTATTGTATTTTAGTTGTTTTGTTGGAAGCCGCCCAGAATGGCTGGGGAAACCCAGCCAGATGGGTGGGGTATAAATAATAAATTATTATTATTATTATTATTATTATTATTATTATTATTATTATTATTTGATACTCTTTTTGATGTTCAGTGTGTCTCCTGTTTGGCGGTACAGTTAAGAGTTTGGGCCAAATAAGGACATAGCTAATTTTCAGAGTAAGGTGAATCTCATTGATCTTGCAATTTTAATGAGGTGAATCTCATTGATCTTGCAATTTTATCTGTCGTGGAAGGCTACAGTGCAGCAGCAACCCTTATCTTTGTAAGTCTGAATATTATATATGTGTATGTGTATGAAATGCATTCAGTTGTGTGGTATTAATTATAGCATGGAACATATAACTACTTAGTGGATAATTCATAAGCAACACAAAGGTGGCCTCTTTGAGCCAGGAAATGTGATTTCTCACATGATACAAGTATGACTGTAGCGGGGTCTGCCCTGAAACTCCCTCCCCCTATGCAGTGCATAACATTTGCAGCTTTCTCGCTAGGTTAGCCAGGAGAAGGGCAGAATGATATCCAATTAATTGCTTTTACAGCTTTAGAAATATGAAAGAGAAACTTGCTGCATTTTTAAATCCTTTTTTGCCAGGACTATATTTGCAGGACAAGAAGATGGAAGTTGATGAAACTAGTGCATTGCTACCAAAGGTAATCATTATGATTTGCATATTGTTTCTGAGTTTACCCTTGTCTTTGGAGATCTTTAGTCCTCTATATATGGCATCGTTTTCCCATTTGTGTGGAGGGGAAAACAAATGAGATTTTCTAATAGCATGTGGGGAGAGAGAGAGAGAGGGAAAGAAAGAAAGAAAGAAAGAAAGAAAGAAAGAAAGAAAGAAAAACTGTTGACCTAATTCTGCAGAGACTAAATTTTTCCCTAGTCCATCATGTTGCATGGTCATCAATATGAAAATATTAAGAATAATCCTAAATAAGTTTAAGTTGAAGTAAGTCCCCTGAGTTCTGTCAGACTTTCTTCTAATGAAATATACTTAAGACTATGTATTAGCATGTCTACTAAGAAGAATGCCTTAAAATGACCATTTGACGTTCCTTGGTCTTACATACGTACCTTTTATTCTATTCCAAGTTCAATCACACCATCAATCACTTTGCCTGCCACTTCCCTCAGTCATTTTAAATGGCCTCTTCTCTCTCTTGAATGGATCACATATGCTTTGTCCTTCCCATCAGATTTCCCCATAATGTTGCCCTCTGCCCACTATAGCTCAGCAGTGATACATCAGAAACCTCTGTCATCACTGCGCATAAGGCAGTTCCCCGTCATAATTTAAAACAAATGGCTTCCCCCTCCCCCAAAGAATCTTGGGGACTGTAGATTATTACATTGCAGCTCTGTGAGGGGTAAACTACAGTTCCCAGGATTCTCTGAGGGGAGTCGTATATATTAAATGTTCATTGAATGTACAGTGGTACCTCGGGTTAAGTACTTAATTCGTTCTGGAGGTCCGTTCTTAACCTGAAACTGTTCTTAACCTGAAGCACCACTTTAGCTAATGGGGCCTCCCGCTGCCGCCGGAGCACGATTTCTGCTCTCATCCTGAAGCAAAGTTCTTAACCTGAGGTAATATTTCTGGGTTAGCGGAGTCTGTAACCTGAAGCATATGTAACCTGAAGTGTATGTAACCCGAGGTACCACTGTACTTTAAATGTATGGTGTGGATCTTCCCTTAATCTATGCTTCTGCCTCCAGCTGTCTTATAAAGTAAAGCCACAGGGAATCAAGTCTTTGCTGACTAGATGATAACCCAGCCATAATGTATTATTCCCCCCTGCCATATAAGTCGATCAAAAATCTATTTTCTGTCCTGTCCTCTGCTCTCTACCCTACGGTTATGCCAAAGGCTTTCAGTTATACAACAGGATATTCTGAGAAGGGAATGCTTACTGTACCTTCCTTTTTGGTTTTGTTCCTCATCTCTGACGCTTGGTCTACATTTTCTTCGGTTCTCTTCTTTGTTTAGGCGGACAGAGTGGACATATTTTGCCCGTCTAATGCACAGGGCTCCCTGCTGAATCCCAGCAGAGGAAGAGAAGCATGGCATCTTAGGAAACGGACAAGAAAATGGCGCCTCTGCCCATCTTCCCATCACCCTCTGGATTCACTTAGCCACTGTGTTAAATACTTGACCTTTGTTTGGAATCTAGCCTTCTCCATTACAGGATTGCTCATTTTGGCCATCGGGATCTGGGGTCTCTCTGACAAAGAGTCACTGGCAAGTGAGCGGATAACTTATTTGGGCAGCGACCCCATGCTCTTTTTTGTGTTAGCGGGTCTTGTAGCCAGCACAATCTCTCTCTTGGGCTGCCTAGGAGCCCTCTTTGAAAACACCTGCCTCTTGAAGCTTTTCACGGGAGGAATCATGATGTTTGTGATCCTGGAAACTCTGGGTGGAATCGTTTTCTTTTCTCTGAGACGCCAAATCAAGACGTCCTTGCAAGAGTCCCTCACAGTGGCCGTGTTACGATACCAGGATGACCCAGATCTCAAATTCATCATGGATGAAATTCAGATGGGCCTGCAGTGCTGTGGGGTGGAATCCTACCTAGACTGGAAAACAAATTTGTGAGTATGAGCCTACTTGGAGAATTCCCCTTGCCCTGTTCTGTTAACACCTAGGAAAGGTGGGAGAACAGTAGCACATCACAGCACAATGTAGCCCAATCATCGTCATCATCACCCATCAATCAAAATTGCTAATAATGCCATCTGTTTTCAACAATTCAAAGTGTTGGTGTTGACCTTTAAAGCCCTAAATGGCCTTGGCCCAGTATACCTGAAGGAGCGTCTCCACCCCCATCGTTCTGCCCGGATGCTGAGGTCCAGTGCCGAGGGCCTTCTGGCGGTTCCCTCATTGCAAGAAGCAAAGCTACAGGGAACCAGGCAGAGGGCCTTCTCGGTAGTGGCGCCCGCCCTGTGGAACGCCCTCCCATCAGATGTCAAAGAGATAAACAACTACCTGACATTTAGAAGACATCTGAAGGCAACCCTGTTCAGGGAAGTTTTTAATGTGTGACATTTTAATGTATTTTTTAATCTTTGTTGGAAGCCGCCCAGAGTGGCTAGGGAAACCCAGCCAGATGGGCGGGGTACAAATAATAAATTATTATTATATTATTATTATTATTTTCATCTACACTTTATGTGATTGAAACAAAACTATATTGTGTTCTCCTCACGTAATGCCTGCAAGAAGCCTGGGAAGCCTAGGAAGACAGTGTGTGATTGATAAATGCCCATCTTGTTTCACCAGCATGGTATTCACATTTTACTTGGGTTTCACCTGAGCTACTAATCTGGGTTGATCCTCTTGCTTGCTTTCGTTTTAAGAGACCTAATTGAGTTCATTTCTAACCAGAATCATGCTGAGAGAGGCCTCAGTCTATAAGCAGTTTAGCCACACTAAAATCAGTGGGACATGTTGCTTGTGAATAACTAAGCATGACTAATTTTCTCTGGATCGGCTCCAGAATATGCAAGAAAACCTCACAGCCACAGAAAATCTTGTCTATGGTTTCTGTGCTGCTAATATTCATCTCCTTCATGTTTCCACACACACAATTCTTCATTGAAAAAGGAATTGTACCTAGTATAAAATTATAAGTGCACAAGGTAAAATAAGATGTGGGGGGAAATAACAGTTGTTAAGATACAGCCATGTAAAAAGACAACAGAAAAAAACCTTACAAACATTGAGGTATTAGGTTAAGTTTAGGATAAGTACAATAACAAGCTTGTAATTTTTGTGGGGTTTTTTGCCCTTTCTTTATAAAAGCATATTGTGCCATGTTGTTGTCAGTAAATGCAAGAAGTGCTGGACAGTTTCTAAGGCTGTGTCAGTTTAGTCTCATCTTTTGTTCAAAGGCAACGTTCATGTGCATATTTAACATATTTACTCAGGACCTGCATGTGCACACCCAGTGATAACTGGCACAATTGGCTTTAACACTGGCAGGAAGTATTGTATGAGGTGCTCTGGCTTGTTCTTGTTAAGAGGCTTCCTTAGCTGCTGCATCTGGTCTCTCTCTGTGCTCCCCTCCTTTGGTGTGAGCTGGTAAGTGGTGCACAGCTTGAATCCACACCTGCCACCTCTCCGGTCCTCCGTTCAAGAATTGCTGTGAGCTCAAACCCTAACAGGCAGTGTCAAAACTGCTGCTGCCGTCCATCCATTCAGCAACACATGCCTAAAGTCAATTACGCATGGATCACACTGTGCACACAGTGCTGGGTGTGCAGTTTCCCTTTGCAAAGTACGCCTCTGCATGCATTGGTCCTGGTCAAGTTAGCGAATCCATGTGCAGACCATCCTTACCAGCAGGAATGCCATCCTTTGCCTGGATATCTTCTGCATTCACATGCAGAAAACGGAGTGGGTGTGCTGGAAGAGGCGGAGAGCCTCTGTGCCTTAGCAGCAGATGAAATGATTCTTCCTGTTATCACATTCCAGATATTTTAACTGCAGTTCTCCAGGCGTGCAAGCCTGCGGCGTCCCAGCTTCCTGCTGCCTGGATCCGCTGGAAAACGGTACCATCCCGAATTCCCAGTGTGGCTTTGGCACCCTGGCCCTGGAGGAGTTTGTGGCCCAAAGCACCGTCTATCTCGGAGGCTGCGTTCCCCAGCTGAGCAGATGGCTTAATAATCACGCAGGAGTGATTGGCTTGTATTGTGTGCTTCTGATTGTGATTGAAGTAGGAAGCTTAATCCTGACCGCTAAGCTCCTGGCAGGCATTGCCCTTGCTAGGACTCGGGATTCCAGTGAGAGGGAGGAAACATATTTGCTCTCCTATCATCAGAGACAAAAGGGATTTTGCTCATGATCTGCTGCAAACTATGAATCCAGAATAACCTTCTGAGCGCAACGGGAACTTAGAGGGGAGGGGTGTTATGTACTAAGCTTGGATCCTAAAACAATAGGCAAGTAGGATCCTAGAATGCAACAACTGATTGGCTTGCAGGAAAAGACCAATCAGGCTCCAGGAGGAAGTTAATCAGCCTATTAGTCTGGTAGGATCGTAGAATGCAACAACTGATTGGCCTGCAGGAAAAGACCTATCAGGCTCCAGGAGGGAAGCAGAATCAGCCAATTAGACGGGACTCATTGTGTAAATAATGTATATAAAAGCCTGGGGAAATTGGTGGGGAAATTCAGTCACTGTTTTACAAGCTGCAATAAAGAGCATGAAATCACTACAGGACTCTGAGTCTATTTCATCCTGTTATGATATACTATTTAATTCCTCAGAGCAGGGTTTGCACCTGGTATGAAGGACAGGGAGACCCTTTGTGCTTGGATTTCTCTTGCTTACGTCATACCCTTCCTCCTCATTCTCACTGTCCCTGATTCTCCTCCGGTTGCATCCTGTTCCATCAGTACTGTCTCTCTTCCTCCGACACACCCTCCAAATATGCACAGAGAAAGAAGAGGAGTGTTGCAGCGGAACAGCTTCCTTTCAGGATCTGGTCTCCATGTGTTGTGGAAAGTTCTTGTGGAATTCCATCCATTAGCTTCCTGTAGCCCATTCTCAAAGCCGGTTTCTGAAATGTACCTGGAAAGCATTTTCGGCCCAACAACCGGCTTCCCCCACCCTTCCCAAAACCAACATTCCTAAGGTGTGTTCCTCTGCAGTGGCAAGATTTAGGGAACATATTCTGGTAGGAATCTTACCTATCCCCTCTCTGTATGCCTTTCAGCAGGCAGTGAAAACAGATTACAAGCCAGCAAACCTATTATGGCTACTCTACAACCTCTCTGGAGAAACTATATCCTATTCTATATGTGCAGAATCCATATTTTCAACCTTACTCCTTTCCACTGCAGTATTCCACTCACATCACACTGCATCTTAAAGGTTCCCTGTTGCAAATAAAGTCTCTCTCCCTGCCCTCGTGCTTCCTTGTTTGAGCCCAACAAGTAGTGCTGCAATAGCTTTCATTGCATGAGTTCATCTGCTCACAGGAGGCTGGTCACTCAGGCAAGGCCCACCAGTATTTTTTTACTCGGGTCTTTGATTAAGTGTCCACAGCATCTTCACAAGGGAGGAGGGAGAGAAAACCCGAACAAATTCGCCCTCCATCCAGTGAACTCCTTGACTGCCCCACCAGGTCCAGTGGTTGCTAGCCGCATTGCATCTACTGCTTTAAACCTCCTCACTACCACCACCTCTCCACTTCCAGGGAATAGATAAGAAGGAAGAGAATGACACAGACCCTCCAAGTGTCCCTATTTTCTAGGGACAGTCCCTGATTTACAGAAGCCCATCCTGGTTTCTGCTTTGATCCTGGAATGTCCTGCTTTTCCGTACCATTAGGTCCAGTTATGGCCGACTCGGGTTGCGGCGCTCATCTTGCTTTATTTGGCCAAGGGAGCCGGCGTACAGCTTCCAGGTCATGTGGCCAGCATGAATAAGCTGCTTCTGGGGAACCAGAGCAACGCACGGAAACGCCGTTTACTTTCCCACCGGAGCAGTACATATTTATCTACTTGCACTTTGACATGCAAGGTTCAAACTGCTAGGTTGGCAGGAGCAGGGACCAAGCAACAGGAGCTCACCCCGTTGCGGGGATTCGAACCGCCGACCTTCTGATCGGCAAGTCCTAGGCTCTGTGGTTTAACCCACAGCACCACCCGTGTCCTTAGGATGTCCCTATTTTCATCAGAGAAACGTTGGAGGGTATGGAGTTATCCAACTCCCGAGCCACCTTAAGGCAATCCTGTATAGGGATTTTTAAAAAATGTTTAATGTTTTATTATGTTTTTATATGTGTTAGAAGCTGCGCAGAGTGGCTGGGGCAACCCAGTAAGATGTGTGGAGTGGTAAAATTATCATTATGGAATGGGACATCCCTATTTTCCTTGGATAAATGTTGGGAGGGTATGATGTCATAGTAAAATGGAGAAACTACTATACATGTAAAGATGTCTATTTTTGCAAACTATAGCTGCAATGGAGGGAGGTTCATCGCAGATAGAGACAATAGCATAAAGTCAAGCGTAATACTTGCTCACTTGGGTTTTATTATGGTTTTATCAATTGCTGGAGGCCAAGAGCTGATTTCTGCAAAGTTAATTTGAAGAGGCTAGGAGCACAGATAAAAGGAAGGTCACAGAAGCTGCCTCCTCAACTGGAGGGAAGGCAAATATCCATGCAGCCCCACGTCTGGCCTCTGTGTGTTTATATGATGCCATATTGGGCCAACTCGTGTAGCTCCAAGTGGCTGAAGGCTTCCCAGGGGCAGATCACAGTAATATCTGAAAGGAAGAGAGAAGCATCAGGGCAACCTATGTACCGGTATATGCTTATTACCAAAGGTCATTGTGCTTCTAGGCTGAAATCTGCCCCAAAGGCCTATGGTGACAACTGAAGAAGAAGAGTTTGGATTTGATATCCCGCTTTATCACTACCCTAAGGAGTCTCAAAGCGGCTCACAATCATCTTTCCCTTCCTCCCCCACAACAAACACTCTGTGAGGTGAGTGAGGCTGAGAAACTTCAGAGAAGCGTGACTAGCCCAAGGTCACCCAGCAGCTGCGTGTGGAGGAGCGGGGAAGCGAACCGGGTTCACCAGATTACGAGTCCACCACTCTTAACCACTACACCACACTGGCTCTCACACTGGTCGAGGAAGCAATTGTGGGGGTTCATAATCATAAATGTAGCTCATGTGAAGTAAGGACTTCAGTTTCTGTGCAGTGGTGTTCAGAGAGAAGGGACTCTATCAAAACACCGCATGGTATGTTGGCATGGCCTTACCCAAAAGTGGGGATGCCAAGACGAGCGATTAAAAACAGTCCTCAACCAATGAATGGCAGGAGGTAGCACTAGTAGACACGTAAAGAAAGCGCTGCAAGTGCTGTGGAGGTAGTGGGTTTCCCTAAGGCCTTCTGGGAAGGAGAAACAATCACAGGACATACAAACACAAGCTGGTTCCCAGGCCTGCCTCCATCCTTAGGCAAAACACATAGATTCCTTGGTAGGCGGAAAACATCAATAAAGAGAAACTAGGCAGTTTTTGTACTAACAAAGGTACAGATTAATGTTGTGTGGTGTGCTAAAAATAGGAATCTTTGGTACCTGTCCCCAAGCCCTCCATACCAGGGATGTCATCGCCAAATCTGCAAAGGAAAAGAGAAAGAGCAGTCTACGATGCATTTGGCTTTTTCACCCTACCCGGATCATTCCTCCACATTATATAATCCATGGATGGCCAATGTGATGCCCTCCAGATGTTGGACTACAACTCCCATCAGCCCCAGCTAACCTGACCAACAACCAGGGATAGTGAAAGTTGTGGTCCAATAAAATCTTCAGGGCAACATGTTGTCTATCCCTGATATAATTTCTTTATAGGGCTCCACGTAGAGTGGTTTAAGGCAGGATGGTGATTTTTCCATGCAAGAGCTTAAGTCTCAGGACAGCCGCTGATTCAATAATTCCATACATGGCAGAACCCTCACCAGCTTTGGGCAAAGTTGCCGCAGATTCCTTGCAGGACACAACTGAATCACAGTCTAAAAGGCACATACACACTATTGCCATGGTGCCTGACATATTAAAGGTAAAGGTAAAGGGACCCCTGACCGTTAGGTCCAGTCATGACCGACTCTGGGGTTGCGGCGCTCATCTCACTTTATTGGCCGAGGGAGCCGGCGTACAGCTTCTGGGTCATGTGGCCAGCATGACTAAGCCGCTTCTGGCGAACCAGAGCAGCGCACTGAAACCTCGTTTACCTTCCCGCCGGAGTGGGACCTATTTATCTACTTGCACTTTTGACGTGCTTTTGAACTGCTAGGTTGGCAGGAGCAGGGACCGAGCAACAGGAGCTCACCCCGTCCCGGGGATTCAAACCACCAACCTTCTGATCGGCAAGTTTTATGCTCGGTGGTTTAACCAACAGCGCCACCCGCGTCCCTCGCCTGACATATTAATCGTATTCTAAATATATTTTGCTCATAACCTGCATTTGCGCAAATCAAGAAAGAAAAGAAGAAGAAAACCAGATCCATGGTAAACATTATAACCATGTCTCGGACTGGCAAACCTTGCACTTTTGAAACCTAAACGAAAGCAATGCAACTTGCCATCGTTGAGTTCTATCTGCTGCAGTACCGACAAGACAAGACGGATGAATATTAAAGTACATTGCATTTCCAAGCGAACATAGCAAGTGAGGCCAGTGGTTTGTCTAGCTCAGTATTTTCTAGTTACAGGTAGGTAGCCGTGTTAGTCTGCTGTAGTCGAAACAAAATAAAAAAAAAATCCTTCCAGTCGCACCTTAGAGACCAACTAAGTTTGTTATCGGTATGAGCTTTCGTGTTCATGCACACTTCTTCAGATATCTGTAGAATAACAAACTTAGTTGGTCTCTAATGTGCTACTGGAAGAAATTTTTTATTTATTTAGTATTTTCTATACATGTTAATCGTTGCATCATTGTCAAATATCTGGACCAGCCATTTCCCCAGAATAACAATTTGCACCACATCACCAGCTTAGTGCCCTATTTGGCAGTGAGAAAGTGAGTTCCTTAATTGAGAAAGATGATAGTGGAAGAGGCATTGTGAAGGAGAATTGTTCCTGAATAGGCAAATGGCTAGATTCACTGATGGGGAAGGTTCCAACCTGCTGCTTGTAAAGGAATCGTTCCCAGCCAGAAAAATCTGCTGGCAGAGAGAAGAAGAATGTTACAAGCAGCAGGATTGGACCTGTCCCCTCCGTTACCAACAGATTGATTAATGAGTCAGCATTCTGGCTTGCTGTTCCACATAGCAGGCTGCCATGCTGACTCATAAGAAACCATTCTGTTCCTTGTGGGTGCAAACTGGATAGCTTCACTAGTTTAAATCCCAATACCATCGGATCCAAAATGTGTATGGATGGCAATTGTTATCCCAGGACAGGATTCAAAGTGTTGCATGTGCAGAGCAGGGTCCAATCATGCAACAGAACTTCGCCTCCCTTGCCCATGTCTAACCCATAAATCTGTACTGGAAGGTTGAGAGAATGCCCAGACAGGTATGGGGCTACATGCAAGAAAGGAGGGGAGTAAGGAGAAGGAAGGTACCATATTTTTCCATGTATAAGACCCTCCCATGTATAACACGACCCCTATTTTTTGACCCCAAAATTAAGAATATTTAATTGCAACGTTCCATGTATAAGACAACCCCCAATTTTAAACTTTTAAAAAAAAGTTTTGGGGGGGAAATGCAGTCTTATACATGGAAAAATACAGTTATTTATGTGTGAGCAGACCTTGTTCCCTGTTTGCATATCCCACTTAGCATTGCATTGAATTCCACTCACAGAAAAGTTCTCCTTTATTTTGGGGGACCCTAAACCATGGTTTGTCCGAATCCCCCAAAATTGTTAGCATTGTGGCAAACACAGAAATTCCCATTTTGAGTCATCTGGGAGCAGAAGAGGAGAAACAGGAATGTTTTTGAAACCTGCTGTGAAGACTGGAACTAAATATGTGACCTATAGACTGAATGTGTTCTCTAAAGCTGGCCCACCCATGAAGCAGGGTGAGGCGGTTACCTCAGGCGGCACCTACCCAAGGGGTGGCAGCCGTGTTCTGCCACCCAGCTTTGCTGCTGGTCTCCCCAACCTCTAAGGGTAGAGAAGGACCAGTGTCAAAGCTCTGCAGAATACCTCCCCTCCTGTCTCAAGGGGAAGCCCTTCTGGAGTTTGTGCCCCTCATCTCAGGCGTGGCAGCAGCAGACCCTCCAGGTATCCCTATTTTCCAGGGACATCCCTGATTTAGAGAAGCCGTCCCAGTTTCTTATTTGATCCTGGAATGTCCTGCTTTTCGTTAGGACGTCCCTATTTTCATTGGAGAAACGTTGGAGGGTATGGAGTTATTACAACTCCCGAGCCATCTGAAGGCAATCCTGTATAGGGATTTTTTTTTTTTTTAAGTTTAATGTTTTTATATATGTTAGAAGCTGCCCAGAGTGGCTGGGGTAACCCAGTAAGATGTGTGGGATGTAAATAGTAACATTATCATTATGGAATGGGACGTCCCTATTTTCACTGGAGAAATGTTCGTGGGTACGCAGCAGGGCATTTCACCTCAGGTGACAAAATGCCACAGGTAGCCCCTGCTTCCTATACACAAAACAATGGTTTTAAAACTGCTCCTGGAACTGGTAGGGATGCTAGCTGTTGATAGCGGTGAGGAGGAGGAGGAGGAGGAGGAGGAGGAGGAGGAAGAAGAAGAAGAAGAAGAAGAAGAAGAAGAAGAAGAAGAAGAGGAGGAGTTTGGATTTGATATCCTGCTTTATCGCTACCCTAAGGAGTCTCAAAGCAGCTAACAATCTCCTTTCCCTTCCTCCCCCACAACAAACACTCTGTGAGGTGAGTGAGGCTGAGAGACTTCAGAGAAGTGTGACTAGCCCAAGGTCACCCAGCAGCTGCATGTGGAGGAGCAGGGACACGAACCCGGTTCACCAGATTACGAGTCCACCACTCTTAACCACTACACCACACTGGTTGTTTTTGGAGGAACGTGAAATCAGTCCTCTTCACCCAAGCAACGTCTCCATCTCTCACCCTTGGACACCCTTCTTTGGTGGCTTGCTTTTAAACTGCCTGGTTTGCCTCTGCTTGAATTTGGGGGGTCCTTTTCTGGGGGTGGCAGGACCTCCAGTCACTCTGGTGGCTGATTTGATTTCCGGCTTGGGAGGTTCGAGGCTCATGGCTGCTGTGAAAATGCTGTGGCACCAAAAATGGCTTCCGATTCCTGTGGTTTAATCTGTTGTGAAGAAAGGAAGGATGGAAAAGGATTATACTCCCAGGTCTAGTGTTTCTGTGGACAGCTAATTACGTCAGCTGTTGAACTTCCATCCCATCTTGAGTTCGTGTTCCAAAGAAGAGAAACAAATGATGTGCAACATCTTTAACTCCAGAATATATATACCGAGTCAGACCATTAACTCATCTAATCCAGTGAAGTTAATACTAACTGGTAGTGGCTCTGCAGGGTTTCAGGCAGGGGGCATTCCCAAACCCACCTGAAGATGCCAGGGTAAAGCTTTTGTCTTCTAAGACACAACTCCTCACAGATATTTCCATACATAACAGTTCCAGGACCTGTTGATGGCATTTTACCATTGTACTGTTGAGAGTGTATTAACTTATGGTCTGTGTGTGTGGTTTGGGAGCTGCATGGTCAGGGAAAAAACAATGCTGTCCAGGGTTGTAAAGACTGTGGAGAGAATAATTGGGTGTACTCTTCCCACTTTGGATCAAATCTATGCTTCCAGGTGCCATAAGAAAGCTGCAGAGATAGCGCAGGATAGTACGCACCCCGGAAATGATCTCTTTCAGCTTCTGCCTTCTGGAAGAAGGTACAGGGTTATAAAGACTAAGACTAGCCGCCTGAGAAACAGTTTCTATCCAAATGCGATGTTGGTTTTAAATACAGTGTAAGGTAGTCTCTGTGGGAGTATATTTTATTTAATTATGGGGTATCAGAGTTTTTAGGGGGTTAACGGGGCTGGGATAGCTGGGATAGCAGGTTTGTTGGTTTTTGAATGTCTGATGTAGACTTTTTCAATTTCATTGTTCTGTATGGGACAATGACAATAAAGATTATCATATTGTATTGTATCGTATTGTTCCAGGTTCATCACCATTCACTCTTTTAAGTAGCACAGAGCAAAATACTTAGTTTGTAGTTCATGCGACTTGACTATCTCTACACTTGGACTGGAACCCACATGTGGACCAAGCATTGATGTTGAAACATCTGAAACTTCGGATTACAGTGGTACCTTGGGTTACAGACGCTTCAGGTTACATACGCTTCAGGTTACAGACTCCGCTAACCCAGAAATAGTACCTCAGGTTAAGAACTTTGATTCAGGATGAGAACAGAAATCCTGGTCCGGCGGCGCGGCAGCAGCAGGAGGCCCCATTAGCTAAAGTGGTGCTTCAGGTTAAGAACAGTTTCAGGTTAAGAACGGATGTCCGGAACAAATTAAGCACTTAACCCGAGGTACCACTGTATAATGTTCAGAGCCACTCAAAAAGTAGCTTGCTAGGATTCAGGAAATACCGGATTACTGGTACTGTATCTTGGCCTTGTACAAGCCGCTCCCTGTTCAACTCACCTGATGTTTTCTATTTCACTTTCATCCCTAGGAATGAGGGCAAGAAGACACTGGAATGGGGTTGCATAGGAGGCGAGTGCCATGTGAAATTTATTCTCGGCGAATGATGCGTGCCTAATGCACCTGGCATGGCAATGCACTTGACACACAGCAGTGCAGATAGAATGTGCCCAGTGTGCACCCAATGGACAGCTAAATTTGGTTTGTTGCTTTATGTGCCCTCAGCAGATCGCGCAGCCTAGCCAAAGAAAAGCTGCCGGCTGTTGTCGTTAGGACACTAGGATAAATGGGCCATTGGTCTGGTGCAGTGTTGCGTTTATTTTGTTCATAGATAAATCCCTAAACAAATGCTAATCTGATTAAACCTTTTCTCCCCCTCTCCAGTAAACAAGCTTGCTAATATTTGCACTTGTTTACAGGATTATTCCAGGGGGAGAGAATTTTATTTTTGTTCATTAGTTATTACCATCCCTCTCTGAAAACTGCTGCATATCCTGCATAGCCCTGCTACTCCCAGTCTCAGTAATGTTAATTTATCCAGATCACACAAATCATGATATTTATTCCACAGATATTCTAGCAAATGAGGGAAGACTTAGCAGCTTAATTGCTGTTCTGAGGATTCCCACACCATTAAAAAAGTTATGATTCAGATATGCAGCCAGTCAAATAAATGCGCATTGTTTAATTATACAAAATTAGCCACTACTCTCACATCTACTTTTATGCTTCTGTATCCATTAACTTCATTGTTATTTGTCAACGCCAAGCTGTTTCGTCAAGCTACAAAAAGCTGTTCATTTTTTAAATATTTTTGCTGCCTTGCTATTCCTTGGAAGTCTCACTTCCTCCCATGTCAGTATGCATAGCATTGCAGGATCAGTCAGTTTTATGATGCTTTTATATTTGTTGGAAGCTGCCCAGAGTGGCTGGGCAACCCAGTTAGATAGGCAGGGTACAAAGAATAAAATTATTAATATTATGCATGCTAATAGCCACCCTATGGCAGAAAAGCAGTATTTGCCCATAGCTACCCAGTGACATCCCATGGCTGAAGAGGCATTAGAATGAAATTCAACACAGAGTCTGTTGCACCCGTGGGCCTCCTCTCCTATAGCAGGGTCTGTCCTCCCAGGAATACAACCACAACGGGACCCACATTAAAGCAGAAGCTGCAAGTTGGGTGGGCTAAACAGGTCAGTAACTAGGAGCCAAAGAAAAACATAAGGGGGCTGCTACTCACCAGACGCCAGCATCAACCTTTGCCTGAACCACTGCAGCAAGAATTAAGAGTTGCCAGTGAGTGTATCTCTAGCTTGCAAACACTCTGGAGAGGTTTCAAAGGGGTTTGCTAGATTTATTCTGCTCCTCCTAATAGGATTATATCTCTTGTTTCTAATCCGGTATCAACCTCAATGACAGGTACATTGTGGGCTGGATGTTCAGAACAGGGGGAGTGGGGGAAATGTATGGAATTTTTTCCAGATCAATTGTGATAGACTCAGCATCTGCCCGTTGCCTCTAGAACCAGTAGACAAATGCGCTTCCATGACACTACATGCCCAATGATGTTCTGTGCAGTTTGAAGAAGAGGAGGAGGAGGAGGAGTTTGGATTTGAAATCCCGCTTTATCACTACCCAAAGGAGTCTCAAAGCGGCTAACAATTTCCTTTTCCCTTCCTCCCCCACAACAAACACTCTGTGAGGTGAGTGAGGCTGAGAGACTTTGGAGAAGTGTGACTAGCAGCTGCATGTGGAGGAGCGGGGACCACAAACCCGGTTCACCAGATTACAAGTCTACCGCTCTTAACCACTACACCACACTGGCTCATATACTTCTATGCCAGCAGACATTGTCGCCATATGAAATCAAAATAATTGGGCCTGCAGGGGCCGCACACCCACTTCTTTTTTACATGGTTTGGGCAGGAATGGCAAGGCTTAGTGAGAGGAGGTTGGAGGCATCCAAATTACCAGTAGTCTAATACAAGTGTTATCTATGTTTAGACAGCAGTTGTGGAATACTTGTACAAACAAGATCTGCAACAACCAAGTGCTGAGTGATTGTGGGAGACGATGGCTGCAGGCAAGACTTCTCAATGCATTGCACTCAGGGGCAGAGAAGGGTGCAAGAAGATGCAGAGAGGTTCCCTTTAATGATCAGCTGTTCAGCAGAGCAATAGGAAACTGTAGGTTACAGGGAGCTAATGCCATTTCCACCTAATGGTCTATATTGCTTGCAAAATGTTCCTCCACATCACTCCCCCAATAGGAAAGAAGAGATCATTACAAAGCAAAATGTCCTGAAAGTAAGCTTGCCATCTGGCTAGAAAACAAAACAAAACCCGTCCTGACCTGCTTTTGCACCTTAAAATATATGCCCATCAAGTTGTTTTGGGAGGCACTGCCACGGGAACTGGTTAAAAAAAAGAGCTGGTGATCTTAAAGTAAGAAGATAGCTGCAGCTATGCTCTGTGCAAGAATCACAAACAAAGGGCTGTCTGTGTAAACATAAGGTGGGGTGGTGAATTCAAGGCTTCTGGTGTCCTTCTTTCTCACAGGCAAGAATTCCTACCAATGCATTTCAGTACAATGAGTTTCACGCCACTTGCACCAAATTAAGCATTTCTTTAAAAAAAGTTGGTACACAAAGTGATCCAGCTGTGTTCACTTAACAGAATGTAGCTTAATCCTATTTACTAAAGTCTAGCTAGCTGTAATTCGTGGAAGGTTCAGCAGTTCCATTAAAGTGACCTGCGATTAGGCTGTCTGAGAAATCCTTTAGAGCAAGGGGGTTAGGAAAGGATCGTAAGTGATATTATCCTGGTAGGCAAACAAGGACAAGGGTGGCGGTTTGCTTTTCTAGAAGGGGCCAGAGGAAATGCAAAGCTTTGCACAAGATCCTTCGCCGGGATTTTGAAATGCGGTTTGTGGCTTTTTACCGATGAAGCAAGGCTATTGTTGGCTGGTCTGAATTAAGTGGAATTAACACAACCAAATGGAAATTTCTCTTTTTTAGGAATGCCATCTTTTTAATTGGCTCCTTTAACAGCCAGCACAATGTTCATCCATTCTGCAAAAAAGGTTCACTGGCAGATTTGTGCCAGTCAACAGTGATCTTAAAGGTACAAAGCCAGTTTTGCCAGTTTTTTTGTGGTCAGTTGGCAATCATAGGCAGTGCTCTATATGCAGGTATCACATGGCTAGGCAGCTCCCCAATAATAATATTACGCAGAAATATATGCCTCTGATACACTGGGTTTCCAGTCGGTTGTGCCTTCTGGCCTAGAAGGGGCATGCACTTTTGTGTGTGCTAGTTCTCTTCCACAAAAGCCTAGAAAAACTCTTCCTATCATTGAGGGGGGAAAGTAAGAGCTACAACTGGCAGCACTGCTGGAAATGGAGACAAAATCTGCCAAGCCCTCTGCCCTGCTCCATATTGTTTTGCTGAATCCTTAGCAGCACTGCTGATTGTAGGCCTTTTATGGGGGAAAGTAGAGGACAATGGAAGCCATTCACTTTTATGGCTCATCCTCAATCTATGTAACAGGACAGCTATAAGGATTACTGAAATAATGCATGCTAAGCACTTTGAACAGTCATAGTAAATAACATTATCATCCTACTGAGTGGCACTCTTGTTATATCGTCAGCCAACCTGAGATAGCCTTAACTCCGATCTTAAACCAGCATTTCCCCCCATTATTAAATAATAAATACAGTTAAACATAATAGTCATCATAGGATACAGGATAAGGACATCTTTTTAAGAACAGGTAGTTTAAATTTAACTGAATATTAGGACTGCATATCATCCCGATAGGCTTAATAATACTGGGACTCCTGTATAAAATTAGAATTGCCCCTTCTTCTTCAGAAAAGGGAGAATAAACAATCAGGATAGATTTTTCCTTCAGAATCTGTTATGGCCCAAGACCAGGCATGAGGTATGTAGCTGTGACAGTGTTGTTGTTTTTCTTCTAAAAAGGTTTCAGTCTTTCTTCATTCGGAATCTGATCTCCATCTTTAAGATCGTTTTTATATTCTCATCCTGTATGTGTTTGTCCACAGCTGCTAATGCCTGTTCTCCACCGTCCTGGTAATACTTCAGAAGCTCTTCAGTGTATGCAATCCACACACAGTTGTGGCATCCACTCATGCAACAGTTTGTGGGGGGGAGAAGTGTTGGAGGGATGGCAAAAGCAGAATCTTTGTCCTCTGAAGAAGCAGCCTCTTCCTTGGAGCCAGGCTCCTTGTCCATCAGGGAAGTAGCATTTTTGGAACCATTGCCCTGTGCATCTGCGTGCATGTACCGCCGTCCATCGACCATCAGCATTGCAGTAAACCTCCACATGTTAACTAAGTACTTGTGATGGGATCTGTGCAAAAGCACTGCAGTCCCACTATTGTGTGAGTGCCTGAATAGATAGATGCATTCCTAGCAAGAAAAAAAAAAAAAAACAGAAACAAATGGATTAAACCCTTTCTATATCCCCGCCGCTTATTTCCAGTACTTCCCATCCATCCCAGGGTATGACCTGCCAGATTTCATGTATTTTATTCATAGAATTTGTAACACGTGCTATACCAGGTGTCAGCAAACTTTTTCAGCAGAGGGCTGGTCCACTGTCCCTCAGACTTTGTGGGGGGCCGGACTATATTTTTTGGGGGGGAAAGAAAAACAAATTCCTATGCCCCACAAATAACCCAGAGATGCATTTTAAACAAAAGCACACATTCTACTTATGTAAAAACACCAGGCTGGCCCCACAAATAACCCAGAGATGCATTTTAAATAAAAGGACACATTCTACTCATGTAAAAACATGCTGATTCCCGGACCGTCCGCGGGTCGGATTTAGAAGGCAATTGGGCTGGATCCGGTCCCCGGGCCTTAGTTTGCCTACCCATGTGCTATACCATATATCCCAATTGCAGTATCAGTAATGACAAATTCAAACTCCAAACGGTTTAAAAATCTGTGACATATTAAACTTGTACGTCTTGCCTCTGGGGCAAGCAGCCATCCTCCTTGAATCTGCCCAACCTCCTGTTAAAACCATCTCAGTCAGCTATCACGTTTTGAGGCAACAAGTCCTGTAAATAAAGTGTGTGTTGGGGGAAGTCTGAACAGAAATGGAGCATCAACAAATGCATGTATACTAAATGCCACACAGGGAGATGCAAACCTGTGGTCCTCCAGGTGCTGTTACTGGACTTCCAACTCCCACCACCCCTGATCCATGGTTCCTGTGGGTTGGGGGATGCTGAGGACTTGGGAGAAACATCTAGGGCTATTATAACTGAGTGGCACGCTCTCCCATCAAGTGTCAAGGAGATGAAGAACTACACAACCTTCAGAAGACATCTGAAGGCAGCCCTGTATTGGGAAATTCTTAATGTTTACTGTTTCAATATGTTTTTGTATATGTTGGAAGCTGCCCAGAGTGGCTGGGGCAACCCAGTCAGGGGGGCAGGGTGAGTGCCTTTTTATGAGGGTATGCAGTACCGGCACTTTTTTCTTCTAGAAGAAAATCTCTGGTTAAAAATATGGTGCTTACTGTAACAACTTCATGGTGAGTACTTCCCCTCCCCTTTTTTAGAAGAAAAACACTGGGCAGGGTACAAATAAAATACAGTCAAACCTTGGTTGTCGAACGTAATCCGTTCTGGAATACCGTTCGGCTTCCGAAACGTTTGACAACTGAGGCGTGGCTTCCGATTGGTTGCGAGAGCTTCTTGCACTCAAGTGGAAGCCACGCTGGACGTTTGGGTTCCAAAACATGTTCGAAAACCGGAACATTTACTTCCGGGTTTTCGGCGTCTGGGAATCAAAACATACAATAACAGAGTTGTTTAGGAACCAAGGTTTGACTGTAATGATAATGATGATGATAATGGAAGCTGCCTGGAGCCATTGGCAACCCAGTCAGATAGGCAGGATCAGTGCTTTCTTTTTTTTTATGGGGTATGCAGTGTTGGCACCTTTTCTAGAAGAAAAACACTGGTTTAAAATGTGGCACTAAGTGTACCAACTTCATGGTGAGTACTGGCCCCTTTTTTTCTAGAATAAAAACACTGGGCAGGGTATTAAAAAATAATGATAATGATGACGATTATGATAATAATAATAATAATATTAATAATGCGGGGTAATAATAATTGTGATCAGCGTCTTTCATTGTGGAGCAGCACACAAATCCCCTTCTAGAAACAGTCGCCACAACATTATTGCTATTTGCTGTGGCGCCCTATAAACAAACCACAAGCCATCTCCTGAGGCCTGTAACTCTAAAAAGCGAAAGGGAAAAGCGGGGTGCCTCTTCAAGAGGGCATCTTAGGCACAGCCGACTCCAGGCTGCTCTCTCCCTTTGCCTCCTCCCAGCAGCTTCTCCGTCCGCGGGCAAGAGCGACCCGCTGCCCAGTAAAGGCGCTCAGGACCAGGCATGCAATTGTGCCCTTCAGCAGCTTCGCCCCGCCGCCGGACCCCCTCACCTTCCCGGGCGAGCGCCCGGCCGCCGCTGCTGCTGCTGCTGCTGCAGCCTGAGCCCCGGCCAGCCGCCGGCTGCAGCGGAGGGCGCCCACTAACAGCAGCATCAACATCAGCTCCGGATTGCCTGGGAAGAAGCCACGCCCCGTCCCTGCGCCGGGCGCCGAGACTGGCATCTCTCTCGGCCAATGGCCTCAGCAGCCTCGAGGGAGGGGAACGACGAGATGTCAAACGGTGGGCGTGTGAAAAAAAGAGCACAGCCAATGGGAAGCGGGCAAAGGGAGGGCACCGGAAGTAGAGCTGGCGCACGTGGTTGAAGCGGAAAGGAAAGAAGAGGCGCGATGGGGAAAAGGAAGGTGCGGACGCAAGCGGCGCCTGCTGCCACCGCCTCGCGGGAAGGGGCTGCTCCAAGGGGCAGGTGAGTGTTTATCCCGCCGGTGATGTTTCGGTGTGCGCGTTGTCCCGGGGGGGGGGGTGCTGGCAAACAACAGCCCTGTAAGGTAGGCCCGCGTGATGCGCATCACCCTCCTTATCGCAGACGCGGAGTCGAGGATTGAAAGGTTTTTAAGCGGCTTGCTTAAAAAGCGGGTCGATGTCGGGTTTCGGTTGTACGCTTCGCGGTAGTGGGGTAAGCGTGCCTTTCGGCTTTCTTTCTTTTTTTGGCACTGGGAATGTCAGCTGCATCTGGAACCCGGCTCAAGATCACCAAAATTCACGCAACAAAACTTGCTTTAATACTGTACTCGGGATGGGTGCGGCTTAAACTTGAGGTCAAGCTTGAGGTTCATTGTTTTCAGATGATTAGTAGTAGTAGACTCAGTGTTGGACATATAGTGGTACCTCAGGTTACATACGCTTCAGGTGACAGACTCCGCTAACCCAGAAATAGTGCTTCAGGTTAAGAACTTTGTTTCAGGATGACAACAGAAATCACACGGCAGCAGCGAGAGGCCCCATTGGCTAAAGTGGTACCTCAGGCTAAGAACAGTTTCAGGTTAAGAAGGGACCTCTGGAATGAATTAAGTTCTTAACCCAAGGTACCACTGTATATATAAGCACCCTCCAGGTGTTGCTAAAATATAACTATTATCCTAATCTTGTGTTGCTTTCGGGTAAATGTAATCAATTGCCACTTTATACCAGGAGTGCTTACCCTGTTTCCCTTCAGGTCTTGGCTTCCCAATTTCTGTTGCTTGTCAGAGGTTATGGGAGTTTTAGCCTTCAACATCTGGAGGGGCATATACTAGGTACCCCTGCTTAAAACATTGATGTCACGGTGTAATAAATGATGCTGTTGCAGCTGTCCTGTATGTGGGCATTGTTGTAGCTGCCCCGTACAGATGGTGTAACCTTGACATTCTAATATGGAGCAGCCTGTGAAATTGTGATCACAAGCTTTTGCCTGCTAGTTGCCTGTGTGATGGACAGCTGCTCTAAACCTGTCATTCAAGCTGGTCTTCTGGTCGTACTTACCATAAGGCATTTTGAAATTTTAATTGGTGGTAGCTATTGTTGAAACAAGCTGTACAACCTTGTCCGTAACACCCCCCCCCCCTTTAAAACCCTGTAGACAAATTAAGAAGAAGAAAACTCAGTGCCTGCATGAGCAAGAAATTCCTTTTCGGTTGCGGGAAATAATGAGGAGCCGTGATGAATTAAAGAACCCCAAGAGCAAGAAGAAAAAGAAAAAGGGTAAAAAAGCAGTCTTCATGTTTTTCCAACATACACTATGGACCCAATTCTGATAGCTCAGTTGGTTAGAGCATGGTTCTCATAACACCAAGGTTGCAGGTTCGATCCCCATATGGGACAGCTGCATATTTGTGCATTGCAGGGGGTTGGACTAGATCAGGCATCCCCAACCTTCAGCCCTCCAGAAGTTTTGGACTACAATTCACATCATTCCTGACCACTGGTCCTGTTAGCTAGGGATCATGGGAGTTGTAGGCCAAAACATCTGGAGGGCTGCAGGTTGGGAATGCCTGGACTAGGTGATCCTCAGGGTCCCTTCCAACTCTACAATTCTAGGATTACTGTCTCTTTACCATAATAGCACAATACGTCCCTCTGCAACTTTGAGTTCATTAAGCTTTGGCATGGGGAATTGATCAGTCAGTAACAGCATAACTGTTCTGGATTTGCTTTCGTGAAAACTGGGTGTAAATTTATTAAGGAAATAAATAACTCATTGCCAATCCATTTGTCTTTTGGCAACAACATCCGTTGCCTGCTTATGACAGAGGGCCAGCCGCTATCTGCTCTAAGGAGTTCTGTAATAATAAACACAATCAATGCAAAAAACACATGCTATATTGGGAAGTTAATGGATTCCAATGTAATTTGATCCTATATTCAGTTGCGGAGCCAGTCCTCCTAGCTAGCACCAGGACTGTGACATTTTGGGGGTGGGGAAATCTAGGGTGGTTGGACATGGTGTGACACCCATTTATGCCCCACAGAAGTATGTTAGACTGCTCTAGCTTGGACCACTGTCAAATAGACATTGTGCTTGTCTATTTTTGTTTTGCAGAGGGCCAGGGAAATAAAGGTTTTTTTGTCTTCATCTTGCTTTATTTCTCTGGGTGCTGTTGGGCACAGTAAGACTGTAATAGTTTGTGTTTTCATCTCAGAGAAGCAACCAGGTCATATACTGGAGGGTGACATACCTGTGCCAAAATTCAAGCGGCGAAAAGGAGAGGGAGATTCTACCTACATCGGGCGCATTGAGCGGGAAACTCAGCATGTGATGTTCCTTACCAAATACCAGCTGCAGCGTGAACCTGAAAAAGAAGAGCCAGTCCCAGAAAAGTCCCAGAGGAAGAAAGAGTAAGCTTAATCCCTTAGGTAAAGGGACCCCTGACCATTAGGTGCAGTCGTAGACTCGGGTTGCAGCGCTCATCTCACTTTATGGGCCAAGGGAGCCGGCGTACAGCTTCCGGGTCATGTGGTCAGCATGACTAAGCCACTTCTGGCGAACCAGAGCAGCGCACGGAAACGCTGTTTACCTTCCCACCGGAGTGGTACCTATTTATCTACTTGCAATTTGACGTGTTTTCAAACTGCTAGGTTGGCAGGAGCAGGGACCGAGCAACGGGAGCTCACCCCGTCGCGGGGATTCGAACCGCCAACCTTCTGATCGGCAAGCCCTAGGCTCTGTGGTTTAACCCACAGTGCCACCCACGTCCTTAGTTTGCAGCTAATGTTGGAAACTCAGATATATAAGCTAGGTGCCAAATGGCTCCTTAAACCAAGCTTACTGTCATCAAAATGAAATGTCTCATTGCCATTTTGGGGCAAGATGGCTCTAAAGTCTTATTTTTCAAATGATGGGCTGACTGTGATTGATTCTCAGTTAAACATCTGGCTAGTTCAGATGACAACCTTGAGCTAGGGTGAGAACTTTGCAAACTTAAGGAAGAAAAGTCACTTGATCCAGGGACAGCCCACATAGATACTGGCCTATTCCTACCTCTTTTTCTTAATGGTGACACAGACTATTCATACCGTAAGAATATTCTTCACAACTGTGAGCAAGGCAGTGGGGTGGGGTAAGTGAAGACAAGCTGCAACAACAAACTGTTAACGTTCTTCACCGCTCCTGCTCAGGCAGCACAGAGAAAGCATTTTGGTTCCTGAAATTCATTCCAATTGTGCACATAAAATATAACTGATAGAATTCTATGGGATGTGGTATTAGTGTGTGCAAACAGTTCAGATCCAAGGATCCCCAGGCATGCACCTCCAGGTGGTGGAGATGTCAGGCACCATCCTGGCACCCAGACATCTTCATTTGGCCGCAGGTGGCCAATAGCCAGGTACACAATGCCTTTTATTGACACAGTATCTTTGTAGCCCTCTTTGCTCTGATTGGGGCTCTGAATTGTATTCCCTTCATCCTCCGTTGAAATTCATGTGTACAGCTCCTGTTGCGTCCTTTCTTCAACAAAACTTGCTTTCTAGTTTTCAGAAGAAGAAACTGGATAAAATCCGTAGGAAGAAAGAGGAGAAAAAAGCAGCATTGCTGGAGAAAGACTTTCTCAAAGGTAGGGGAAGTATTTTTCAATGTATGACTCTTCGGCTTTCTTCAGAGTTCCAGAACACCCCAAATCTCTGCTACAGAATTCCAAGGATTTGAAAACCACCACATCTTTCTTGATGTTTCCTGCATGTATATTTTTTCCCCCAATGGGTGCTTTGAGTGTGCATTTATTTTTGTGGTGGTAGTTCTATCTGGATATTGAGAATTTCATACTGAGGAGAAGGATTGTGGTGTTGACTTATGTTACAACAGGATACACAATTGCTTTGGATTATGGGATTTGTCTGGATCATCATAAGGCTGTAGTCTACTCAGTTCAACTCAAATAGTATCTTTCTTTCTTTGTACTTTATAAAACAAAAACTTGCAGTTTGTGCGGGAACAGAAAGTTGATTTAGCATATCACTGTTTATAGTGATATGTTAAATCATTTGCATATTATTTATTATCCCGCTCTTCTGGTGCAAAATCCCCACTCAGGGCAGCTTAAAAACACCTAACATTCCATATATATATATACACACACACATGCACACATACACATACATACACACACACACAGCCAAGCAGGATTGGAAAATGAATGCACCCTTAAGCTACATGCCATCTGCTGTAGCATCCAGCCATGGAGAGCTGGTGTTAGGAGTTTTTAGCATTTCAAACACTTTCATCAATTGAACCACCAGTCTCTCTGTCAGTTGTTGTTGTTACTCATTAGTCGCTTTCTTAAACAAATGTAATAACAACAAATAAATAAATAACACATGGAGTAAAATCAACATAAAGCTGTGTCAGGGGTTCAGGGACAGAGGCACAGGGTAGGGAGGAGATGGAGAGCGATGGGGATGAATCCCAGGACAGCGAGGAAGAGGATGACAATGACTCAAGAGATTCCATGAGTCTTTCCAGCGAATCAGAGGATTCCCAGAAGGGGGCGCCAGTGGTCAAGGCCAGGGGAGCCCCAGGGGGGACGTGTCAGGAACAGGGGGCCAGCGGGGGATCCCAAAGTGGCAGCTGGGCGTCAGGACCAGCCTCCCCACCAGAGTGCAGCGAAGGGGGTGGAGTTTCCAGTGTATCAGGGGAAGCAGCTCCGGCAGCAGAGAAGGGAGGGAGGTCGGAGCAAGCCACCCTCCCGGAAGGGGAGGGGAGTAGTGAAGGGAGTAGTGTAACTGTCAAAAGGAAAGTTAGAGGTTGGGCGCGCGCGCTGGTTCAAATGTAGAGGCGCGCGGAAGTACAGGGAGCCCGGAGGAAGGGCCAGGTCCTAAAGCCCGCAGGAGGGGGGAAGAGCAGTCGGGGGATAGCGCGTCAGGGGAATCCAGGAGGGGCGAAACCCCAGTGGGCAGGAAGACCCTGAGGAAAAGGAAAGAGAGAAAGAGGTGGAGCAGCGCAAGGCTCTTAAACTGGTGCAGGGGAGGGACTGACTCAGAGGGAACTTCAACGGTCTAAGCGTACGGACGTGGGGCTGCGCGCCTCGGATATGAAGCAAACAATGAACTGCAATAAACACTTTTGAATATAAGAAGAGATTGGCGTTGGTCTTTTGTGAGCTGAGACCTGAGGCAGCCCTGACAAGCTGAAACAGAATAAAAACGGAAACTTTTTCGTATTTTTACGACATCCCAAACACTGAAGAAACCAGATAATTAAAAGCCAAAGCCTGGTGGTCTTTGCTATCAAGCAAATCTATTGTCAAGAGGAAGCTTGGTTCCAGCTCCACTTCCAAAGTTTGGACACCTGCTTTTTAGGGCACACCTTTATGTCCAAAGCAACAAATTCCCAGCTGAAATATATAAAAGTGTAATTGCATTGTGCTGAATTTTGTAATAGGGACAGGTACATTTGAATGGGAGCTGAACCATAGTCTCTGTTGCTGTGTACTGTGGTGATTAACGTACAGGACGGAAAGCCACTTGTTCTTTGCTGTGACATGACAAATTGGAGTGGCTGTGTTGGCCTCTAGACTGGACTTCAGGCTGCTAAATGGGATATTACGGGAGGAGAATATATCTATTTTAGTGCTATCTCCATCTCAGTTCAGTCCCTTGGAGCTTACCTCTTTGCCATTCCTTTCAGACTCGGTGAAGTTTGGTGAGGTTGCTGAACAGCCCCCAACAATTACAGCGAAACCTAGAAAGAGTGTTGTCAAAGACAAGGTAAGTTATGTAGCTGCATGAAATTCTATCTCTGTCTTCTAACTTTGCCAGTGACCCTGCTACCTATACAGGAAGTAATTTTACACGATCGGTAGCAAAGCTTGGGATGAACACCGACTTGGTGTTAGCAATACTATTATCAAACTAGCTGTATCAGAGATTCGGGTGTTTCAGGGTTTGTTTGTTTTCTGTAAGCTGGTTCAGTGTTCATGATCATACTCAATCTATAACCTCTTTCCTCTGTGTGCTTCTTTAACTTGAACCAATCTCTCTTACATTCCAGGCCGGCAAGAAGGAGCTTCTGCTGACATCTTTCTTGGGCTCCAGTGGGACACCCTCTACTCCAAAAGTGTTCCACACATCCCTTGCTCGCCAGAGGATCATGCAGGAAGAAAGAGAAAGGGTTGTCCAAGCTTACCGGGACATAAAGAAACGCAAGCAGCAGCAAATGGCTGAAAGTCAGCTTGCTATTGACAAACTAAAGAAGCCTGTCTGAGATGTCAGAGTGCTTCCACTGTGCCAGAAAACAGGAAGAAACATTTTAATACAAGGACAGAGCAGCAGCCAAGATGGCGGTGTATTTAAACGATCCTCTTTTTGGATGACCACATCAAGCCATCTGGACCAGCAAGATTGACTGGTGTTGTACACATTGGGCAATATGGCGGTCGTCTGCTACTTCCAGAAGCAGAGCGAAGTGTATACAGTGGAATTTTTCTAGACTTAACCTTGGAACTTCATGCCTAGTGATCTTAGCAACTTGGGGGTTCTGTAATCTTTTCTTAATTTTCCTCTGGGATTCAGAGTAGAAGGACTAGTATGGGAATGGTCTCGGAGGCAATTACACCGAATAAATATATTTATATTATCCACCGATGCAGCCATTTGGCAGAGGAATGCGGAATGAAAATAGCACCCTGAAAATAACAACAAAGCAAAATGGTCTCATTTGATTTTGAAGGTTATGAAAGGCCCAGTGCCCAGTTATTCCCCCTCTTTCAGTATCAGCTGCAAGTTCTGTTTTTTGCTGCTTACTGTCCAGCGCAACTCTGCATCCATATATTCCCCAACAAAGTTGGAGAAACACATTTCGCTCCCACTCTCAATGCACTGGCACAAAGATAAATAAGAAGAACGAGGATTGCCAAGCAAAGCTATTTAGGGTTTAAGATACATTTCTTCCCAGCTTGGTCTTCCTCTTGTGGCTGGAAGGTGGTCAGAAATTGTTCTTCTGTTTAATATTACACTGGTAATATGCACATTTTTCCTATCTACTTCTCTGGCGTTTATCTTCCCGCTGGAGCGGTACCTATTTATCTATTTGCACTTTGACGTGCTTTCGAACTGCTAGGTTGGCAGGAGCAGGGACCGAGCAACGGGAGCTCACCCCGTCACAGGGATTCGAACCGCTGACCACCTGATCGGCAAGTCCTAGGCTCTGTGGTTTAACCCACAGCGCCACCCGCGTCCCAGTACATGGGTATATGAGTCTAAAAAGCCTGGGACACAGATTTTCACAGCCATCTAGCGGCTATGGTGGCTCATTTACCAGAAGCAATGTATTTAGCGTTAACTCTGGAAGTGTATACAGTGGTACCTGGGTTCCCGAACGGCTTGGCTCCCGAAAGCCGCAATTGTTCCGGTTTGTGGTGAACGTTTTTCGGAAGCCGAGTGTCCAATGCGGCTTCTGTGGCTTCTGATTGAGTGCAGGAAGCTTCTGCAGCCGATCGGAAGCCGCACTTTGGTTATTGAATGGTTTCGGGAGTCGAACGGACTCCCGGAACAGATTAAGTTCTAGAACCAAGGTACCACTGTATTCAACGCAAGCTCAACAAGCTTTCTAAAAACACGCTCAAAACATTGGTATATCACTGCCAGTTTTTTATAGTGGGAGTAGATCTCTGTCTCTTAAAAGTTGGACATGCCTGTACTATCTGAAAGCCAAGGAGCATGTGAGTTGCCAGCTTTGAAATATCTTGGGATTATTTTTAGCTGTCCTACTCCACTACCAGATCTGTTGCCTCTTCTCTCCCCGCAGCTAGGAGGCATTGCTGTGTCTCTTCTCTGCTGTCCTGTTCTAGTCGCAAAGAGAGTTATTTTCCCTGCAGTGGGATGAGGCTTCAGAGCAGATAGTGCTCCCTTGTGACTCCCATCCAGTATTGGGATGGAAGTCTCCCAGGAATGGGTTTACCGTCACAGAGTGAATTTGAAGGTGCCTTACTGTGGCAGCCTATTCAGGGTGGAACAGAAAGCAAGTCTGCTTTGCAATATTTTAACTGCCCACCATCAAAAGTTTCCAAAACCCCCCAAAATATCAAACTTTTTTTTTTAAAAAAAATGGGATAAATCAAAGTAGGCAAGATCTAAAATGCCTGGGCAAATAGGAAGGTTGTTACTTGGCACTAGAGATCCGACAGTCAGTACCTGGTATACCTCTCTTTGAGGAAGGCATTTCAAAACCGGGACGCCATTACGGAAAAGGCTAAAATACTTAATTCCATCCTGGAATGTGGGGCTGGTGAAGCTAAGAGGGGGGAAAGACCTATGTCATTTCTCTCTTCTCTCCCCTGCTCCCCCCCCAAAAAAAATATTCTTCAAGGCTTCTAGCTTCTTCAGTCACTCACAAGAGTTAATTGAAAACAGGAGCAATTTACTTCCTCCTAACAAGATTTGCATTAAAACAGCAACAACCCAGTGGGATGTCCTAGTGGGATGTCCCCATAAGTGCAAACAAAGGAGGTTGGGAAAGAGTGGCAGCGGCGTCTTAAAATGTCTAGCACGGGTCTTGTCAGTAGGTGGCAGGATGTGCCCATAAGCAACAGGGAATCCTCTCTTGTCTTTTTATACTAATATAGTGTGGTACAAGTAGCATCCTGTGGGCTGGGAAGAAGGAGACCTCTTCTTGTCACAGCCAAACGGCAGGAAACAACATCCTTGATTTATCAGTAGTGAGGGATGTTCCCACAGCTTCTCTTTGCATCACCTGCAGCCTCCATGCAGAATTGGGCTGTAGTTGCTGGTTTGAACCTTTATGTTCACTGTCTGTGTTCTGGCTGAATCTAAGGGGTTACAATCTGTAATACAGCTATTTATTACACTGTGGTGCTGGTTTAGGCTCTAAGAGTATGGTAATTTTCTCACAAAGCACCTGATCTACATCCGCCACCACTTTTAGCTACCTGTTGCTTGAATCATTTTTATTTTTTTAAGTATATCTTTATGGATTTAAAATAAATACATTTATGGGAAAACAGACAAACAAACAAATAAACATACAATCAAATAATGAAGAAGTCAAACAAACAACCACAATATAAGAAACAACAAAATTAGTATAACTAACATCATTTATACTCCCGATACTGAAATCAGTTATAAAACTTATAAAGAAGGAAATTAAAAATAACTTCCAATTAATCTCACTGTACTTTATCAATTACCTTATACCGCACAGTTGCATATTTCTTATATAGTCTCTTTTCATCTCCCTACTAACCTATATTTATACAATACAAGGATCAGTCTAGTTCTGCCAAATTGTTGCTTGAATCATTTTGTTTTACTAGCTTTTTACAGCTTATCCCTTGGCTTCTAAAACTCTGGATACAACCAGACTGCTGGGAATGTTACAGTTGCATGTCCTATACAGTCGTACTCAAACAGATGAACACCTTGAGTTTGTTGTGCCTATCACTTTTGCTTGAAAGACAAGTCCTGCACTGACTTCACTGGGAATTGCTAGAGAGAAAGTGTGCAAAAAGAGCATTCAGGATTGCAGTTCTGTTGGAAGATGTCACACAATGTTTAGAGCTGAGTGCATTGAACTGCAAGGTTGTTGTTGTTGTTTAGTCGGTTAGTCATGTCCGACTCTTCGTGACCCCATGGACCAGATCACGCCAGGCACTCCTGTCTTCCACTGCCTCCTGCAGTTTGGTCAAACTCATGCTGGTAGCTTCGAGAACACTGTCCAGCCATCTCGTTCTCTGTCGTCCCCTTCTCCTTGTGCCCTCCATCTTTCCCAACATCAGGGTCTTTTCCAGGGAGTCTTCTCATGAGGTGGCCAAAGTATTGGAGCCTCAGCTTCAGGATCTGTCCTTCCAGTGAACACTCAGGGCTGATTTCCTTAAGAATGGAGAGGTTTGATCTTCTTGCAGTTCATGGGACTCTCAAGAGTCTCCTCCAGCACCATAATTCAAAAGCATTAATTCTTCGGCGATCAGCCTTCTTTATGGTCCAGCTCTCACTTCCATACATCACTACTGGGAAAACCATAGCTTTAACTATACGGACCTTTGTTGGCAAGGTGATGTCTCTGCTTTTTAAGATGCTGTCTAGGTTTGTCATTGCTTTTCGCCCAAGAAGCAGGTGTCTTTTAATTTCGTGACTGCTGTCACCATTTGCAGTGATCATGGAGCCCAAGAAAGTAAAATCTCTCACTGCCTCTATTTCTGCAAGGTACGTGCTGCCTTAAAAACACAAGAATGGGTGCTCAGTTTGTCCCAAAGTATTGCAAGGTCCAGAACTGCTAAGACTGTGCTTTTGGGTGGGCCACGATAGTAAAATATATTGGCAAGCTTTTGATTCAAAGAGATGCTATGCAGTCTTGAGGTCTGCTGTGCAGCAACTTTTGAGGAGCACCATGTTGACTTTCCCCATCCTACACATACACAGGACACCATCAAGGACGGTGTCCCAAGCATGGTGTTTGGGGGGTCAGTCCTATTGCTGCAGTTATTTACGTTCAGTTATCCCACAAAGGAGGAATGGAAAGGTAAACTGTCCCCAGAAGAAAGAAAAATGATCAGAAGCATGTTCTGAAGCTGCTGGGGATGGGACAGATGTCGCTGGTTCAAACTACTTGGCTGAGATTTCATTAAAACCAGTTTGAGCCTGATTGCACAAACGATGACATTGTGGGTGTGCTGTCCTCAATTAAGAGGACTTGTAAACAGCTTCTCGGATGTACAGCCCGCCTTTTCCTCTATGGCCTTACCTAATTCCTGTTGCACAATGACAGGATGCCCCAGGGGAGAGCTCTCTAGATTTTAGCAGTATTGCATTCATGTGGGGGCACCAGCTCTATGTATTTGGAACATTTTTATTAAAGTCAAAAGTAGCTGTGTTAGCCCATAAGAAGAAGAAGAAAACTCTCATCTTGCTTGCTTTCTAATTTTTTTTTTAAAAAAATCTGTATTGCATTTAAAAAAAATTTACAGAGAAAGCATAAATTAAAGATTACATCCATATATTCCAAAAAGAAAAAGAAAAAATGCAATATATATATATATATATATATATATAGAAAAGAAAAAAAGATTAATAAACAAATGAAAAAGAATTGATCAAGTACAGTTACACCTCGGGTAACGAATGCTGCGGGTTGTGCATTTCTGGGTTGCGGACCGCGCCGAACCTGGAAGTACCGGAACGAGTTATTTCTGGGTTTCAGCACATGTGCAGAAGCACCAAATCACATCATGCGTATGTGCAGACGCGGCGTTTCAGGCTGCGAACACTGCGGGTTGCGAACGTGCCTCCCACATGGATCACGTTCGCAACCAGAGGTATGACTGTACACAAAATTATTCAAAGGATACAAACAGAAGTCTGAATATTCTAGACACCAGGTTCTCAGAAAGAAATACATTTGTAGTTTTTCTTCTCTTTCTTTACAGTCACTTTATTTCTGTAAAATAAATCCCTGCTATATTAGTTGACTTCCCTCAGTCTCTTTGCAGCTTCAAGACTTCTCTTAAGTGACAAATATTCTGTATTCATTTATTAAAATCAGTTTTTTTTCCATTATGGAAAAAACCTCAGCTATCTTGAACCTGCTCCTTGATCTCAGGAACTCCCATGCAGAATTTGGTTACAATATCTTAAGAAGTGCCCAGATTCCTAGTGAACAACTCACCAAGATGAAGATACATTTATCAGAGAATGGGGCAGTGAGATCTTCAGGCCACTGAGTTGTGGACGGAGGATGTTTTGCAATATTTGCCACCATAAGGGGTCTCGGGTTCCATGTTTGTTGCCCCATCTGTTGGTCTCCACACAACAGGACTATAACTGAAGATTGCATGACCATCCACAAATATCAAGGATTTTTCCAAAACAAAGTTAATATGAACAATAACTTCTGGCCAGGAAGAACATGCCACAAGGCATGCCCACATCATACTCATCAAAGGGGCTGTTGTTTTAAAGTTGTCCTCTTTTCCTGAATGTCATGCTTCAGTAGAGCCTAATAAACGCATGTGCAGATTTTCGGACATCTGGCTCCAAGACGTCGTTCATTGCCACTCACAAAAAGAGACACCACAACTTCCAGGGCAGTGTGCATTATTATATTTTGTAAAACTTTCAGCTGCACCTGCCTCTTTACAGCGGAAGGTACAGCAGGTGGTTACCCTGTGGTCATCTCATTTGGGAAGGACCTTTTGTGAGGTGGGGTGAGAGGAGAAAAGGATGCTGGTTTTCTTCAGCACCTTTGGCAGTGGTCAGACAGGTCTCCTCAGCAGTTCTCCTATCCCTCCTCCCCTTGGCTGTGCTGCCACTGTTCTTCCCTCCATCTTACCAGTAGGAGATGAACGGAGGACCACTGAGCCTCTTGGGCTTGCCGATCAGAAGGTCGTGGTTCAAATCCGTGCGACGGGGTGAGGTCTCGTTGCCCTATCCCAGCTCGTGCCAACCTAGCAGTTCAAAAGCACACCAGTGGAAGTAGAGAAATAGGTACAGCTGCGGTGGGAAGGTAAACAGTGTTTCCATGTGCTCTGGCTTCCATCATGGTGTTCCGTTGCTCCAGAAGCAGTTTAGTCATGTTGGCCACATGATCCAGAAAGCTGTCTGTGGACAAATGCCAGCTTCCTTGGCCTGAAGCGATAAGAGCGCCACAATCCCATAGTTGCCTTTGACTGGACCAAACTGCCCAGGGGTCCTTTACCTTTACCTTTTACCTATTGCACATACCCTTAGCTGATCTGAAATGTCTGATTTGCACGATCGTTTCCCTCAGAGACAAAGGCAAGACAGTTCAAACACTCCAGTACATGCAGGGTGTATTTTAGATAATAAGCTGATAAGGGACGCGGGTGGCGCTGTGGGTAAAACCTCAGCGCCTAGGACTTGCCGATCGTCAGGTCGGTGGTTCGAATCCCCGCGGCGGGGTGCGCTCCCGCTGCTCGGTCCCAGCGCCTGCCAACCTAGCAGTTCGAAAGCACCCCCGGGTGCAAGTAGATAAATAGGGACCGCTCTGGCGGGGAGGTAAACGGCGTTTCCGTGTGCTGCGCTGGCTCGCCAGATGCAGCTTGTCACGCTGGCCACGTGACCCGGAAGTGTCTTCGGACAGCGCTGGCCCCCGGCCTCTTAAGCGAGATGGGCGCGCAACCCCAGAGTCAGACATGACTGGCCTGTACGGGCAGGGGTACCTTTACCTTTAAGTCCCATTGAGTTCTTTCTTTGGGACTTATTTCCATATGTGCTTAGAACTGAAGGCTGTATGCCTAAAGCAGAGGTCCTAAGCATGTGTACAAAAGCCCAGTGCTTTCCCCCCCTTAACAAATATATTTAGGGGTACTCTCATTTTGACTCAGGAAAATCACCATTTTACAGTTCAAATCAGGAAAAATAAATACAGTAAATGGAAAAATTCACAAAATGTTTAGGGGTATGCGTACCCCCAGAAAAAAAGCACTGCACAAGCCTAAGTCCCATTGCCCTCAGTCAGGCTTCTGCATAAATGAAGTTATAGGCTACTGCTTTAAGATGGTGGTGCTTATTATTTACAGTGGTACCTCGGGCTAAGAACTTAATTCGTTCTGGAGGTCCGTTCTTAACCTGAAACTGTTCTTAACCTGAGGTACCACTTTAGCTAATGGGGCCTCCCGCTGCTGCGCGATTTCTGTTCTCATCCTGAGGCAAAGTTCTTAACCCAAGGTACTATTTCTGAGTTAGCGGAGTCTGTAACCTGAAGCGTCTGTAACCTGAGGTACCACTGTATTATTCAAGCCAAGGAATTTCCTGGATCTGAACAGGGGAAGCTATTCCTTCTTCTTCCCTCTATTGCCTGACACATGACTAAGAGGTTAGGGCAGAAATAAGAGGTGCTTTTCAAGGTACCTGCTTCCTAACAATGTGTGTTGTTTGCGTATCGGGTTTCTGAGTTAGACTCTGTTTGCACAGGCCATAGAAATGTTCTGTTTGCTGTTTTCCAGCCTGGATTACTGGATTGTGCTTTGATGTATTTGAAGTAAGCTTTTTCCAAAGAGTTGTTGTTGTCTTAAGCTTAATTTGTGCAGGAGCAACCCCTTATTCTTTCAGCTGAGGTTGTGATAGGGAGTATTACGGCACAACTGGAACAGCACAGTAAACATTGGTGTCATATGACGTGTTATATATAATTTTAAAAAATATATCAGCTCATGTCTAATGAAATGGACAAGAGGCACAGAAGTGTAAATGATGTGTTTCCTTTTGTTAAAAGAAAAAACTGCTCCTTTTCCCTTGTGCGGTACCCAAGAGCCGTACAGAGTTCTTATGTAGGTTCTCTATCGGTAGGAGAAAATAATACAGTGGTACCTCGGGTTACATACGCTTCAGGTTACATACGCTTCAGGTTACAGACTCCGCTAACCCAGAAATATTGCTTCAGGATGAGAACAGAAATCGTGCTCCGGCGGCGCGGCAGCAGCAGGAGGCCCCATTAGCTAAAGTGGTGCTTCATGTTAAGAACAGTTTCAGGTAAGCCTGATCTTTATTAAACTGTTGCTACAGGGTCCCCCACACCCCTCACACAGAGAGGGAGGTGAGCTACCCAGAACAATGGTGTGCAATCCCTTATACAGTATAGACTTTTGAAATTGCCACCCTGTAGCTCAAGGCCACCCCCTACTACATCATACATACATCACAGAAGGGGTGGTCTACAGCAGAATCCTGTCTGGCAGGAAACCTATTAATGGGTTTACCTGGAGAGCCTGGCCATTCTTTTGTGATGATAAATACATAATTCCTGAGTCCAGGTCACAGGCTCACCCTATTCATACACAAATGTGCCCTTAAGGCAGGATTTGTGAGCACAGAGACAATGGGGAGGCTTTTCCCATTTCCATCCAAACTGCAGAGGAATATTTGAGGTCTCTGAAGGAGTCAAAACGGCTTTAGGGCTGTTTTCCTGTACTGTTTCAGACATGTGGTTTATATATTTATGTAGGTGTTTGCCTGGTACATTTATGAACATTTTAGACCTTATAATTCTCATAACACTTTTACTAGTGTAAAACAATCAACATTTCCAAAAAAAATGTGCTTCAGAAGAGGAGATGTACTCATTCACTCATATGCACATGCCAAGGACAGACTAGTTGCCCCAGAGTAAACTAATATGCAAATTTGAGGTGTGTTTCTAATGTAAAAAGAACAGGAAGGGTCGGAAGATGAGCTGCAAATATGCAGCAGCAATGGGAAGGAAAAATGTGAAGCAGAAAGCCAGCTTCAGGTTTCACTGAGCCCTTTAGTTCTCTGTTGTGGGAGGGAGACTCTGAGCTCTCACTTCCTAAGGAGCCCGGCTAGAATGGAGTTGGCAACATATGATGGGAACAACCTGTCCGGCTGTGAGTGAGCACACTCCAGAACTTAATCTGTACCAGGATTCAATTGGGAATCCAGTTGTCAGTAGCCTTTTTGCCACACAAGCAGGCCGGCTGTAGATAAAGTGTTTCTGAGCATGTGCAGAGTTGCATCACTAGGTAACTACACATCTAGGATCTTAAGCAGCATGATACCTAGGGTGAAGTGGGCTCTGGAGCATCTTGTTTTAGAAATGATTAGAAGAGTTGATCAGGAAGTCTAAAAAACCCAAACCCAAAACATCCATGCAGTTTTGAAACCAGTGGGCAAAATCAGTGCAATTTTGAAAGGGTCAGTCGGCCATCTTGATTCAAAATAGTGTCCAGTTATATCCAAACATTGGCAAACGTCTGCTCCTTGATCTCAGGAACTGCCATGCAAAATTCAGTTACCATATTTTAAGAGGTGTCCGACATCCCCAAATGTACAGAAACTTTGGACTCAGGTACAACCCACCTATCATTTAGCATCTTTAAGGCTCATTTCTTCCCATAGCAGATTTAAGCATGTGTTTAAACCCCTCCCACTAAAATCAATGGGGCTTGAAATCCTGCCTGAACTAAGCACCTCAGACATGCCTAGCATTTCCTTTGGGTGAGAGCAGGCTATAAATAAACAAATCTTTGCTTATGGAACACATTTCCATGGGGATGTTGAGAAGGCCAAAGTCACATAGCTGGAAGTGGTGGTTTTCTTTTTTTCTTCTTCTTTTAAACGGGGACTGTTTTGTAGCAACATCAATGCTGCTTGTTATTGGAACCTATTGCCCATTTCGTGGCTGTGCTACCCTCTCCTACTTTTCCATCCGTGTCCTTATTGTGCAATCTCTAGCTGGCTGCATAATGGCATGTTGATCTGCTAGAGTCTTTGTTTGTTTTCCCTTGCAGCTGCCCCCTTCCCCTCTCCTTCAGCGTGCTCAGCAAACAGGCCTCTCTGTGAGGATGTGGTGCTGTTTAATTAAGCCTGAAGATAGAGCATGTGCGGCTGGCTGGCTGGTTACTGTGCCACCCCCGTGGTTCCACCTTGGCGACAGAAGATCTGGAAGCAGGCAGCTGCCTGGAGACCCTGACTCAGAAATACAAGCTTCAACAAGAGCCAGAGCTGACCATTCTGGGAAGAGACTTATGTTCCTGCTTCTTGAAGCATGGGGCAAAGCATTGCACTTGAAGGCACACCGGCCCTCACTCACATGTGCTGCCTTCTGACATCCTGGCAACAGTCATACCAGTGAATCATTTCCATCCTCCCAAAACCCTGTGCCATTTTCACAGGCTAACAAGTGTCATCACGTAGCGCGAGCGTCTGTCAGGTAGGAGAGATATGCTTCATCGCAAACGCAGCATTGTTGTTGTTTAGTCGTTTAGTCGTGTCCGACTCTTCGTGACCCCATGGACCAGAGCACGCCAGGCACTCCTGTCTTCCACTGCCTCTCGCAGTTTGGTCAAACTCATGCTGGTAGCTTCGAGAACACTGTCCAACCATCTCGTCCTCTGCCGTCCCCTTCTCCTTGTGCCCTCAATCTTTCCCAACATCAGGGTCTTTTCCAGGGACTCTTCTCTTCTCATGAGGTGGCCAAAGTATTGGAGCCTCAGCTTCAGGATCTGTCCTTCCACTGAGCACTCAGGGCTGATTTCCTTAAGAATGGAGAGGTTTGATCTTCTTGCAGTCCATGGGACTCTCAAGAATCTCCTTCAGCACCATAATTAAAACAAAAACAAAAACGCAGCATAGAGGAGTCCAAAGGACTGCATCTGCTGTTATTCACACTCAAGAGTGTAAAATCAGACTAAGTTCCATTAATTTCAGGGCGTCTACTCTGAGCACAGCTTGGTTGGCGCCATCCCAATAGCTGCATGTGCCCTCAAAAAATTTACAACCCTGCAAGAAGGTAGCCCCAGTTCTGGCTCAAGAATTTGTGTGGGATATACAAATTTGACACATTGAGATGAGCTGCGGTTTTACGCCCCCGAAAACACACACTGTGCATTTGCACAAAGCCCCCCTCCCCTAACTCCCCAGCTTGTCTCAACCTCCCCCTGAAAGCAAGTGCTTGACGGGCTCAGTGTCCCACTTTTTCAAGCCTAAATCCCCTTTTAAGAATCTTATTGTAATCTGGTTGAATAATCCTCCAAACCCAGACCAGGCTTTCCCACTGTTAATTCTCCATTAAACCATGTTTTTCTGCACCCCTAGAGAACTTGCAGAACAGACGGATTTAGCCTCTTTGGCGGCTTTTCGTATTGATTCAGCTTCACAATGCGGGACTGACGGACGAGAACTGAAAACAGAGTAAATGGAAAAACTAAGGGTTGCTTGTACTTGTCTTGCGGTCCTGTTGTGGCATCGAGGGTGTAAACCTCGGTGCAGAATAGCTCTGAAGTGAAGTAGGTTAAGGATGAGCAGTAAAGAAGGAAGCGGAGACTAAGTCAGACGAGGCTTAAGTGATTAAATATGGCAAAGACAGTGAAATGTTCAAGCAAATAGCGATGGAGCCATTGTAGAAAACCACACATCTACGACGTACATTAATGGGTTACGATCTACTGGAACTTCTCACTTAATGCCATTGGTAAAGGAACTCCCTGCCCCATCAGATTTAATTAGGGAATATAACTGGGATGGCTGCTGCTATGTAGATTTCACTGCTCCTTAATCTATGAAACTGATTTATGCCTAGAGCAGTGGCATGCTCTGTTCAAGATTGTGACACACTCTCTTGGTCAGGGATTGATTACACTGCTTTGGGCACACACATGGCTGGTACCCAGACCCTGCAGAATGGGCCAAGATGGAAAACACTTCCTTTGGGCTGAAAAAGGGTCCCCAATGCAGCTCTGTAGATTACTTGAATTGGCAGGACATCTGGGTGTGCAGTCAATCCAAGCGTCCGCTGATGATAGTTCTCCGTTGTTGTGTTAATGCTTTTGCGGTCTTCGTGCATACATCCAAACAAATTGTACAGAGCACCCCTCAGATAGGGGTAAAAAGGTAAAGGGACCCCTGTTACCCTTAGGTCCAGTCGTGTCCGACTCTGGGGTTGTGGCGCTCATCTCGCTTTACAGGCCGAGGGAGCCGATGTACAGCTTCCAGGTCATGTGGCCAGCATGACTAAGCCGCTTCTGGCGAACCAGAGCAGCGCACGGAAACACTGTTTACCTTCCCGCCAGAGCGGTACCTATTTATCTACTTGCACGTTGACGTGCTTTCGAACGGCTAGGTTGGCAGGAGCAGGGACCGAGCAACGGGCTTGATCTACTTCAAGGGGTGCGGGGTGGTTCAGACAACCTATTTCTCAAACTTTCATCCTGATTTGTTTGCAGGGAGATGAGATGATGCTGGCTATTTAATGAGCATTCATTCCAATTTGTTGTGCCCCTATACCTTTACTGCTATGTGGCAAGCTGAAATTTATAGGTGAAACTTTGGCCTAAACCCCACACAGTTTAAGCATGCTGAAGCTCATTGAAACAAGCAAGCTCAGCAGAGATGCCTAACTATGTTGGATTAAGCCAGGCATAGGCAAACTCGGCCCTCCAGATGTTTTGGGACTACAACTCCAATCATCCCTGACCACTGGTCCTGTTAGCTAGGGATGATGGGAGTTGTAGTCCCAAAACATCTGGAAGGCCGAGTTTGCCTATGCCTGGATTAAGCCCTTTGCCTGGCCTGGAGATGCAATGATAAAAGCTTCATCTGTTGAATTTCATTTTGGCACGCAGCCTTTTAAAGGTACTGTATATGAATCTTGTCAGGAAAGCACACATCCAAGAACTCATTTTTCTGAGACTGTCCCATAAAATGTGGGGCAAGTGCATATGCTCTCTTCATCCCACATCTGCACAATAATGGACATTTTGCTGGCAGATATGGTGGTGACGCAAGCGACGGGCGTTGGTTTACCACCCAGCAAGTGACATATTGCAGTGTAACACCAGCAACAAAAAGGACATATTTCATTATACACACAGAGCTTGACGTCTGTTTTCTACTCATTTGCAAGAGGTAGATTAAATCGTACTCAGGGCTTTTTGTTTACACAAATGGGTTGGTTTCTTGGAAGCCTTGGCTTGGACAAGAACCATTCAGAATGGAACATCTTGCAATGGAAGTGGTAATTAGCCCACACAAAGCTGCCAAGCTCAGCCAGCTATTTTTCTAGAAAAAAGAGGTGCCGGGACTCGCCATGAACGCTTCCCTTCTTCTCTTCAAATGGCAATGGCGTCCACCTGATAACGAAACTGAGTTTTGGTGAGTTCCGGCTGAAAAAAAAGCCCTGCCCAGGTACAAGAAGTTCCCAACTTCATCCCACAGGTGAAGCTCTCCATGTACTGAAAAGCAACAACAAATAAACAGACATTGTTAAGCCACAACAGAATTGTAGTGCTAGACTGAGCCAAGAAAGGAAATGTGGATGTTGGCTAATTTTGGCTTCAGAAGGGCATCATGCCAGCAGACAGCTGTGAAAAATCTACAAGGAGAGATGGAAAATCGTGCTGCTGAAGAAGGGCATCAGGATGACGCAAGATGTCCTCTCCTACAATCCATCTCTCTTTCCCACAGCTTCTCTTTTTGGGGGGTTACCAGCAAGCCCAAGGTCATGGCTGGAGGATACTCCTCAAAAACAGTAGTAGTGTCAAGTAGCCTGGGAATGAGGAGCACAGACCTCTAGGGTAATAAATTACCTTATAGCAGAGATGGGGAACCTTTGGTCCTCCAGATATTGCTGGACTTCAACTCCCATTGTCCCTGACTACTGGCAATGCTGACCGGGGCTGATGGGAGTTGGAGTCAAAAGGGCCACTGGTTTCTTGTTCCAGTTCTGCAGAAAGGAGATGGCCAAGCAGGGCTTTGGATGGTTGTCTCAAAGGATCTGGCACAACTTACAATGCCAGTGGGTTCTTAAATGCATTTTGGCCAATATGGAAAACTGTTATAGAATCACATTACAGTGGTATCTCGGGTTAAGAACTTAATTCGTTCTGGAGGTCCGTTCTTAACCTGAAACTGTTCTTAACCTGAAGACCACTTTAGCTAATGGGGCCTCCTGCTGCTGCCGTGCCGCTGGAGCACGATTTCTGTTCTCATCCTGAAGCAAAGTTCTTAACCCCAGGTAATACTTCTGAGTTAGCGGAGTCTGTAACCTGAAGTGTATGTAACCTGAGGTACCACTGTATAGCAATGTGCTGGAGATCATTTTCTGAACAGTTGGTCTCTGCCTGTTTAAGCAAAAAAATGTGCTGTTTCTTAAATACCTTCAAAATATCACAGTTACTAAAGTACTGAAGTATTTGAGCAGCTTAATTGATGTCATGGGCTGACTGGAGGCTGAGGAATGATGGGAGGCACCAGGTAGGGAACCCCCAAGGGAAGAAGGCTCAGAGCCTGGGGATTGGTGCTGGGATGATGATGAGTGGCCAGAGGGAGAAGAGGGAGAAGACTGGGAGGCAGAGGAGGTGATGGAAGCTGAAGAGGTAACAGGGCTTAGTGAGTGGGGAGAGTCTGTGGCAGAGAGAAGGCCGGAATGAGAGGCACAGGCTGAAGCAGGAGAGGAGGGAGGCCAACAGGCAAAAATGGATCAGGCTTGTGAAGAGTCACGGGTGTGTCACTCTCACTCCTGCTGCAACAGGCTTTCCTCCCCGTCCCCAGTCTCCCAGAACCAAGAGAGGCATGAAGTGGGAGAAGCATAGGCAGGCATGTATGCACAGTCTCTGATTGCTTGGGAAAACCCTGGAGCGGAGGAGACAGGAACCTTTAGTCTCTGCAACTGCTTTCTGGAGGGTAAGACCTGAATCGTTGTGCTCATTAGACCACCTGACACAGATCTTGCTTTGCTAATAAAGAGTTAACTCGAGCTTGCTTGGTGTGCTTTACTACTGCCAACTGATTACACTGGAAGTGAGACACAGATGAGAAATAAATCCTTTGCTTGGACGACAGCACGACATTTTAGGCTCTGAGGAACCACCACATTCCTGGTGAAACGGTACCCTTGGGTTTCTCAGTGCAGAAGGTCCCAGGTTGCACCCTCAGCATCTCTGGCTAAAAGGCTAGCAATTTAGCAAGTGGGAAAGACCTCTACCTGAGGCCATGAAGAGTCAGTGCTGTCAGAACAGGGTTCCGACGGGCCAGTAATCTGACCAGAAAATCACAGCTTCCTGTGCTCATTTGTGTGCTGTGACAAAGGGCTCTGGAAATGGCCACGTAGCAAATGCTCCCTTGCCACTCCAAGGGTCCAGTTGGACGTGGAGAACTCCTGGCACAGCAGGCAGCCCTTGATGGCATTTGTGGAACTCTCCTGGAATTTACAATCTGGTGCCAAAGTGTTTAGGTGCAAGCCAGGGTCAGGCTCTTAGAAAATAAACCTGAGCCGTGGAAAGAAATAATCTTAAGGAAACAGCATGTGTCCTGGTCGCCTTTGGTGATGATTCAGCATATATTGCTGGCAGAAGCTGCAGGCCATGGCCAGATGCCTCTGTTGTTGTTGTTAGTCAAGGACAAATTTTCCCATAGCAGCAGCAGCTGCTGCCAGGCTGGTTGGAATCCTCTCTCAGCTAAGCTTTAGCACAGGGAAGTGTTCTAGCACAAAGTGGAGGAAGGGCCAAGGAGGCAGGGAGCAGGTATCCATCAAGGAAAGGTATTTTAGCAGACCTCCCTCTCCATGCCCTCCAGCCTTTATAATGAAAATGTATACCTATAGAACACCCCTGCCTTCACACTGCCTGCATTCCTCTCTCTCTCTCTCTCCTGACTTCCACCTTGCCAAAGGACCTTCTCTGTTTGCTCTGTGTCCTGAATTCATTTTGCCCGCTAGGCACTGACTTAAAGAAGAGGAGGGTGTTCTTCTTTCAGCTGCAGGTAAATTGCGAAAGTGTAATTGCACCGGAAAATAAATTTCGTCAGCTGCAGCAGCAGAAACGGCACATGATGGGGACTGTAAGATGTGTTAGCGTTCATGCGTGTGTGCTGGCATCAAGGCATATCTTTGTTCCTTCAGCCCCCCATCTAACTTCTAAAAAAGCAGAAGAGGGACTGAAATCTAAAGGATGTCAGTCTTGGTCTATCATCTATCTATCTCTATCTATCATCTATCTATCTATCTATCTATCTATCTATCTATCTATCTATCTATCTATCATCATCTATATCTATCTATCATCTATCTATCTTATCTATATCTATCTATCTATCTATCTATCTATATCTATCTATCTATATCTATCTATCTATCTATCTATCTATCTATCTATCTATCTATCTATATCAATCAATCATCTGTCTATCTATCTATCTATCTATCGATCGATCGATCGATCTACCTATCTATCATCTATCTATCTATCTATCATCTATCTATCTATCTATCATCTATCTATCTATCTATCTATCTATATCTATCATCTACAGTGGTACCTTAGGTTACAGACGCTTCGGGTTACGGACGCTTCAGGTTACAGACTCCGCTAATCCAGAAATAGTACCTCCGGTTAAGAACTTTGCTTCAGGATGAGAAGAGAAATTGTGCTCCGGCG